TGATCATGGAGATTAGGAATGAAGGGAAGGATTCATGGTTGGAAGTTTGATCAATAGTGTTAGATGTTGAAGGATTAGACATGGAACGAGAAGCAGAGAGGGCAAAACCATTAGGAAGATCGCTACCGTCTCTACCATTGTTCCATTGTGTTGCGTAGAAGGAGTTAGTTCTTTTCCGTGACTGGGGCGTGCCAATTTTTTGGGTGGCAGGTCCAATCATGGGACTTCTCCGTTTTTGAGATGAGAGATTTGTGATGTCTGAAAAAAGTTGAGAAGAGTTTTGATTTGTCGAAGAAGGAGCTGGGATTTCTCCAAGCTGTGGAAAATTTGAGAAGTTGAAAGAGTTCGGGGTTGCACCTGTGTTTCTAGGTCGAAGGATAGCTTTTGCTTCAATGAAGGAGAGTCTGTGTATGGTAGCGTAAGTACGGATTTCCTTTTGAAAGGTGAATTCCGGACAATCCTTGGATGTAGCCAGATGAGGACCAGAGCAGTTTACACATTTTGGTGTCTTTGAAGTGTTTGGACAAGGGTTGGCTGTGTCATGGGTGGTGTTTTCCCCGCAGGACTTGCATCGTGGTTGAGAGCGACAGTGTTTGGCGATGTGACCAAACCTAAAGCATTTCATACATATACGAGGGTTCGGAAAGTAAGGACGAATGGGACTTGACCCTTTGTAGACCGCTACTCTTTGAGGAAGGACCGTACCCTGAAAGGTCAGTAGGACGGTTTTCGACGGAACGAACTTAAACTCCTTGGTTTTTTCGTCGTAAACTTTGCGATTAAAACGCCGCGCTTGGATAATTTTGATTTTATTTACGTGTGGGCCCATAACCTCACCATACTCAATAATTTCCTCAACTGTGATATCCGTGTCGACATCGTTCATAATTCCCTGACAAGAAACGAAACTTGTAGGGATAATGCCTATCAGACCGTGAGATGACAGCTGGGGGTGATTGAGCAGTTGATTCGCCACTTGACCCGATTTTACGGTAACTCTAACTTTACCCCGTCCACTTTGATTAATTTCGACGATTTTGTTTGGGAATAACGGATGAAGGATACGACCGACGGACATAGGGCCGAGGTCCTTTTTAAAATCAGCTGATTTGGGATCTCGTTGGATAAAAATTGCACAGTTGCTTTTTAGAGAATTATCATAGCTGGGTGTCTGATTAGTGTTTGTGTTAGTTTTGTCGGATGTGTCTGAGTTTGTTTGTTTTGTGCGCTGAGTTGGTGAAGGATTTTCCTTAGATGCGTCAGAGTCGTGAGTTTGAGATGGTTTAATAATATGCGAATCATTGTTGCAGTGTTTTTTCGCGGTGAGATTCGATAAATCGTCGCGATTTTCGTTTAAACCCTTTAAAAGAACTAAACTGTTCGCGGCGTTTTCGACATCCATTTGGGTTTGAGGGGAGAGGGGAGGACCATAGTCATCCCCAAAGCCGTCCATCATGTTTGAAGAACCGGAGGAAAACCCTCCGGTTAATATACTTTTATGCCAAGACAGAGCTTTAATGGAAACTACTCGAATTCAAAATGGCCGGTCGGTTGACACGCGGTCCGCGCGGTAGAGAAACGCTGACTTGGTCGTGCTAAGCAGCACGAAAACCTGAAAGCTTTCTCCACACTACACTACATAAATTCGACTACGCTTCGGTAGGAAAATCACGATTCACAAAAGACGGCAATATGCACAAATAGCGTAAACTTTCATTACGAATGTAACACACGATGCGCTCGGTATCACCGCTCGCGAGGAACTCCTGTGTGTTCTTGATGTCGACTGTCAAAGACGCAATTGCACATGCGCCACTGTCACTCTCTGATTAGTGGAAAAAAGCGCGAATATTTGAAATACTTTAAAAAAGAACCTTGACATTCCGAAGTGGAAGGGGTAGAAAAATCAGAGGCTCGTCGAGACAAAAACAAAAACTAATTTTTACTAATTATTATTACAGTTACTAGATTACAGATTTTAAATTTAAAGAATTCACTTATTAAGTACATAATATTAAATATTCTTGTTTATTATTATTCAAAAATTTTAATAAAATTTCTCAAAAGAATTCAATTATTTTCAACAATTTTGATGAAATTAAAAAAAAAATCATTATTTTCAAAATTTTTAATAAAATTCCTTCAAAAAAAAATTCAATTGTTTTCAATACAATTTTAAGCAAAATTTTTCGAAATAATTCAATTATTTTTATGAATTGTAAAATTCTCTCCACAAGAAATCAATTATTTTCATGAATAATAAAATTCTTCGCAAAAATTTTAATAAAATTCCTCTAATAAATTAAATTACTTATTTAAATATAATTTCAATTAGATTGGTCTATAAAATTTGCAAAAATTCAATTATTTTTATAAATAACAAAATTCTTTGCAGGAATTCAATTATTTTCAAAATTTTTTAATAAAATTCTTGACAAGAATTGAATTATTAAAAAAAATTGTAATCAAATTCTTGGCAAAAATTCAATTATTTTCAAAAAATTTAATAACTTTTTTCGCAAAAATTCAATTATCTTTATATAAATAATAAAAAATTCGTCGCAGAATTATATAAATTCAATTATTTTCAACAATTCTGATAAAAAATTCTTCAAAACAATTCAATTATTTTTATAAATATTGTAAAATTCTTGTCAAGAATTCAATTATTTTTGTAAATACTGAAATTCTTCAAAGAAATTTAATTATTTTCGCAGATACAATTTTAATAAAATTTCTAGGAAAAAATCCAATTATATTCGAAATAAATTTAATAAAATTTCTCTAACAAGTTCAATTATTTTTAAAAATTGTAATAACATTTTTTTAAACAATAAATTTTTCTCAAAAGTTTTTAATAAAATTCCTTGCAATATTCAATTATTTTCATAAATATTAAAATTCATCGCAAGATTTCAATTATTTTTAATAAAATTTTACAAGAATTGCTGAAAAAAAATGAAATTATTCTTAAAAATTTAATTTCAATTCCTTAAAAAAATCAAGTATTAAAAAAATTGTTCTTTTAAAATTCTTTGAAAGAATTCAATTATTTTCAAATATTTTAATAAAATTGTTCTAATAAAATTAACTATTTTAAATATATAATTTTAATTCCATTCTTTTGAAAATAATTCAATTATTCTTTTAGAATTTATTAAAATTCTTCCCAAGAATTCAATTATTTACAAAAATATTTCTTCAAAAGAATTCAATTATTTGCAAAAATAACAAAATTTTTCAAAGAGATTTAATTATTTTTGAACATTTTAATTAAATTTCTTTGCAACTATTGTATTATTTTTATAAATAATAAAATTCATCGCAAGATTTCAATTATTTTTAATCCAATTTTACAGGAATTGCTCAAAAATAATGTAATTGTTCTTAAAAATTTAATTTCAATTCCTCGAAAAAATTAATTATTTAAAAAATTGCTTTTAAAATTCTTTGGATGAATTCAATTATTTACAAAAATATTTGAATTTTTAACAGGAATTCAATTATTTGCAAAAATATTTTTATTTTTATCAGGAATTCAATTATTTTCAAATATTTTAATAAAACAAAATTGTTCGAAAGAAATCAATTATTTTAAATATAATTTTAATTACATTTTTTAAAAAAATAATTCAATTATTCTTTTAGATTTTATTAAAATTCCTCCCAAAAATGTAATTACTTACATAAATAATTCTGCGAAAGAATTCAATTATTTCGATAAATAACAAATTTATTCCCGAAAAATTAATTATTTTGATGCATTTTAATAAAATTCTTTGCAAAATTCAATTATTTTCATAAATAGCAATATTCACCACAAGAATTCAATTATTTTTAAAAGTATAATAATCGTAATAATTTTCTTCTTGGAAATTCAATTACATATTACAAAAATTTTAACAAAATCGTTCGCAAGAATTCAATTATTTTCAAAAAAGTTGAATAAAATTCCACAAAGACATTCAATTATTCTCAAAAATTTTAATAGAATTCTTTGTAAAATTCAATTATTTTTTAAAACTTTTCGCAATTCAATGATTTTCATAAAATTTCCAAACAGAATTCAATTATTTAAAAAAAAATTTTTGTAAAAATCTTCGTAAGAATGCAATTATTCTTTTCATGAATAATAAAAATTTCTCATGAATTCAATTATTTAAAAAAATTAGAATTTGCATAAAATTAGTGGAAAGAAATCAATTTTATTGTAAAATTTTAATAAAATTCTTCGCAAGAATTAAATTATTTTTATAAATATTTAAAATTCTTTCATGAATAATAAAATTATTACCGGAAAACAACAATTATTTTTAAAATAATTTATGGAAATAAATTTATCATTCGATAAATAATATTAAAGGTGAAAGAGGTTAATAATTGATTATTGTTAATAATGATTATTAATATAGATTAGAATTACTTTTTTATTATTTTAATTAATATTTATTATTAATCATTCTTAATTTTTTTTAGGAACATAAAAAGAATCTACGAAAAAAGTAAATTTATCATTATGTTTTCAAATAGGAGCCAAGATAATATTCTCGAATTTAGAATAATCTCAATCTAAACCCATCGAAAAGCATACCTTTTCTATTTTTACTCACTCATTATACTTGCAAATATTGGGAAACGAATAAACAAGAAATAAAATTTATTTTTATTAAATCATTTATTTGTCACTTCTGTTGTAAATATTACAAATTAGAAATAACACAATTTTTTTTTTTTTTTTTTTTTACGAAATACGCAAAATTCATGTAAAGATAATAAATAAGGAGACAATTTTTTTTAAATCTCTATACATTTTTATAGAAAAAAAAAATAATAATAACTCGATTTAATGGTGTAATAGTATCAAGTAAATAGCGACCATTTTGGAGAAAAATTTCTTTGTGAACGCTTTTTTGAGATCAAAGAATATCTCTTTGGTTTTTTATTATTATACACATAAAAATGTATATATTTTTTTTGCGCACATAATACGTTTTTTTTTCTTTTAAATTTATTGTTGTTGTTTTAACGAACATGGCTCAAAAAACAACACTCCAGGGGTCTTAAATAAGAGCGAGAAAAGAGGATTAAGAAAGCATAAGTTTGTTTTACATGATCAATATAATATTCTAATATTCTTAATCTTAAGATATATATAATATAATATATATATATTTATATAATATCATCTCGTTTAAACGTGAAAAATTAAATTACATATGCTTTTTTTATCGTTTCTTTTTTCAATATAATAATAATATTGTTCTACTATAACTTGTTAATTGTTTTTCTTTCTTTTTCTATATATAATTATCTTCAAATCAATATTTATATAAACACAATATAAAGATCACATGAATAAGTGGATGATTTTGCACAAGGAAATAATGCAAAATCTTTCTCGTCCACAATTTTCTTTTTTTATCATAGCCAACTGGCAATTTTGAGTGCAAGCTTCTTTTTCGAAAAATTTATTCTAAATTTTTGCCTCTTCTTTTTTTTTTTTTTTTTGAATCAAAGAGATTTTAAAAATTTAGAATAAAAATTCTTTCGCAAGTGCAACTTTTCCTTTGGAGAAAAGTTGATTTTTCTTTCATTGACAAAACGAACATTAGTTGCACATCAATTGGACAGCTTTTTTTTTTTTGTAAACTTAAAAATTATATCACAATACAATCAGTGGACCGGTGTATGTCGGACAATTCAAAAAACCTTAACCGCACGAATAAAAAAATACTTTTTTCTAAATTACAATAATATTTGTTTTTTTGTCTTTGAATTATTTTCATTGAAAGATTTTCCGAAAATTCATAAATTTATAAATTTATAATTTCTTTTGCTACTCAAGAAAAAAATGTTGTGAAATGAACTCGAGTCGATATGGTTAATATTTTTATAAAGGCAAAAATTGCATTAATTAAAATGAATTATTTGATACGATTGTCTTATACAATAGCGCTCGTGTCAGTGTGTGGGCAATATGTAAAAATGACAAAAAAAAAAAAAAAACCTACCTATATATCTATCTATCTACGTATCTAATTACCACTACATATCACGTGAAATTTGTTAAAGTCTTGATGATGTATCTTCACGAACGAAGACAAAAATCTCTTCTCAGAAGAGCTTTCTAACCATTACTAGAATTTGTTTTCTTTTTTTTTTTTCTTTCTTGCTATCACAATAGAATTTACTTCATTATTCTCTTTCTCCCTTTTTTTTACTATTAATCCTTAACACAAGTGATATTAACATCTTGTAATTTCATTCTTGTTAAAAGAAAAATCATTATATCGAAAAAAAACACAAGATTCTAACGCAAGAAATTCACACTTTTAGAAAAGACTTGTAAAAATTGCAGTCTCTCCTTTTTTTTCTTTTAATTCTCGCCTAGTTAATACGATATTTTTCTCGACCTTGTTTTTCGTTTACAAATGTAACACCTTTATAAAACAAAAAGTGACAATGAATTTTTTTTTCATCTTTAAAGAGAGAGAGGGAGAGAGATAAAAGACAAAAATTATAAATCAAGAATATACGCGGCGAGAGAGAAAGTTTTTAACTTCATTGGTCTTGTTGATGAGATCTGTAGAGTTTTTTCTTCTCCAAGATAAAATCCCTGCTGATCATTATAGTGCCTCCACGAGTTAGATTTCTACAATGGAAAAAAATAAACACAATTAGATAAATATGAAGGAAAAATTAAAGTAGACTTGACAATCATTATTTCACACAATCGATTATTATGTACGCAAAGCGAGTAAATATTTACTTTTTTCCAATCAAAACTTATTTTCAAATCAAATAATTTTTTTTAGTGTTAAATTTTTTTGAGTCGCGCAATAATAAATACTTAATAATCAATAATAATCCTTGTAAATAAAATTAATATAACAAAAATAAAAATTACAATTTAATATTAATTTTACTCGAAAATTATTTGTTCTGAAATAATAAAAAAATTTAATGTTAATTTTTCTTATTTATTTTGAAGAAACAAAAAAAAAAATGTAATATTTATTTTTAATAAAAATTATTTGTTCTGAAATAGTAATAGTGTAACAAAAAGTGGTAATAATAATAATAATAATAATAATAATAATAATAATAATAAAATAATAAAAAAAATAATAATAATAAAAATGATAATTTAATATTAATTTTTCTATAGAAGAATTAATCCACGAATTCTGAACGTTCAATTGCACAAAATATTTTTTAATAAAAATATTCGCAAAAATTACCGATTGCAATAAAAATTCAAAACTAAAATTTAACATTTTTCATGGTAAATGAAATTTAAAAAAAAAAAAATTTCGATAAAATTCTAAGCAAGAATATTCAATTATTTTAATAAATAATAAATCAATTATTTTTAATAAAAATTTCAATAATTGAATTCATCGAAAGAATTTTCAAAAATAACAAAATTTTTCAAAGAAATTCAATTCTTTTTAAACATTTTAATGAAATTATTCGCAATAATTCAATTATTTTTATAAATAATAAAATCGTTCTCATGAATTCAATTATTTTTTAAAATCTTAATAAAATTCTTTGCAATCATTCAATTATTTATTTCCATAAATAATAAAATTCATCTCAGGATTGCAATTATTTTTAATACTATTTTTAAATTAATTAATCGAAAAATTCAATCATTTTCACAAATAAAGTTTTCCACAAGAATGCAATTATATAAAATAAAATTTTCATAATATTTATTATATTTCGAAAAAATTAATTATTTAAAACAATGTTTATAAAATTCTTATAAAGAATTCAATTATTTTCAAAAATAACAAAATTTTTTGAAGAAATTTAATTCTTTTTAAACATTTTAATAAAATTTTTTGCAATAATTCAATTATTTTCATAAATAACAAAATTTTTCACAGAGATTCAATGTTTTTTAAACTTTTTAATAAAATTTTTCGCAAAAATTCAATTATTATTATAAATAATAATAAAAAAAATTCTTCTCAGGAATTCAATTATTTTTGAAAATTTTAATTAAAATGCTTAGCAACTATTCAATTATTTTTATTAATAATAAAATTCATCGCAGGATTTCAATTATTTTTAATACAATTTCACAGGAATTGCTCGAAAAAAATGTAATTATTCTTAAAAATTTAATTTCAATTCCTTGAAAAAATCAATTATTTACAAAAATATTAGAATTTTTCACAGGAATTCAATTATTTTCAAATATTTTAATAAAATTGTTCGAATGAAATCAATTATTTTAAATACAAGTTTAATTAAATTTTTTTGAAATAATTCAATAATTATTCTTTTAGATTTTAATTAAATTTTTCTCAAGAATTCAATTATTAAAGATAAATAACAAAATTATTCCCGAAAATTCAATTATTTTGAGGTATTTCAATAAAAATTCTTTGCAAAATTCAATTATTTTCTTCATTTGAACGTTCAGAATTTTTTCTGAACAATTTTGTTGAAAATTATTTATTCGGAAAGAATAATAATAAAAATAATAATTTAATATCGATTATTCTTGAAAATTATTTGTTCTGAAATAATAATATTAATTTTATATTAATTTTTTCTTGAGAATTATTTGTTCTGTATTAATAGTAATAATAATAATAAAAAAAGAATTTAACATTAACTTTAATATAAAAATTACCGATTACGATATTGCGATAAAAATAAAAATTTCAAATTTAGAAACTTTATAATTTATTTTTTTATACGTGACACAAAATTTATGCATTAAAATTTCGATTTGAACAAGTAATAAATAAATTTCGTTCTAATTTGAATGTTCAGAACTTTAGGAAAATTTGAAGAAAATTATTTCTTCGGAAATAAGAATAAAAATAATATTTTAATATTAATTATTCTTGAAAATCATTTGTTTTGAAATAATAATAAAAATAATTTGATATTAATTTTTTCTTAAAAATTGTTTGTTCTGTAGTAATAATAATAGAAATAATTTAATATTAATGTTTTCTCGAAAATTATTTTTGTGTGAAATAAATATTAATATCAATAATAATAATAATAATAATAATAATAATAATAATAATAATAACAAAAATAATTACTTTAAAAACTGTGGAATGAGAATATGCCACGATGTATGATCTTGCTTGAGAGTGAGAAAAATTTCAAAAGTCGAAACAGAATGTGGATCGCACTGAATCCTCGAGAGCCTTCGGCACATGTTGTCAGTTTCGAAATTGATAAAGAGTGTGCATCCTCTAAAAAAGAAAAAAGGAACAAATTTTTAATTAATAAGTAGCAAAAATCACAGCGACGAGAGAGAGAGAGAGAAAAAAAAGAGCGGAGGGAGAACAGCTCAAGGACAAAAAGCCGGCAAGCTCAAACCTGTCAGCGCACGAAAACCTCCCACTCATCCATTTCTTTCTTTTCAGTATATAACAATTTTTTATTTACTCATGATAATTTTTTTTCTTACCATCTCGAATATTCTATGTTTCACTATTTTTCAATTTAACCCCACCAAGAAATTAAATTAAACTTTTTTCTTCCTAATTTTTGTTTGAAAATTTTTTTTCTTGTTCACTCTGGCGAAAATTAAATCTTAACAACTGACCTACTTTTTTGAAGAGATGCATTCAAGATTTCACTTGTTTCTTTTGAAAAAAAAGCGAAATTCATCATCAATGATGATAGAGAGAAAAAATTAATAATTTCGAAAGAATTAAAGAAAATTTTATTTCCTGGGGAAAAATGAGGGATCTTTTTTTTTTATTGGCAATTATTCTCTCTTGTCATGTTGCGTAAGTGTGACAGATGATAGAAATGATTACCTGAGACCGCAGGGTTCATTTTCGGCCATGATTAAAACATCTTTAGCTATTCTAGGAAGGAGATCCGCTGGTAATAGAACTTCACCGCAAGCTAGTTGAGCATGTTTCGCTGCTCTCAATTCGACTTCCAGTCGTTTTGCCAAAGCTTGAGAGGCACCGTCCAGTTCATCTGTTACAGTTTCAGCTGCAAGAAAAAATAAAAAAAAATTAATAAAAAGAAAAAAAATTGCAATAAATCCTTTTTTTTTTTGTAAATTTCAATTATTCCAATTACTCCAAAATTTTCCCTTTTGATCAAAAACTTTATTTATTCCCTTCCAGAATTTCCACTTTTTATTTTATCGACACTATTTGGCAAACTTTGCTAAAATGATTGAAACACTAAAGTAATAATAGCACTTTCTAAAGAAAGTTGTACTTTCTACTACAAGCATTAGAAATTTTGAGCGAACCGTTGTTGCGATTAAACGAACCATGATGAAATTAAAAGCTCAATACAACTTAATTTATCATTAACACATCAGCAACAAAATTTAAAAAAAAAAAATAAAATCAATTTAAATTACAACTGACGAAACAATTTATTAATTTTGCCCACGAATTGAAAAAACGGAAATTTACGAAAAAAAAATACACGACTCTATAGTTATATTTTCTTTTAATCGATTGTAATTAAAAGAATTAGTCACAATGAACAATGATGAAACTCACCTCTATTGTTGCTGAAGTTCACATTGACAGGACAAGGTAGAACCTCCATGAGTGTAGAAAATTATTTTCCAACAAAGAAATATAAAAAAGAAAATCACTTTTTCACTATTATTATTTTTCTTTTTCGAAAAAAAAAATAACGAATAACGAATCAAATAACAATTGAGAAAAGTTCGTTAAAAAGGTCAAAAATTGTGTAGAAAGGCAATTATTGTTTAAACAACCGGCTTTTGTTCGAGAACTAGAAAAATACTTTTTTTTAATTTTGAGAAATAGAAATGAATCTTGGGAACAGAAGCAGTTAACAACAAAGCCTGACTGACACTAAGCCACCCGGCACCGATGACGCGACTTTTGTACCGGCTCTATCCCTTCCAATCCGCCTAGCAACACCGGTTGTAACTTCGCAAAGTTTCGACAATATTCGGCCAACATCGGGCTTTGTTTTTCATCATGATCGCACACACTCACACACACACACACACACACATACACTTTACACACTGTGACTACACTGCTTTTGACATAAGCGTGCTCCGACCTGATAAACTCTATATGCTTTATGTTTTTCTAAAATCATTTATTTATTTTAGAATAATGTGTATTTTAACAGTAATTTTTCTATTTTTAATTTTTTTTTAATTTTAAAGTCAATTTTTGTTTTTTAAATCGTCTTTTTTAATCATCTTTTTTTTAAACTACAATTTCTTTGTATTCTAGAGTAAAGGCAGTACACTATTTGTCAAAATTATAAAGTTTGTTATAGAAAGGCCATAAAATGCACGTTATATTGTTAATTTAAATATTATAATTGCGGATAAATTCGATTATAATTTGACATTTAGGAGCAAATTCGATGGGAAATAATATTAATTTGGGAATAAAATATCTTGGCTCGGAATAAAAATACAACGGGCATTTTGACAGAAAGAAAGAAAGAAAGAAAGGAGAAGGGAAGAAAGAAAGAAAGAAACTGTTTAAAGGGAACGATTATTTCTGATATTAAAAAAATTGAATAAAAATTAGAAAAAATTAAATAAAAGTAGAAATTATAATTAAATAAAAGTAGAAATTAGAATTAAATAAAGTAGAACAATTAAATGAAAACTAGAAAAATTAATAAATCGAGTAAAAATTATAATTCACAAAAAATTGTCTAAAGAAATTGTTTACAAGGAAATAATTTTTTGTGTTAGAAGTTAACAATTAGAAAACTTGAATAAAAATTAGAAAAAATTAAATAAAAACTAGAAAAATTAAATTAACATCAGTAATTAACAAAATAGGGTCTAAAAAATTGTTTAAAGAAAGCAATTCTTATAACAACAATCAGAGAAGTTAAATAAAAACTAGAAAAATTATAAATTATAATTATAATTAACAAAAAACTGTCTAAAAAAACAATTTAATTAAAAATTTTTAAAACTTTGAGAAATTAAGAAAAAATTAGAAAAATTAAATAAAAATTAGAAAAAAAAACTTGTCTAAATAAATTATTTAAGGAAAAAGAATTTTTTATCTTAAAAATTAGAAATTCGAAAAATTGAATAAAAATTGGAAAAACAATTAAATAAAAACTAGAAAAAGTAAATAACAATTATAATTAACAAAAAAAACTGCATAAAAAACAATTTCTTAACTAAAAATTAGAAAAAGGAGAAAAACTAAATAAAAATTTAAATTAATAAAAAATTGTTTAAAGAAAAAAATTTTTTTTATTTGAGAAATTTTTGAAATTAAATAAAAAATATAATTAGAAAAACTTGTTTAATGAAAACAATTTCTTAATTAAAAATTAGAAAAATTAAATTAAAATTATATTTAACAAAAAAATTGTCTAAAGAAAAGAATTTTTTATATTATTAAAAATTAAAAATTAAAAATTAAAAAAATTGAATAAAAATTGGAAAAAATTAAATAAAAACTAGAAAATGTAAATAAAAATTATAATAAGTAAATAGAAAATTATAATTATAACAAAAAACTGTCTAAAAACAATTTTTTAATTTGAAAAATAGAAAAATATTAAACAAAAATTAAATAAAAATTAGAAAAGCTAGGTAAATAAAAATTATAATTAAAAAAAATTGTCTAAAGAATTTGTTTAAAGAAGAGAATTTCTTATTTTAAAAATTAGTGAAATTAAATAATAATTATAATTAACAAAAACGTATCTAAAGAAAACAATTTCTTAATTAAAAATTGGAAAAATTAAACAAAAATTAGAGAAACTAAAGAAAAATTAGAATTAAAGAAAAATCCTAATTTACAAAAAATTGTTAAAAAAAAAAAATTTCTCTATTGAAAGTTAGAAAAATTAAATGAAAATGAAAGGAAATTAATAAACAATTAGGAAAATAAAAAAAAGTAAAAAAAATTTAAAAATAATTATAAAAATTAAGTAAAATCTAAAATTAGCAAAAAAATTTTCCAAATCGGAAAAGTACAGTCAATTTAAAAATTCCGTCTGCATTAAAGAATTATACTATTTTAACTCATCTAGAACTGAATTATGTAACTATAATCAAAATGTCTTCAATTCAACCAGGAAAAGTAATTAAGATGCATATTATTTTTTCCTTTTTTGAGATGATGATAATAACAATGAAAAAAAATACATATAATTCCAAAAGTAGTACAAAATAACTTATAATATTTATAATAATTAAATAAATAGGAAATCAAATTTAAATACAGTTGGAAATTGTATTAGCAATAAAGATTTAGTTTTTTTTAACACTTTTTGTACAAAAAAATTTTCTAAAGAAGCAAAATAATTATTTCAATATTTTGTGAAAAAAAAAACAATTTTTCCATTATTTTGGAAAATTTATCGCAAAATTTCTTTTGCAAATATATATTCTACCTGTAAGGATATAAGCATTATATCGATTTCACCTTCTTAGGAGAGAATATAAATAAATTACCCTGTACTAATAATTTCTGTTTATTACAAAAAATAAAACCATTTTTTTTCCTAGTTTGTTTCGATTTTATTTTCCAGTATAACCAGTGGCGATATTTTTTTTTTATTGACTCAACTGATGAGGGCATTAATTTTGAGTCAATAAAAAAAAAAGTACATAATTTTTACGATTTTCGAATTTTAGAGAATTATTTATTTATTGAGAGAACGAGCAAGAGAGAGAGAGAAAGAAAGACAGTGCTTATTTTTATTTCGTCAGATTTTTAATATCGTGTGTATATAATAGTAGTAGTTGCATCATCGAACCAGTTTGGGGTAAGGCGGTAAGGTCTCTACTTGCGTATAATCACGTATACACCATGACAAAGAAAGCTTTAAATTTACAAGAGTTATCTATTGTTTATCAGTAGCAGTAGATGAAAATAAATTTTAACACATCTTTATCAGTCTATTAATATCTATACAATTTTTTTTTTGTTAGTCATTATTTAATTTCTTTCTTTTTTTTGCAAAAAAAAAAAAAAATTTTCCCGAAATGATTTCGTTTCAAAAGGAGAAAATCAATTTAAATATTAAGAAAAGAAATATTCGATAATAAAAAAATACCTACAATTTTCAAAACATTTTCAATATTTGCAATTGAAAAATAATTTTTCTAAGTTATAATATTATAACTTAGTTAGAAAAATGACGTTTGGAAACACAAAAGAATTGACATTTACAATTCGAACACACAACAAAGATTTTTTTTTCTCTTTTAATATTGTGTTTTTTTTCTTTACTAATTAATATTTAACATTTTCGAGAATAACCAAAAAGGGAAAAATTAGAAAATTTCTTCAACAAGTTGTTGTTGTTAACTTTTTCTGCTTTTTTGTTTAGAAATTAATAACGTTATAAAAGGGAGTGTCAATTTTTTCTTTGTTACCAAGCAGCGTCCTCTTTATCCCCACCTATTGCCAGCAAACTCGCTGTACGATTTTTCTCCCAACCATCAGTACTGGATCTATTGTGTGTAAATCTATGCGCCTTATGCCTTATAAACTTCTCTCACCAAATAAAGTGGAGAATAAAATAAAAAAAAAAATTCTCTATACAAAAGTGTAGAATTTTAAATTAATACGAATTGTATAAATAAATAATAAATATTTATAGGTATAAATAATTTATCTATAATGTTATTTATAAATTATTACTATAATATTCCTGTCATGTAATTATTGTAACGAAAAATTTAAATTTTGCCGAAATTTACAATTTTTGACAATAAAACCGACTTTAACTATAAAAAAAAAAAGTATTTTCTCCTTTTTCGAAGGAGAAAATACTGAATAAAATAAAATAGTGAATGGAATAAAATAGTACATGAAAGAAAATGACAATTAAAGTAAAAAAGTAAATAAAATTGATAAAATAGAAATAATTTTCAAATTATTTACAATTAGAATAAAAAACAAACTTTTCTTTGTACTTTCGACGCTCCTGACAAGTCCCTTTCTCTCTGTTTCTGTTTTTTTCTCTCTCTTTCTTTCTTTCTCTCTCTGTCTCTCTTTTTCTCCCTCTCTCCCAGTACTTTCCACAAGTTTACAATCTCTGCAAGGGGCACAATTATTAATTCCGTATTTTTACCCTCTTTTCTTTGCAAAAAAAAAAAAAAGAAAAAATACAAATTTCTCTAATAATAATAAATAGAAAAAAAGAATTTTAAAAAACAAAAATTTGCCTTCTATAAAAAATAGTGAAGAGGAGAAATATTATTTCTACGCCACTGTTTCTGACCCTTTCAACTTGGAGGGGTCCAACAACAATACACTGTTCAGGTAGCACAAGGAAATTTGCATCAAACTTGCGACAAGTTTCGACAAGTTTCAACAAGTTTGCTGTTAATGCAGTCCGGAAATATGGTTTTTCAGAATAAAAGTTGGATTTTCAAAATTAAAATTTCTTTTCCAGAAACGAGGAGAAAGAAAAGAGAATATAACAATCAATTTCAATTTAATAATTAAAAACGCGAGCATTTTAAATGGAAAAAAAATTTAATTGATTAAGTAGAAAATTTTCACGTTTTGGTCAATATTCTCTATATTTAAATTTGTTTCCTATATATAGTCCGGGAAAATTACAATCTATATTTAAATTCAACTTTTTAGTAATAATCAATTCAATTCTAAACGGTAATTAATTCTAATAATGGAAATTATATTATCGCAAGGTGATAATTATTCAAACTTTTTGTTTATTTCATCACTCTTGTGAGAAAAAAAAACGATCGTATATTTCATAAATATTCTTTTAATAAATTATAATTTACTTTTCTATATTTCTTCTCTGATTCCAAATATTGTATAATCTAGTTTTGGTTCGATAAATATATTTTAGAATTATCAATTCTATTTTTATTAAAATTCTCTTTCTTCTACATTTAACTCAATTTCAATACATATTGACAAAATGAGATAAAGTTTATATGACAAAATTTACAATTTAGTTTGCTAGTGTCGGAAAAAAGAGGGGAAAAGTGTTAAAAATAATTACTGGTCGAATAATAATTTCTAATGTATGCTTTTTTTAATATCAAAATACTCTTTTCTGTATGTAAAATGTAGAAATAAAGAAATTATATTGTTTCCTTTTTTGCTTTTAGAAAACAAAAAAAAAAATTTTGAGAGGTTATGTCTGCGCGGTGCTTTAAAAATCGCAAGGCTCGCAACTATTTTATTTTGTTAAATATAAACAATAAGTTTGCGTCTCGACGTTCCTTATGTTTAAAATAGACTTTTCGTTTATATTTTTCCCCAATTGCATCGAATTTTCATTTTAAAGTTATAACATTTTTCGTGTCCCTCGTGTCGCACGATCCGCATGACAGAAAATTTTGAGGTTATGTCCGCATTTTCGTCTACTAATTTCTGCGATTTCCACAGCGAGTTTATAACTTTCCCGATTATAATATTTCCATTATTCGAAAGAAATAGACGAAAACGTACCTTTTTATCCTTTCGATGCGAGGGATGCGAGATATTTGCCTCCTGAATCCCTGAGAAAATCAAAAAGGCGGGATGAGGAAGAATCTGATCCGGTCATCCTGATAATCATTTCACATATATTTATTCACCATTTGTTCACATTACTTTTTTGTTATAAAAGGCGAAAGAGATTGCATCACGTGATAGCGCAATCACCAATAATTTTACTCTATTAAAGTCTATAAATAAGTGGGAGTAAATTTGCACGTAAAGCCCAGCGTGGCGCTAAAACCGCGAAAAACCGTTAAAACTGGGAGTATACAGTTCAATAGACGTGAATCTCGATGGTACACTTGGAAGAATTTTACAGTGCTGCCACCTGCAACTTATTCAGTTTTTAGGGCTTTTCCTGTAAATTTGTCGATAAAGTAGAAATTGGTAAAAAACATAGATGTCAGCACTTGAAAGAAGATAAAAATTGATTTTCATTATTTGACTTTCAATAAAAATGGCAGCGCCCTGTCCAGTGACGTGTAATGTTATCCTTTTTATCGTTTTGATATTAGAACAGTAATAAATGTCATGGAATACTTTAAAAGTAGCCTCAAATCAGTACTTGGTACTCCTCTACCAGAAAATGTGCCTTCTGGAGCAGATACGGTGAGAATTTATTCAATTTTTATCATAGATTTTTCAAGTTTGACAGAAAGTATACTGTCAAACTTGTCAATATTCATAAACAGATTGTACGATAAAAAATACTTCCTCAAGGAGGTAATTTACAAGAATATAAGAAAGAAGAACTATTTATATTATTTCCGGGTTAAATTTAGTTAATTTGTGAAAATAACACAAAATATGGAAAATAGACAGAAAAGGTGAATAGACTGTCAAAAATACTGTCATTAGATTGATTATAGATTTTAGTAATTTTTTAATTGTATTTCTAAGTACTTTTACTTTTATCTTTTATTTATTCGTCTCTTCAGGTGGAAAGAATGGTTGACAGACTTCAATCGTCAACTTTACTCGATGACAGAAGAGACGCATGTCGTGGCCTTAAAGCACTTTCGCGAAGTTATCGACTTGAAGTCGGTGCACAAGGCATGGATTCATTGAGACAAGTTTTAGAAATGGATAAAACTGATTGTGAAATTACTGGTCTTGCTTTAGAAACACTTTGTAATATAACTCATCCGGAGACATTCGATGAAGAAGGTAAACATTTTTCTAGACATTTTTCTATTTGCTTTGCGATTTGAAAAAGAAAAAATTATAAATTTTCCTTCTAGTTGAAAAATATGGACCTAGAAATAAAATTGGAGAGCAATTCACGGAGATATTCACTAAACAACAAGACAGTATTGGTTTGATATTAAGTTTTCTCGAGGAATTTGATTTTAAAGTGAGATATCCAGCTTTGAAATTATTGTCTCATTTACTTATAAATAAACCAAAAAATATTCAGGAAATAATATTGGTTAGTCCAATGGGAGTTTCGAAATTAATGGACCTACTCGCTGACAGTAGAGAAGTTATTAGAAATGACGTGAGTTGATGTTTTTAATTCTCTAAAACTATAGAAATTAAATAAGAGAAAGATTCCAGAGAATTTTATTAAAAGTAATGGAAAAAAAAAATTAAATTTTTATATTTTTAAATAACAGAGAAATCAGAGAATTCGGAGAAAAGTCAAGGAATTTTATTAAAAATACTGGGAAAAAATTAAATTTTTATATTTTTAAATAACAGAGAAATCAGGGAATTCAGAGAAAAGTCAGGAAATTTTATTAAAAATACTGGAAAAAATTTAAATTTTTATAGAATTCATACTGAAGTTTGCTGTCTTTTTTGTTTGCCTTAAAATTTTTACATTGCCAAGAATTTTAATACAAAACCTTAAATTTTTTTTTCTATTTTTGACAATAATTTAATTCTTAAACAACTACCAAAGAATTATTTCTTTATAAATTATTTAATGAATAATTAAAAATTTCAAAAATAATTAAATTTTATAAGAGTTTTATTTACAATTTTTATAAATAGTTGAGTTTTTCAAAAGGTTTCAATTTAAAATTTTAGAAAATTTCAATTTTGAATGAATTTAATTAGAAATTTTTAAAAATTTAGTTTTTTGAAAAATTTTAATTACAATTCATTCGAAATAGTTACATTTTTGAATATATATATTTAATTATTAAAAATAATTTATTTAGAGAAGAATTTTAGTTAAAAATTCCAGAAAATCAATTGAATTTTCAAAAGATTTTAAAATAAAATCATTGAAAATCGGAATTTTTAAAATATTTTTCCTCAAGAATTCTGTAAAACTAATTTCTTTCCGAAAAAATTTTAATTTTAATTCTCTCGAAATTAGTTGAATTTTTTTAAATATATTTAATTATTAATTATTTAATCTAATGAATAATTGAAATTAATTTAATAACTCATTTTTTTAATAATGAATAATTTTTATTGAAAATTTCAAAAATAATCGAATTTAATAAGAGTTTCGTTTACAATTTTTATAAATAATTAAGTTTCAAAAGGTTTCAATTTGAAATTGTAGAAAATTTCAATTTTTAATGAATTAAATTTGAAATTTTTAATATTATATATTTTTCCTTAAAAATTCTGTAAAACTAATTTTTCTGAAAATTTTAATTTTAATTCTTTTTTCTTTTTAAAAAATAATTGATTTATAGAAGAATTTTAGTTAAAAAATTTTAGAAAATAATTGAATTTTGGGGAAATTTAAAAAAAAATCTTTAGTAAATCTGAATTTTTAAAATATTTTTCCTTAAAAATTCTGTAAAACTATATTTATTTCTGAGAAATTTTAATTTTAATTCTTTTCTTTTTTTAAAAATAATTGAATTAGAGAAACATTATTAAAAATAATTAATTTAGAAAAGAATTTCAGTTAAAAATTTCTGGAAAATAATTGAATTTTGGAGAAGTTATACAAATAATAGCAATTTTTGGAAATAATTGAATTTTGAAAAGGTTTCAAATTAAAATCTTTGTAAATCTGAATTTTTAAAATATTTTTCCTTAAGAATTCTGTAAAACTAATTTTTTTAAAAACAGTTTAATTTTAATTCTTTTCTCTTTTTAAAAATAATTGATTCAGAGAAATATTATTAAAAATAATTGATTTATAGAAGAATTTCAGTTAAAAATTTCTAGAAAATAATTGAATTTTGGAGAAGTTATACAATTAATAACAATATTTTTGCAAATAATTGAATTTTTAAATGGTTTCAAATTAAAATCTTTGTAAATCTGAATTTTTTAAATATTTTTCCTTAAGAATTCTGTAAAACTAATTTTTTCTGAAAAATTTCAATTTTAATTCTTTTCTCTTTTTAAAAATAATTTATTTAGAAAAATATTATTAAAAATAATTAATTTATTAGAGAAGAATATTTCAGTTAAAAACTCGTGAAAATAATTGAATTTTTGGGAAAATTACAAAAATAATAGCAATATTTTTAGAAATAATTTAATTTTGAAAAGGTTTTAATTTATAATCTTTGAAAACCTGAATTTTTAATTTTTTTTTATTTACAATTCTGTCGAACTAATTTCAGTTTAATTCAAATTCTTATGAAATTAGTTTAAGTTTATATTTTCTAATAATATAATATATTTAATTGAAGAATTTCCGACTAATCAAAATTGTTAATATTGCAGGTATTATTAATATTAATACAATTAACAAAAGGAAATGCAAATATTCAAAAAATTGTTGCTTTCGAAAATGCATTTGATCGAATTTTTGACGTTATTTATCAAGAGGGAGGAGCGGAAGGTGGTATTGTCGTTGAGGATTGTTTACTTTTAATGTTAAATCTTTTACGTGGAAATACGAGTAATCAAAATTTTTTTAAAGAAGGTACGACACTTTTTTCCATTTACTCTCTATTTCTTTCTTTATTATTAACTTTTATCTCTTATTTTTTTATTATAGAACAATACTTCTCATTTGAATATTATTTATTTAATTTATTTAATTTAATTTTTTTACTTCGTAAGGTACCTTTTTTTGGGAGCAAGTCACAATTATTTATTTTCACATAAATTCAAAAATATATCAATTATTCCAGGAAGTTATATTCAAAGACTAAAGCCCTTATTTGAAATACCACCGGAAGTTGATGACAGTCCTTTGGCCAGTTGGAGTCCGCAAAAAGTTTCAAATCTTCATTGTATGGTTCAAGTAATCCGTGCCTTAGTGGCACCGAATGGTCCAGCTCAGGTAATTAGACAAATTTTTCTTGATAAACACCAATTTTAAATATCAATAAGCAGCAAAATTTTATTAACAAAAAAAAGAAATACAATTTTTGCTACATTAATTGATAACAATTTTTTTTTGCTAAAGTTGGTGGCTGCTTGCCAACGAAATATGGAAGCTTGTAAATTATTGCAAGCACTTTGTGACATTCTGATGTCGAGCGGAGTGCCAGCGGATGTTTTGACCGAATCATTATGTGCAGTGGCCGAAGTCATTAGGGGAAATCAAACCAATCAAGAATTTCTGGCAAATGTCATGGCGCCTAGTTCTCCTCCCAAGTATTCTAATTTTTTAGATCTATAGTCGAATCGATTTAAATTCGATTTAAATTTAAATTTAAATTTTAATTGAAACTAAATTTAAATTCTAGACCGGCCATAGTTGTACTTTTAATGTCGATGGTGAATGAGAAGCAACCATTTTTATTACGATGTGCCGTTCTCTATTGTTTCGAATGTTTTCTCTACAAAAATGGATCGGGACAAGCTCAACTCGTGCAGACTTTTTTACCCCAAGGGAACGAAACTCCATCTTTAACAACAGGTTCGTTTTTTCACTTTTCTTTACTTTTCGTTAATTTTCTTTAATTTTCTTTAATTTTCTTTACTTTTCTTTACTTTTTGTTGATTTTCTTTATTTCTCGTTATTTTTCTTTACTTTTCGATACTTTTCATTACTTTTCGTTATTTTTCGTTACTTTTCGCTACTTTTTGTTAATTTTCGTTATTTTTCGTTAACATTCTTAATAAACTTGTAATAACACTTTTCTTGTGATGAAAATTATCGTTTTGTTTTATTTTTCAGGACAATTAATATGCGGTGGTCTTTTTTCATCTGATCCACTGTCAAATTGGTTCTCGGCAGTTTTATTATCGCACGCTTTAATTGACAACGCCACGCAGAAGGAGCAATTGTTGAAAGTACTTTTAGCGACGAATATTGGCAAACCACCGGTGAAATTAATGCAACAGTGCGTTATGCTCCTTCAACAGAGCAATAAAATACAATCAAAATTGGGACTTTTGATACTTTTATGCACATGGACCGCCTACAGTTCTCCGGCTGTAAAAACATTCCTGACAATTGAAAATTCAATTGCCTATCTCACTGCACTTTTATCATCTCAAGAGAACAATGAAGATTTACAAGAGTGTCTCCTTCAGAATATGTGCGCATTTCTCATTGGAATTTGCGTTCATTTCAATGATGACAGTATTCCCACTTACACAAAGGTAATAATTAATAAATATACAATTGTTTATTTATTTATTATTAATTTTAATAAATTCAGGGCTTAAACTAGTAAAAGTATTTAAAAGTACGGACTTTAAAGACCAAAAATGAAAAATTAGAAATTAGAAAATTCTACGAGAATTCAATTATTTAAATACAAAAAAAATAATTTTATTGATAAATTGAAAGTTTCTTAAAATAAATGTAATTGAATTCATATCAAGATTTCAATTAAAATTTTTGAAAATAATTGAATTTCTCCGAAGAATTTTCTTATTTATAAAGAAAATTGAATTTTGATAACATTTTTCATAAAAATTCAATTTTCTTAAAAATTCTTAAGAATTTTATTAAACTTTTTAAAAATAATTGAATTTCTCCGAAGAATTTTATTATTTATGAAGGAAATTGAATTTTGATAACATTTTTCATAAAAATTCAATTTTCTTAAAAATTCTTAAGAATCTTATTAAAATTTCTGAAAATAATTGAATTTCTCCGAAGAATTTTATTATTTAATGATTAAAGTTATTAGAGAAATTTTAGTCAAATTTTTACGAAGAATTTTATTATTTTTAATTGAATTCTTTCGACGAAACTTAATAAAATTTTTAAGAATAATTACATTTTTCGAGAAATTCAATTAAAATTTGTATATAAAATAATTGAAAACCTGCGATGAGTTTTATTATTTAAGAAAATAATTGAATCCGTGAAAAGAATTTTATTATTTTTTAACAATATTTATTCTTTTGCTAAGAATATTATCAATCTTGAAAATAATTGAATTTCTGCAATAATTTGTAACTTTTCCAAAATCAAATTTTTTTCCTTGTTTTTAACTAAAATTCTTCTATAAATGCATTAATTTTAATAATTTTTGAAAAAGTTCTTTGAGAATTTTCAAATTCATTTGTTTACAATTCAATTTTACAAAATTTCAGTTATTCGTAAATTCTCCAAATAAATATTTATTAGAAAATAAAAACTTCAAATAATTTTTTAAAAAAATTCACAATTAAACTTTCTCAAAAAAATTATGTCTACAGAATTGTTAGTTAAAATTATAAAAAATTCAGATTTTCAAAGATTTTAATTTGAAACCTTTTCAAAATTCAATTATTTCTAAAAATTCACGCTCTGGTGCTTTTAATATTCAATTATAATCTAAAATTATAACTGAAATTAGAAAATTAGAAATTAGAAATTAAAATTAAAATTAAAATTAAAATTAAAATTAAAATTAAAATTAAAATTAAAATTAAAATTAAAATTAAAATTAAAATTAAAATTAAAATTAAAATTAAAATTAAAATTAAAATTAAAATTAAAATTAAAATTAAAATTAAAATTAAAATTAAAATTAAAATTAAAATTAAATTAAATTAAATTAAAATTAGAAAATTATTAGAAAATTCTACGAGAATTCAAATATTTGAATACAAAAAAGAAATTATTTATTGAATAATTAAAAATTTCTTAAAATGAATAAATTATAAAGTAAATGTAATTGAATTCATGTTAAAGAATTCAATTAAAATTTTAGAAAATAATTGAATTTCTAAGGAAGAATTTTATTAAAATTTTTGAAAATAATTGAATTTCTCCGAAGAATTTTTTTATTTATAACAAAATTGAATTTTGATAACATTTTTCATAAAAATTCTTAAGAATCTTATGAAAATTTTTTAAAATAATTTAATTTTTCCGAAGAATTTTATTATTTATGAAGAACTTTTGTGAAAAATGTTATGAAAATTTTTGAAAAGAATTGAATTTCTCCCAAGTATTTTATTATTAATAAAGAAAATTAAATTTTTGTGAAAAATGTTATTAACATTCTTAAAAATAATTGAATTCCTACAAAGAATTTTGTTATTTATAAAAATAATTAAATTATTGCAATTTTCATAAACAAAATTAATTGGAATTCTATTGAAAATAATTGAATTTATTAGAAAAATTTTATTAAAATTTTTGCGAAGAATTTTATTATTTTTAATTGAATGAATGCTTTTGATGAATTTTAATAAAAAAATTTAAGAATACTAACAATTTTCGATGAATTCGATTAAAATTGTATTAAAAATAATTGAATTTATGCAATGATTAAGTTTTTTAAATAATTGAATTTTTGTGGAGAATTTTATTAAAATAGTAGATATTAAAAATCATTGGATTGAGGAAAATTTTTAAAAATAATTGAAATTTTGTCAGGAATTTTATTAAAATTTTTGAAATAATTGGATTTTAGAGAAGAATTTAATTATTTCTAAAGATAATTGAAATTTAGACGAGAATTTATAAAAATTTCTGAACATAATTGAATTTCTGCGAAAAATGTTATATTGCTTTTGAAAATAATTGAATTTCTGCAATCAAATGTAATTTCTCTAAAATTCTCCAAATTATGAACTTTTCGTCTTTTGTCAATCAAATTACGGACTTTACGGACCTTTGTTTAAAAAAACTGACTTAAACGGACTTCAAACAAATTTACGGACCTAGTTCGAGCCCTGTAAAATGTTTATTTATTATTAATTTTAATAAACAATTGTTTATTTATTACTATTAATTATTAATTTTTTTATTATTATTAATTATTAATTTTATTATTATTAATTATATTAATTATAATAAAAAGAAGATACAAACAAAAATTATATGTGTCTAAATATTTAAATTTTACTTAAGATTTTAATAAATTTTTAGGAAAAACTTTGCAGTCTAGTGGAAAATCGAATAGGTTTGGAAAAATTTCAAAATGCAATTGGAGGAATTTCCAGACACGAAGTGTATTCGAGAAGTTTGAAACATCCTCAATCATCGGCGAAAAATTCTTCTGAACTCTATTTAGATCATGAATTTTGTAGACTACTTAAAAACTTAGAAGGTAACTAATTATTTTTCTTCTTTTTTCTCTCAATAAATAATTTGCAGAATACTTTAATTGAAAAAAACCTTTCAAAAATAAATTCCTCTTTTCAGCTAACGTCTTAAAATCCGTTCTCGATGGAAGCAGTTCTCAAGGTTCATTGGATCAAATCACGACAATGTTACCATCAGATTCGGCACTAGTCTCGCAATATAAGGACTTAATCAGAGAACAGGACAGTCAAATTCAAAATCTTAATAAAACTAACGAAACTTTATTGAGGGAGAAAAAAGAACTGGAGGTAATGAAAAAATCGTTTCATTTCTTTCGACAATTTATTTTTCAATTGAAAATTTTCGATTTTCAATTCTCAATTAAAAATTTTCCATTTTCAATTGTCAATTAACAATTTTCCATTTTCAATTGTCAATTAAAAATTTTCGATTTTCAATTCTCAATTAAAAATTTTTCATTTTCAATTCTCAATTAAAAATTAAACATTCATTGAAAATTTAATTACAGACCAAAGTCCAAGAACTTGAAACGTCAATGAGTCATTTAAAAGACCAAAATCTAGTTCTACGAGCAGCACAAACTAATTTTTCGAATGGAAAAGATCCGAATGTTTCGTTAAATCAAATCGAAACGGAGAACGAAGAATTGGAAAAATATAAAGCACAAGTAAAAGAATTAGAAAGTCGATTAAGCACATTGAAAATGAGTCAAGAGGAGAGTAAAATTGTTGATCCCAATCAAGCGACGAAACTTGAGGAAATTCTCAGGCAACGAACATTGGAACTTGAAAAATTGAGAAAAGATCAAGAAGATTTACTCGAACTTCTCTCGGATCAAGATAATAAAATTACAATGTATAAAGAAAGACTATTATCATTAGGTGAAAAGGTACAGATTTCGAAAAAAATTACTTTTATAGTTATAAATTTTTTTCATTTTTTATTATATTTTATTCAATCATATTAATAATTTTAGGAATTATTAATTAAAAATTTTAAAAAAAATTAATTTTTCAGGTTGAATCTGATGAAAGTTCCGGCGATTTAGATACCGATGATCAACCAGAATCGAGTAATTAATTTAAATACTAATTTCTTCAATTATTCTTCGTATTTGAATGAATTTTTGATTTATTAGAATTTTCTTGTGATTTAAATTATCAATATTATCAATTAACTAATTTTCACTGTCAACCAAAAAATACGTTTCATTGTACAATTGTAAAACAATTCCTTGCTTTTTTTTAATTCTCTATACTGAAAGTTGTTAATTTTTTTTTCTTTTTAAAAATAGTTGTATATTATATTTATAAAATAAAATTTATATAAATTAGAAAACAATTTTAGACACATACTTATTTATTAAAGAAATATGTATCCTTCAACAATTTTCAATGTATATTAACAATTTTCTCAAAAAAAAAAGAAAAAAAAAGAAATACAAATGAATGAAAATTACACTTTCTGTGCTTATAAATAATATTCACAATAATAATAGTAATAAATTATCTAAATGTGAATTAAGTTACATACAAATTTAGTTTTTGCTCCATTTCATTTAAAATCTATGAAGTTGAAATATATATCTTTGAGAATAATAATAATATTCTATTGTAATAATTTCTATTGTAAATAATAATTTCGTATGATTCACTAACTGTTGGGTATTTTTTTTTCATAGAATTTTACTTCGATTTGAAAAATTTCCATAGATTTATTTTTATCAATTTTCTTGAGCTACTTGATCTGTTGTTTTGTTTTCTTTACTAAATTATTTATAAGTCTTTGTAAAGAAATTGCAACTATTATAAAACAGAACTCACCTATATACATGATTGATCAAGCAAATAAATGTTTTTCTTTTTATACTTGAGATTGACGTTGCTTTAGTGCAGCCTGTACACATTTTGACATTGTTGGCGACGCTCTCGATATTGCGTCGGTCATGAAAAACTGATCTAATGTCTTCTGTCTCACCTCCACTGGATCTGGCAATAAAGAACCTCCAGTTTTCTGCAACAAGACAAATAGAAAAATTATAAAAATAGAAAATCTTTTATCTTCTATCTTCTATTAATAATCGTTGAATTCCGGATTTCTGCCTATTCGCAGTTTAAAGATAGTTGCTGTTTGCTTTTTTGTTTCCTAACTTTTTGAAATAATTCTCCTTTTTAAATGTTTTCAATTTTAAAATTAATGCACTGAAAATCATTGAATTCTTGAAAAGTATTTATAAAAAAATTTGAAAATAATTGAATTCATTTCAATAATTTAATCAACAATTTATTCAATAATTGAATTCTTTCGAGAAAATGTAATTAAAATTGTATTAAAAATAATGTAATTCTTGGCAAGATTTTTATTAAAAAATTATTTTTATTCTTTAATTCTTTAAAATAATTGAATTGTTTTGAAGAATTTATTTCAATTTTCTTAAAGATAATAGAGTTTTTTTAAAAATAATTTTTACTGAAAATTTTGAAAGTAATTGAATTTTATTAATAATTCAATTATTTTTAATAATTGTAATAAAATGCTTTGCAAAAAGTCAATTTATAAAAAATAAAAATCTTCGTACAAAATTCAATTATTTTTATAATAAATAATAAAATTCTTATTAGGATTCCACTTATTTTCAATACAACTTTAATTAATTTCTTTGAAAATTTCAGTTATTTTTAAAAATCTTGTTAAAATGCACCGAGAAAATTCAATTATTTTAAAAAAATAATTGAATTTTTCACAAGAGTTCAATTATTTAAAAAACTTTTAATAAAATTCAATTCAAGAATTCAATTACTTTAAATACCATTTTAATTGAATTCCAGGGAAAATTAAATTATTTTTAAACATTTTTTTAAAATTCTTCGAAAAAATTCAATAATTTCAAAAAATAGTAAATTTTTCACAGGAATTTAATTATTTTAAATACAATTTTCATAAAATTCTTCTCAACAATTCACTTATTTTTTTAAATTTTGTAAAAATTCAATTATTTGTGGAAATAATAAATTTTTTCGCAAAAATTCAAGTATTTAAAAAAGTTTTAATAAAATTCGATTCAAGAATTCAATTAATTTCTGAAATATAGAAATAGTCGATTTACTAAAAATCATTAAATTCTTGTAAAGTATTAATAAAAAATTTGAAAATTATATTCAAATTATTTATAGAAAATTAAATTCTTTTAAACAATTTTGTTTGAGTTTTGTAAATAATTACATTTATTTTTTAACTTTCATTAAATTTCGTATAAATAATATAATTTTTTAAAATACTTAATTGTAAAATTGTTTTGAAAATAATTGGATTTTTGTAAAGAATTTTACTATTTATGAAAATAATTGAATTTTTTCAAAAATAATGTTAAAAATTTTTTTAAAATTGAATTCTATCAAGAAATTTGATTAAAAATGTATTAAAAATAATTTAATTTTTGCAAAGAATTTTACTGTTTATAAATATAATTAAATTTTTTCGAAGAATTTATTAAAAATTTAGAATTTTATATCAGAATTGTTGAAAAAAGTGAATTTTTATTAAAACTTTTGAAAATAATTGTATGTAAATAATATTTTTAAATATAATTGTTTTCTTTCGAGAATTTTTATTAAAATTGTATTAAAAAAAATTGAATTCCTCCGAAATATTTTATTATTTATGAAAATAATTGAATTGTATCTGAATTTTTAAAACTAATTGAATTTTTGGAAGGAATTTTATTAAAAATTTTGAAAATAATGTTTTTTTTAAAGAATGTCATCAAAATTGTTGAAAATAATTGAATTTAATACATATTTTTAAAAATAATTGTATTCTTAGTGAATTCTTTAAATTTTGAATTTGTAATCATTCAAAAATTGATGTTTCTTCTTGAAAATATAAAACTTTTTAATTTACAAAATAATAATAAATAAATAAAATGGCACGCGTATCATTTGCTAGTAAATAAATAAAGAGTTTTGTTCACCAACCTTTGCGAGTTGTAAAGATAAATTCGTGAAATTCGCCGGCTCAACGTCGCCATATCTTGAGAAATGCGGTGCAACCTCTTCAATTCTAAAGCGTAATTCCGTCAAAGTGTCATATGGTAAACAATTTCCAGATATCTGTAAAATATTCACAATAAAGAAATCAATTTGAGAAAAAAGGAACAACGCAAAAAAATTTTTTTTTTCGGAATTAAAAATTATGGAGTATAAAAATATTATTAATACCTCTGAAAGTGCTCGAATAATTTTCCAATCGGGACGCGCCATTCCAGGCGGTGTAATTGCCGCATTAGTTTCCTGTGCACGACCTTCGGTATTGACAAAACTGGCATTCTTCTCGGTGTAAGCAGCGCCAGGTAGAACAACATCGGCGTTCGCTGCTCCTTTATCGCCATGACTTCCAATATAAACAATAAATGATTTGCCAAAATTTTCCTTCGTCACATTAGAATCGTCAGCGCCCAAAAGGAAAAGACAACGTGGTTCTGCTTTCTTTAATTCCTCCAAAGTCGAGCCATAACCAAGATCCAAGGCGCCGACTTGCGATGCATTTGTCTGAAGTACATTGAGTACTTTCCAGTCCGCAGAGATCTGAATAATTTTCAAATTTATTTCAAATTAGTAAATTAAGTAAATTAATTAAATAGTTATAGTAAATAATCAGTAAATAGTTTCAAAAGTATATATGTAGTAAATAATAAGTATGAAATAGAAATTCATTTTTTGACTAACCGATCCTTTATCTCCGACTGTCTTCGCCAATTCTTGTACTTCAGCGAGAATTTTAGCTCCGTCCTCCCGATCCAATTGATTCGCTCCCAAAACAATCATCGGTTTTTTTGCGTTCAATAGAATATTACTGAAGGCGTGCGTACCGTTCTTTAGTTCATTTATGGTTTTTAGAGACTGTCCTAGATGCTAAACGACAACAAGAATAATAATAATAATAATAATAATTTAGGCAATAATAATAAAAATGTGACGCGCTCGACACTTTCCAAGAAAGGTAGAAATTTTAACACAAATTTATCTTGATTTCAGGGTTGCTACAAAATTTTAATTTAATATTCCCTGATAATCAATCAGAAAATTTGAGAATAATTGAATTCCTTCGAAGAATTGAATTTCTAAATAAATTTCAGAAGAATTTGAATTATTAAAATTGTTCAAAAATCTAAATTCTTAAAAATTTCTAATTAAATTAATTGAAAATTGATATTTTATAAAATTTCAAATTAAAACCTCTTCCAAGTTAATTTATTTATGTTGAAGTTCATTTTATCTACTTATGAAAATTATAAACGCAACTCTTTTAAAATTCAAATAATTTTGAAATATTCAGGTTAAATTATTCATTAAATAATTTCTAAGTAATAATTTTCTGATAGTTCTTCAAGAATGAAGTTTGTATTTAAAAAGAAATTATTTTCAGAAATAGAAAAAATATTCGCTAAAATGAAAGAAACGAACCTCATAATCGTAGGTCAAGTCAACTTTTGGTCCAATAAGTGCAATTGTTTGTTCCGCGTGCAAGTATCCTTTTCTCAAACGAGTATTTATCAACGGCGCCTCGTACCTTGGATTAGTACCAATTAATAGAACAACATCAGCATCCTCGAGATTTCGAATTTTATTATTGAGTATATAATTACTGCGTAGATCGATACCTGAACCTTCTTTCGGGAAATTTTGTTCAGTCGCTAATAATTCACTTCCAAGTTTATTAATCAAATCTTTCATCGCCATTAGAGATTCGGCGTCTGCCATTTTTCCAGCAATGGCAGCGCACTTATTTTTCGGTAAATCTTGCAAAGCTCTAGAAACTGTACCAAAAAATGTCAATTAATATTTTAATTAATGTATTAATTAGTAGGTTACGAATAAATGTAAAATAAAATTCGTTTTCTTGTAAATCTGTTAAAATATAGAAAAGGGATTTATTACCAGCAACGAGGGCATCTTCCCATTCGGTGTTCTGTAGTTTTCCGTCGATTTTCATCATGGGAGTCAGGAGTCTCTGTCGCTTTAGTCCATCGTAGGAAAAGCGAACTTTATCTGATATCCATTCTTCATTCACTTGCTAAATATTGAACAAAAAGACTAAATTTTACTCATGACTAATTAAACTTTTTTAAAAAAATTAATTTGAAAATTCAATTATTTCTAAAAATTTACACTATATTGCTTTAAATATTCAATTATTATCTAAAATTTTAACAAAAATTAATTTTTAAAACAATTTTTATTAGAAAATTCTACTAGAATTCAATTATTTATATACAAAAATAAATAATATATTAAATAATTGAATGTTTCTTAATTTATTTCTTCGAAAATTTCAATTATTTTTAAAAATCTTGTTAAAATGCTCTGACAAAATTCAATTATTTTAAAAAATAATTGAATTTTTCGCAAGAGTTCAATTATTTAAAAAACTTTAAATAAAATTCAATTCAAGAATTCAATTATTTTAAATACAATTTTAATTGAATTTCAGGGAAAATTAAATTATTTTTAAACATTTTTTAAAAATTCTTCGAAAGAATTCAATAATATCAATAAATAATAAAAATAATTAAAAAAAATAATTAAATTTTGCAAAAATTTAATTATTCATAGAAATACCTAATAAATTTTTTCGCAGGGATTCAATTATTTAAAAAAGTAAAAATAAAATTCGATTCAAGAATTCAATTATTTTCAGAAATAATTAAATTGTCGATGTACTAAAAATCACTGAATTCTTGTAAAGTATTTATAAAAAAATTTGAAAATTAATTTGAAATATTAAATTATATTAAAATTATTCATAGAAATTTAAATTCTTTTAAACAATTTTATTACTTTTTGCAAATAATTAAATTTTTTTAAATTTCATAAAAATAATATAATTTTTTAAAATAATTTTAATTGAAAATTTTGATAATAATTGATATTTACAAAGAATATAATTGGATTTTTTCCTAGAAATTTTATTAAAATTTTATTGAAAATAATTGAAATTCTCATAAGAATTTTATTTTTTACAAAAGTAATTGAATTCTTGTCAAGAATTTTACAATCTATAAAAATAATTGAATTGTTTCGAAGAATTTTATATCAGAATTGTTGAAAATAATTGAATTTTTACTAAAAACCCTTGAAAATAATTGAATGTAAATAATATTTTTAAAAATAATTGTATTCTTTCGAGAAATTCGATTAAAATTGTTTTAAAAATAATTGAAATTCTGCAATGAGATTTATTATTTGTGAAAATAATTGAATTTCTAAGAATTTTTTTTATTTTTAAACAATATTAAATTTTTGCTAAGAATATTATTACTCTTGAAAATAATTGAATTTCTGCAATAATTTGTAACTTTTCCAAAATTAAATTTTTTTTCCTGTTTTTAACTAAAATTCTTCTATAAAATCCATTATTTATTTATTTATAGAAATACTAAATAATTAAATAATACTAAATAATTTATATTTATATAAATTTTATACCTTTAGGTTTCGGACGAACTTCCGGATATAAAATCCATTGTTTTTAATCATTTTTGAAAAAGTTCTTTGAGAATTTTCAAATTCATTTGTTTACAATTCAATTTTACTAAACTTCAATTATTCGTAAATTTCTCAATAGAATATATATTAGAAAATAAAAACTTGAAAAAAACTTTATTATTTATAAAAATAATTGAATGATTGCGAAGAAATTTATAAAAAAAATTTGTAAATAATTTAATTTCTGTGAAATTTTTATTATTTAATGAAAATAAATTAAAGGTTTGCGTAGAATTTTATTGATTTTCTTTTAAATAATTGAATTTGGAAAAATTTTGGAAAATGGATTTTTCTTTTGGAAAATTTTATTAAAATAGTAGATATTAAAAATCATTGAATTGAGGAAAATTTTTGAAAATAATTGAAATTTTGACAAGAATTTTATTAAAATTTTTGTAAATAATTGAATTTTGGAGAAGAATTTTATTATTTATAAAAATAGTTCAAATTTTGACAAGATTTTAAAAATTTTTTTAACATAATTGAATTTTTGTGAAGAATTTTATTACTTTTTAAAATAATTGAATTTCTCCAATCATTTATAATTTCTCTAAAATTCTTCAAATTATATCGTGGGAATTTGCGAACTTTTCGTCTTTTCTCAATAAAATTACGGACTTTACTAAAATAGTAATATTTAACAGTAAATAAAATGAATCAATCAGAAAACCTCATTTTCACGGGGAAGGATACGAAGAACTTCTCCCGTACGATGAGTGACGACAATATTGCTTCCAACCGCGTCGTGAACATCGATGCTGTCGGTCCTCCGATTTTCCCATGGCCGTGCGACAAAAGCATACGGTTTACTTGTCAAGGCTCCAACAGGACAGAGATCAATTATATTGCCAGACATTTCGGAAAGAAACATTTTTTCGACGTACGTTCCAACCTTTAATAAAAGAAGAATTCAGTTCTCAATTTAATTAACGAGAATTCGATGTTTTAATTACTAATTATTTTGTGCCATTTTCGAAAATTTATAATTCGTCTATGTGACTGTTGGATTTATTTCAAAAAAATTAAATTAAAATTAAATTAAATTAAACTGAAAAGAAAAGAAAAGAAAAGAAAAAATAGAAAACAAAGTTTTACCTGCATATCATTTCCACGACCAGTGGTTCCTAAATCATCAATGCCAGCAACTTCGGAGGCAAATCGAATACAACGAGTACAATGTATACAACGTGTCATGACAGTTTTAATTAAAGGACCAATGTCCTTGTCTTCGACTGCACGCTTCCCACTGAAATTAATATCAACAAAACGACTCCTGTCACTGCCAAAAGCCATACTCTGATCCTGCAGATCACATTCACCACCCTGATCGCAAATTGGACAATCCAGCGGATGATTGACGAGTAAAAATTCCATTACACCCTCGCGGGCTTTTTTCGTAAGATCGGAATTCGTTTTGACACGCCAGCCTTTCATTACCGGCATTGCGCACGCTGCAACTGGCTGGAAATAATTATTTTCTCATTACAAAAAAAAAAAAACAAAGCCTATTCGAATTAAAAATAAACATTATATTAAAGAATATAATTCTGTGCAATAAAAAATATAAGAAATAAAACTTTCATTACATTAAAATTATGTAAATTAACAATTCGAGGATTCAAAATTTCGGTTTATTTAAAAAATATATGTAAAACAGTAATTATTTCAAATAATAATTAAATTTCATAAAAATTATGAGAAGGAAATATTTTATTTTGAACAATTATATTACTACCAATCTCGCAAGTTCGAAAATTATGCTAATTTATAAATTAGACTCCATGCAAATTATGAAAAATAATTATTCTACATAAGAAAATTTATAATACACAAATATAAATTTTTAAATAATTTCATAATCAAAATTTAAAAAATTCATTTATTAAGAACACAAATAATTAATGTTGATATTTTCAAAAATTTTTAAATATCACTCTTCGCTCTTGCGAAGAGTTAATTATTATTTAATATATTTAATTATTTTTATATAAATAATAACATTCTTTGGAAGAATTCAATTATTTTTATAAATTTAGTAAAATTTTTTGCAAAAATTCAATTATTTTTAGGAAAATTTTAATAAAATTTCACGACAGAATTACATTTTTTTCTTAATTCGTTATAAACTTTTTCAAAAGAATTCAATTATTTTCTCAAATTTTAAAAAATCCTTCGAAAAAATTCAATTATTTTTATAAATAGTAAAACTCTTTGCAGGAATTCAATTATTTTTTAAACAACTTTAATTGAAATCCTCGGAAGAATTCAATTTTTAAAAAAAAATTTTAATACATTTCAAATAAATTCAATTATTTCATAAATATTTAATAAATTAATAAATATTCTTCGAAACAATTCAACTATTTCCTAAAATATTCATAAATTCTTTTGAACAATTCAATTATTTCCTAATATTTTAATAAATCCTTCGAAACAATTCAATTATTTTTATAAAAAGTAAAATTTCCCGCATGAATTCAATTATTTTTATAAATAGTAAAATTCTTTGCAGGAATTCAATTATTTTGAAAGAAATTTAATTAAATTCCACGGAAGAATTGAAATATTTTCAAATATTTACATAAAATTCATTTATTTCCTAAAATTTTAATAAATTCTTCGGAACAATTCAATTATTTTCAATACAATTTTATTAAAATTCTTCTTTATAAAATTCAATTGCTTCCACAATTTTCAATTAAAATTATTTTTAAAAATCCATTATTTAAAAAAAAATTCAAAGAAATTCTTAAAAAAAAATTTAATTAGGATTTTTTAAAATTTTAATAAATTCTTCGTGAAAATTTATTTATTTTCAGAAATAATAAAATTCCTTAAAGGAATTAAACTATTTTCATAAATAATAAAATTCTTCAAAGAAATTCAATTATTTTCATAAATAATACCTAAAATTCTTCAAAGGAATTCAATTATTTTTATTAATAATAAAATTCTTCGAAAGTTTTCAATTATTTTTAATTCAATTTTAGGAACATTTCTCGAAAGAGTTTAATTATTTATAAAATTATTAATTAAATTCAATTATTTTTAAAAATTCTGATAAAATTGTTCGCAAGAATTAAATTATTTTTATAAATAGTACTAAAATTTTTCTCAGGATTTCAATTATGTTCAATACAATTTCAACAAAATTCTTCTTCATAAAATTCAATTGTTTTTAAAATTTTCAATTATAATTATTAAAGAAACTCCATTATTTAAAAAAAATTAAAAAAATAAATTCTTCAAAAGAATTTAATTAGGATTTTTTAAAATTTTAATAAAATTCATCGCGAGAATTCAATTATTTTCATAAATAAAAAAATTCTTCGAAGGAATTTAATTATTCTGTTCAAAATTTTTTGATAAGGTTATTTGCGAGAATTTAATGATTTTCAATTACATTAATTTTAAAATTGCAAATATTTGAAAAGAAATTTTTTTAAAAAATTTAGGAAACAAAGAACCAAACAACTAAATTCAAACTGCGAACAAATCACCGGAATACAACGATTATTATATATTCAACAATTAAAATACCTTCATTTGTTTTTCAATTTCCACGAGACACATTCTACAATTACCAGCAACAGCCAAACGTTCATGATAACAGAAACGAGGTATTTCGATTCCAATCTTTGCAGCTGCCTTCAAATAAAAACATTTTATTTAATTAACACTAAATTGTAGCAGTAAAAAAAATAAATCGACGAAGAAACTAAATGAATCCATTTAGTTACAGTATTGAATGTAAAAAAAGAAGTAGAAGTAGAAAAATGAATGGAAAACCCCAAATGATTGCAATAATTAGTGGAAAAATTCATTAGAATGTATAAACACAATATTTACTTGAAGAACAGTTGTTCCAGGTGGAACTTGAACGGGAATATCGTCAATAAAAACTTCGACAAGATCCTGATTTGCTTGCTGTGAGCTGTTGACAGTTGTATGAAAATTTGCACTTCCAAATCTTCCACTTGACAGTCCGGCCACCCGGACCAAAGGTAATCTCAACATTTTTCTGCAAAAACAATTTATAAATGTCACTCAACTTTTGTTATATAATAAAATATAACTTACTTTATTACACTACTCAGTTTGTCTAAACTAACCTCAACAGTAAACAGTCAACTTTTAACTGCGAGTTCAAAAAGAAAAATTTCAATAAATTTGCAACTATTGCGACTTTTTGCGACTATTGCGCAAAAATTTAAGTGATGAAACCGTTCAAGTGAGAGTAAATAATCGGACAATTCTTTTTTAAAAAGATATATTTAAATATGTAATATACGATTAAAATTGTGAAAAGGTATCAGGTATTTTTTTACTTTAGTTCCCACTAGAGTCGCAGATGTCGGACTCTGGTAATTTCTTATGATTTTTATCTATAGATGTCCGTACTGTCTAATGTCATCGGCAATCGTATTGGTTGTAATTTATGTAAAATTTCGACTCAGTATTTTTCAAATTTTTTTACAAAAATTTACAATTTTCGTACTGGCTTATTATTTTTAAAACAGAAAATATTTTTAACATTTTTTTAAAAAAATCTGTTCAAAATTTCAATTATTTTTACAAATAATAAAATTCTTCTCCGAAATTCAATTATTTAAAAAAAATTTTAATAAAATTCTTGTCAAATTTTCAATTCTCGTTATTAATAATAAAATTCTTCTCTGATATTCATTTATTTTCAAAAGTAATAAAATTATTCGCAGCAATTCAATTATTTCCAAATTTCTTTTTAAATTTTTCGTCAAAATTATCATTATCTTCATAAATAATAAAATTCATCATGAAAATTTAATTATTTTCAAAAGTTCTGATAAAATTCTTTGCAAAATTCAATTATCTTCAAAAGTAAGAAAATTCTTAGCAGAAATTCAATTATTTTCAAAATTTTATTTTAAATTCTCCTCAAAATTTCAATTATTTTTAAAAATACAAACAATACTCCTAGTTATTAATAACAATAATTTATTTTCAAAATCAATATAATTGGAACTTACTTTATTCGTATATACAATACATAAGTTTTACTTTCAAAAAATTGAAGACGAAATCATGACGACTGCTGGTCAAATGGATAAAACGCGATATTTTTTTTTTTTGTTTTTGTTATTTTGAACCAAATTTCCATCCCTCGGCTCGTTTGGATGCTATGGGAATGAATACAGATCAAAATATTTTCACAGTCTATTTCTATCTATCACACTTGATTAAATCAGAATTTAATTCCGCATCATTGTTTTTTTGTCACTGACCAAGCATTTGAAATTAATTTTTTTTTGAGGAATTAAAATTATTTTCGTAATTTCAAAGTTATTTCGAAAGAGAAAAAGGAAAAAGAATGTAAACAGAGAAAGAGAGAGAAAAGAAAAAAATATATAAAAAAAAATGTAAGAAAAAATCTAGGTTTTAAATGTTGAGTGATAAACGACTCCGAGACCTAGGTATCGCACCTTTTGCGTCCAACAAACCGGCTTGAATATCTGAAAGAGAAGGAAGTCCTTTAACTAAACCACGTGCTGCGACACTTGGCGGTGATTTTCTCAGACGCAATGCCACTCGATTGATGTCGTCCTTCGTTATTTTGTCTGCAAAAACAATTATTTTTTTATTTCAAACTTAAAATGTTTAAAAACAAAAAACATTCAATAAGAATTTGAATATTTGATATTTTTGATAAGAATGTAGAAAATATAAACAGATTTCGCACTCGATAATTAATTCTAAACAAGTCGTAAAATGTACTAAAAAAGCAGTTAATGAAAAATTAAATTTGACGACCAAAAAAACTCGTTTTTAGAAACTTTAACAAAACTGACCAAAAATTCAATTCTATATTTTATTTTCCTGACTTTTTTCTAATTTTCATAAAAAAAAATATTTACTTCTTTCTTTTCCTGCTAATAAATTAAATTCCTGCAACAAATTTTATTATTCGTGAAAGAATTTAAATATTTAGAAAAATAATTTAATTCTTGCGTAGAATTTTATAAAAATTTTTAAATAATTGATTCCTTTCGACTAATTTTATGCAAATTCTAATTTAAATAATTAAATTTTAAAGAAATTTTTATTATTCATAAAAAGAATTGAATTCTTACGAAGATAATTATAAAAGATTTATTAAATAATTAAATTCTGTTTGGAAATTTTATGAAAATAATTGACTTCCTGAAAAGAATTTTATTATTTATGAAAATAATTAAATTTTCACGAACGATTTTATTAGAATTTTTAAAAATAATTGAATTTCCACGAAGAAATTTATTACTTTTAAAAATAATTGAATTCTTGTGATGAATAAAAAAAAATTAATGAAAATAATTGAATTTTGCAAAGAATTTTATTAAAATGCCTCAAAATAATTGATTTTTCAGGAATAATTTTGTTATTTATCTTTAATAATTGAATTCTTTCAAAGAATTATTTATGTAAATAATATTGAATTTTTGGGAAGAATTTTATTAAAATCTAAAAGAATAATTGAATTATTTCAAAAAAATTAAATTAAAATTGTATTTAAAATAATTTATTTATTTCGACCAATTTTATTAAAATATATGAAAATAATTGAATTCCTATAAAAAATTCTAATATTTTTTAAAATAATAATTGATAATTTTTCCAAAGGAATTTGAAAAAACAATTTTTTAAATAATTGATTTTTTCAAAGAATTGAATTAAAATTTTTAAGAATAATTACATGTTTTGAACAATTCTTGTGAAATTGTATTAAAAATAATTGAAATCCTACGAAGAATTTTCTTAAAATTTTCAAAAATAATTGAATTCCTGAGAAAAATTTTATTATTTATGAAAATAATTGAATTCCTGAGAAGAATTTTATTATTTGTGAAAATAATTGAATTATTTCGAAAAATGTTATTTAAAATTTTAAAAAGAATTGAATTTGTGAAAAATTTTGTTATTTTTGAAAATAATTGAATTCTTTATAAGAATTTTATAAACATTGTTTTAAATAATTAATTTCTTTGAAATATAATAAATATTATGGAAATTTTATTTTAAATAATTCAATTCTTGTGGAAAACTTTATTTATGAAAATAATTGAAATTCTTCGATGAATTTTATTATTTATGAAAATAATTTAATTTTTGCTTAGAATTTTATCAAAAAATTGAATTTCCTTGAAAATTGTTATTATTAGTGAAAGTAATTGAATCATTGTGAAGAATTGTATAAATATTTTGTTAAATAATTGATTTTTTCAAAATTTTTTTGAAAATACTATTCTAAATTAATTGAATTCCTGTGGAAATTTTATTATTTATGAAAATAATTGAATTTTATCAATTTTTTAAAAATAATTGAATTCTTTTGCGAAATTTTGTGAAAATACGAGATATTGAAAATAATTGAATTTCGAATATTTTTTTGAAAATAATTGAATAGTTTTAAAGAATTTGATTATAATTTTTGAAAATAGTTTTTTGATTTCTAGTATTAGCGAACTTAAAATAGTGAAAATTCTAAAAAAAAAAAAAACAGAAATAGTATCTTTTAGTGGCAGAAATCTAAAAAAGTACCAAAATAGTAGTATAACGTAAAAAAAGTAGAAAATAATAGGTTTTAGTAGATGAGTTCGAAGTCTGTATAAAGTAGAGGTAAAATAAAAGAGAAAGTATAGTAAGTAAAATAGTAAGTGACAGTAAAATTAAAATATAGAAGGTAAAAATAAACTAACTGATTGCATCGATAAAATACTCCGGTCGATGTCTAAATCCAGTGGCAAGAACTTGTCTTCCGATATCTTCAAAAACAACTGGTCTTTGCTCCAAATTCATCAATAATAACGATTGTAGTTGTTTTTTCGCTCTCTGAAAAAATTAATAAAATAAATATAAAATAGACTAAAAATATTGTCTAATTTGCAAAGAATTCAAAATTATTTTTGAAAATAAAAAAAATTCAATCGTTTTCTTACTTCTAGTTCGGCAACTGTCGTTGAACCAGCCATTGAAACTAATTCGTGCACTATGACAGCTGTCATTTCTCCAACGCGAACTTCCGGTGATGATGCGTGAATGCAAAATAATCCCGTGTCCGCATAACTATGATTATAAGCAGTCGCACTGAACATCCACTGATAACTGAAGAGAAAATGAAATAAAAGTAATTAATCAAAAACAGTATTTGAAGAGAAAATGAAATAAAAGTAATTAATCAAAGACAATATTTGAATCCAGAGATAATTTAAAATCGCTAAAAATAATTTAAATTACAGCGAAATTTATTTATATGTTATAATTAATTACCGATTCAAAACATTGGTGTATAATTTCGTGTACATTCCCTTTCCAGGACCACCGGCACTAAAACTGCCACCGCCTCCCATCATTGTATTCAAAACACACATGGCAATGAAATCTGGATCTTGATGCGAGCAACCTTCCAAACCAATTACAACGTGAGATAATCTTGGAATACCACTAGACTCCGGATGCACTGGCATACTTCCTTCTTTCTGCAAAAAAAAAAAAAAGGTTCGTAATTTTTATCTGTATTTTTACACTTTTCCTTTTTTCTAAAGTTCTAACTTCTAAATATTCAAATGAAAAATGAAAAAAAAAATGAAAAATATCTATTTTCAAGGTTGCAACAAAAATTTAATTTTCTATTTCCCTGACTTTTCTCTGATTTTTTTTTAATTTACTAAATAAATCAGGAAAATTCGCAATTAAGGTTCTTTGAAAACATTTACCACTACAAGTCCTCCGGTATATTGTGCAACAGATTCGTCAATTAAATCCATATTTCTTCCCGTCATAATTAGACTATTGTCCTCTTCCCAAATTGCTTTCTCGTCCACGAAATATCTAAAAATTCATTGTTTTTGAGTACAATTTTTTGATTACTTTTTTAATAACTTTTCTTACTTTTTTTTGCTTGTTTGATTACATTTCTTACTTTTTTTTTTTGCTTTTTTGATTACTTTTCTTACTTTTTTTGTTTCTTTGATTACTGTTTTTAATTACTTTCACAAAAAAGTTACGTACTTGTTAACGGCCTCAACAAGAGCCTCGTGTTCAACGCCAACTCCCGCGATAACCATTCTATCCGGCGTATAGTGACTTTTCAAATACGTAAAAAGAATTTTTCTGTCTATTTTATTTACATTTCCTTCGGGACAAATTTTCGGCAGTCCTAAAGTATTGTCCCTGTAGGCAGCCTGAAAATATACGTTTATTATTTAATACATAAATAATATAATTAAATAATAATTTAATATTAATAATAAATACAAAAATATTTTATTAATAATTTAAATGAATAAATAATAAATCTTTAATTGAAAGAGAAACTACTCACGGCATGAATCATGTCCAGAAGAAGGGGTTCCTGTTCCGGACGAGTTAATAGAGACTCAATTTCAAATTCAATAGTTTGACGAGCTATGTTTAGCTACAAAGAAACAATTAAAAGCATTATTTTATTTTTAAAAACAAATTACTTATTTTTTTTTTTTTTTAATAATAAAAAACTAACTTCATCTTCGGTGATTTGTGGTCTTAAAACAATATCTGCGAGAATTTGTGTAATTGAATTTAATCCCTTTCGTTCTGCAGAAGCTGCGTAAATGAACGTATCACGAGATGCTTGGCAGTCAAAAATACCTTCATGTTTTTCCATTGCCAGTAAAATGTGATCTCTACTTTCAAAATTCTTGGTCGACTGAAAATGTTTCGATCATAACAATAATTACAAATAAAAATTACAAGTAAAAAATGCAATTAAAAATTACAAATAGAAATTAAAAATAGAAAATAAAAATTACAAATAGAAATTTCAAATAAAAATAAAAAGTAGAAATTATAAGTAAAATCTACAAATAAAAATTAAAAATATAAATCTTATATTAATAAATCGTTGTTTTTTGTTTCCTAACTTTTTTAATAATTTTTCTTTTTAAATAATTTCCATTTTTAAAATTAATTTATTGAAAATCATCGAATTGTTGCAAAAAATTTGATAATAATAGAATTTCTTTTTGAAAAATTTTATTATTTAGGAAAATAATTGAATTCTCGTGAAGAAATATGTTAAAATCTTTTATAATTCTAATTAAACTCTTTTTTGAGAATTTCTTTGAATTCTTTTAAAATAATAGAGTTTCTTTAAAAACTTTAATTAAAAATCTTAACAATAATTGAATTTTATGAACAATTACTTTCAAGTTTATAAAATAATCATGTTTGTTATTAATTGAAATTAAACATTTAATTATTAAATTTTATTAAAATTTTTGATAATTAATTTAAACTCTTTTTTAAAAATTCTTTTGAAAAATTTTATAACGAATTAAGAAAAAAAATTGAATTCTTTCGTCAAATTTTTTTGAAAATAATTGAATTTTTGCAAAGAATTTTATTATTTATAAATATAATTGAATTGTTTCGAAGGATTTATTCAAAGTTTAAAAAATAATTGAATTTTTGCAAAGAATTTTACTATTTACAAATATAATTGAATTTTTTCGAAGAATTTATTAAAATTTTATAAAATAATTGAATCCTTTGAAATTTTTTATAACGAATTAAGAAAAAAAATTGAATTCTTTAGTGAAATTTTTTTGAAAATATTTGAATTTTTGCAAAGATTTTACTATTTAAAAAAATTATTGAATTGCTTTGAAGGATTTATTAAAATTTTATAAAATAATTGAATACTTGGAAAATTTTTATAACGAATTAAGAAAAAAAATTGAATTCTTCCGTGAAATTGTATTGAATATAATTGAATTTTTGCAAAAAATTTTACTGTTTATGAATATAATTAAATTGTTTTGAAAGATTTATTAAAATTTTAGAAAAAAATTGAATTTTTTCATGAAATGTTTGTAAAATTGTATTAAAAATAATTGAATTTTTGCAAAGAATTTTACTATTTATTAATAAAATTGAACTGTTTCGAACTACTTATAAAAAGTTTAGAAAATAATTGAATTCTTTTAAAATATTTTATATCGAATAAAAAAAAATTGAATTCTTTCGTGAATTTTTTTTGAAAATAATTAAAATTTTTGCAAAGATTTTAGTATTTAAAAAAATAATTGAATTGCTTCGAAGGATTTATTAAAATTTTATAAAATAATTGAATCCTTGGAAAATTTTTATAATAAATTAAGAAATAAATTGAATTCTACCGTGAAATTGTTTTGAATATAATTAAATTGTTTTGGAAGATTTATTAAAATTTTAGAAAAAAATTGTAATTTTTTCGAAAAATATTATTAAAAATTAGAAAAAAAATTGAATTCTTTCATGAAATGTTTGTAAAATAGTATTAAAAATAATTAAATTGTTGCACAAAATTTTACAATTTATAAATAAAATTGAACTGTTTCCAACTATTTATAAAAATTTTAGAAAATATTTGAAATTCTTTTAAAATATTAATTTTATAACGAATTAAGAAAAAAATTGAATTCTTTCGAGGGATTTTTTTGAAAATAATTGAATTTTTGCAAAGATTTTATATCGAATAAAGAAAAAATTGAATTCTTTAGTGGATTTTGTTTTGAAAATAATTGAATTTTTGCAAAGACTTTACTATTTAACAAAAATAATTGAATTGTTTTGAAGGATTTATTAAATTTTTTGAAATTATTAAACAAGTATAATTAATTAGTAAATAATTGAATTTTTTAAAAATTTGAGTCTGAAATTATTCAAAAATTCATATTTGAAAATAAAAAATTTTGTAATTTGCATAATAATAATAATAAATTAAATATCACGTTTAGTGCGTAACATTTGCTAGTTACGAATAAAAATTGTTTACAAACTAAAAGATAGCAAAAAAAGAACATTAATGAAATTCTCACATTAAATGCCAATTTTTCAAGAAAATGCGAAATTCCACTCGGATAAGCGACTTCAAAACGTGGTCCAGAGTTAACTAAAACTAAAAGCAGAATATTTTTTGTAGAGTATTGTTTCAATGAAGAAAAAAAAGAAAAAGAAAGATTTACCTCCAATAGTGCAAAACTGTCCGAAATAATCTTCAGTAGCAATTTTCAATCCATTTGGAAGTGTTGTAATTTTAGTCTCCTGTTTTTCCTTCTTAACAGTCGAATAAATAGGAGTTGGTAAATTTGGTAAAGGTTTCGATAAAGGAGGAAAAGGAGAGACAATGGCATTTATTGGTTCTATATTTTTTCTAATATCTGACGCAAATCCACATATTTGCCCAACTTTCGAATACTTTAATTGACAGCAACTGAAATAAACAAAATTAAGAAATTAAATTTACAAAGTAGAGATCTACAAAATTTATCTAGACATTTACAAGTCGTAAATCTTTTTTTGTATATTTAAAAATTATAACCTAAAATTTGTCTATATCTGTAAAGTAAAGCATTTAAAAAAAGCATTGTAAAGAAAGCATTTAAAAAAGACATTTAGAGAAAATAGAAAAAGGAGAAAAATTTACAAAACTAAAAAGTTTCTTCTGCTTTTTAGATTGCAATAAAAATATTAAATATCAATAAGTGGAAATTGTTCATTTTTTTGTTTTATTTGTATTAGTTTAACCAATAAATGGTTATTTGAAAATTTATGATAGTTTTCATAAATACCTCGATCTAGTCACTAAATTCAGAGGTATTTGAACTTGTCTTACAAACATTTTAAATATTTTTACTTATTCACATTAAATAATTAATTTAAAACATGTTTTTTGGAAAAAAAATTTGGAAAAGAAGCAGAAAATTTATTTCTCAAGCAGACAAACACACACACTTGACAGTCATTAAGTAGGTAGTTAATAGAGAGTGCACTTCATGTAGTGTTCATATGTCTCACAAAATAGAGAGAAACATGTACACGATCACTTTTTTACAAGTTTCTAATTTTTAATAATCATTACTTTTAAATTTTACCGTATTTAATTTATAAACATTTAATTAATTTAATTAATTAATAAATTTTATAAATGTATACCAGATAGCTTTGTGTACGCACCTTATGCAACGTATGTGCGAATATAAACCTTGTGTATAGAACATAAGGAAAAGTGAACTGAAAGTGAAAAGTGAAAAAATGTTTAATTAAAGTTAAATTAAGTTAATATTTCATAATGTTAAAATATGTGACAAAATTGATTACTTAGAAAAAAGATTGATAGTTCTAAGATGGTATTTTAGAGAAATTTTGTTAGTTTTGTTAATAAATTAAAAGCAAAACGCCGGTAGGGTTGACCGGGTTGACTGACAGGTGACAGTTAATTAATTAATTAATTAATTTAAATTTTGTTTCTTAGAAATTTGCCATTTTTGCTAAATAATAAGATTCGTATAGTTTTAATAATATTTCTTTTTTTAACTAGGGAAAAAATGGTAGATATATTAAAGAACAAAAGAAAAAGATATTCTATTTGTAGGTTAGAATTTTATCAACATTTTTTCAATAGAATTGAATTCTTTCGAGAAAATGTATTTAAAATTCTATTGAAAATAATTAAATTATTGGCAAGATTTTTATTAAAATTCTTTAAAATAATTGAATTGTTTTGAAGCATTTATTTCAATTTTCTTGAAAATAATGGGGTTTTTTTAAAATAATTTTTACTGAAAATTTTGAAAGTGAAATAGTGAATTGAATTTTATCAAGAATTCAATTATTTTTAATAATTGTAATAAAATTCTTTGTAAAAAGTCAATTTTTTATAAATATAGTAAAAATCTTCGTAGAAAATTTAATTATTTTTATATAAATAATAAAATTCTTATCAGGATTTCACTTATTTTCAATACAATTTTAATTGATTTCTTCGAAAATTTCAATTATTTTTTTAAATCTTGTTAAAATGCTACGAGAAAATTCAATTACTTAAAAAACTACTTTAATTTTTCACAAGAGTTCAATTATTTAAAAAAAAACTTTTAATAAAATTCAATTTAAGAATTCAATAATTTTAAATACAATTTTAATTAAATTTCAGGGAAAATTAAATTATTTTTAAACATTTTTTTAAAATTCTTCGAAAGAATTCAATAATATCAATAAATAGTAAATTTCTTACAGGAATTAAATTATTTTAAATACAATTTTCATAAAATTCTTCTCAAAAATTCACTTATTTTTTAAAATTTGGCAAAAATTCAATTATTTGTAGAAATAATAAATTTTTTTGTAGGGATTCAATTATTTAAAAAAGTTTTAATAAAATTCAATTCAAGAATTCAATTATTTTCAGAAATAGAAATGGTCAATTACTGAAAATCACTGAATTCTCGTAAAGTATTAATAACAAAATTTGAAAATTAAATTGAAATATTAAATTATATTAAAATTATTTATATATAGAAAAAATTAAATTCGTTTAAACAATTTTATTAGAGTTTTTGTAAATAATTACATTTTATTTAAGAATTTCATTAAATTTCGTAAGAATAATATATTTTTTTTTAAATAATTGTAATTGAAAATTTTGAAAATAATTGAAATTTACAAAGAATTTTATTAAAAACTTTTGAGAACAATTGAATTGTTTAGAAAAATTTTATTACAATTTTTAAAAATAATTGAACCTATTAGAGAAATTTTATTAAAATTTTCTTGAATATAATTGAATTTTTTCCTAGAAATTTCATTAAAATTTTATAACGTAGAATGTTTTCAGGACCTTAATTAAAATTTTATTGAAAATAATTGAATTTCTGAGAGGAATTTTATTATTTACGCAAAAATAATTGAATTCTTTCCAAGAATTTTTTAATTATTTTATAACAATAATTGAATTGTTTCGAAGAATTTTTTATCAGAATTGTTGAAAATAATTAAATTTTCAATAAAAACTCTTGAAAATAATTGAATTTAAATAATATTTTAGAAAATAATTGTATTCTTTCGAGAAATTTTATTAAAATTGTATTAAAAATAATTGAATTCCTCCGAAACATTTTAAAATTTATGAAAATATTTGAATTCCTTTGAAGAATTTTATTATTTATGAAAATATTTTAATGCTTGCGTAGAATTTTCTTATTTTTGAAAATAATTGAATTCTTGCAGAGGATTTTACAATTCAGAAAACTAATTGAATTGCTTCGTAGAATTTTATCAGAATTTTTGAAAATAATTAAATTTTTTGAAAAAATTTTATTAAAATTTTGAAAATAATGATTTTTTAAAAAAAAATTTTATCAAAATTGTCGAAGATAATTGAATTTTTATTTAAATTCTTGAAAATAATCGAATTTAATTAACATTTTAAATATAATTGTATTCTTTCGAGAAATTTTATTAAAATTGTATTGAAAATAATTGAATTGCTCTAAAAAATATTTTTGTTTATAAGAATAATGAAATTCTTGCAAAAAATTTTATTACAATTTTTAATAATAATAATAAACAAGAATATTTAATATTATCTACTTAATTAGTGAATTCTTTAAATTTTGAATTTGTAGGTAATCATTCAAAAATTGATGTTTATTCTTAAAAATATAAAGTTTTTTTAACTTTATAATAAATAAAATTTATAATAATAAATGGAAATACTTGAGAAAATTTTTGTTTTTTGAAAATGATAATAAGAACGTAATAAAATTGGTGTATATTTTCCAGGAAAAAAAAATTTAAAAGATTAAAATTACGAATTTAATATTTTACTGTTTACGACATTTATTCTTTTTTTTATAATTTCTGCCTTTTGGTTCATTCAGTGAGAGTGATTTTACATCGTCAATACTTTGTGATAATATTTTCAATTCCTGAAGTGCTCGTTTAGTTAGAATTCCCTCGGGAGTTGTTGCCGGTTCCAAGAGTAACATTTTCAATGATTTTTTTAAAAGTTGTTCAGCTTCTTGTAATTTTAAAAGAAGATCATGCGAAGAAATTTCATTAGCCGCATAAGCGCGATTCGCTAAAATTACCACTGGAAAATGCATTTCGTACAGCATTACACCTGTGGAATAAATTTATTAATTTATAGATTTTTTTGCAATGAAAAAGTGTCTTAAAAAAATCTTTTTTAAACAATCAATTTTTGTGGATTTAAAAAATACTCACTTTTAACTCTTGAAATTCCAGGTTCAACAATTTCGAGAACACTGTGAATTTCCTTACAAATTTGAAACATTTTTAACAAAATTTTCTTCTGTGGATTAGGAGAAGTTAATTCTCGTCTGTAAATGGTCAATAATTTTTGCTTGAGATTTAAAATCAAAAAATGATTCGTATGAAAAGTGGATGATAGGGTCCTTAGTAAATTTTCCATTTTCTGTTGAAATAAAGTTTTTTTGTGTTAAATTTCCAAAAAGGATTTTTTAAAAGAATTTGAAAAGAAAAATTAAAAACCTTCAAGTCATCAACTTCGACTTCGTTGATTAATGCTTTTGATATTTCTATCGTTGATTTAATTAGACATCCAAAATAGTTTCTTTTACATGATCCACACTCCCAATTGGTTCCCTTATCGTAGGGATTATTAATCAAAGGATTTTTTATTGCCACAAAACCTCTTCGGCATCTTGGACAAATTATTGAACTCAGATGAGAACCACCTTCGTATGGATCAAGACAAGTGGGACATTTACATTCGAAATATTTTCCTTCTCGTAAATGTTCTCTTCTTTCTGCTGAACCCTGAGAAAATTATTGAAATTGATATATAATTAAAATAATTATAATAATTTTATTATAATAATTGTAATAAAAATAAAAATAAAATATTAATAAATTTTTTTTGATTAGAAAAAAAATGAAATAACGAAAATTAAAAACTGACGAATAGAGAAGAAGTGTAGTTGAAATAAATAGTTTCCCCTTGTTGAATTGGAAGACTTGAGAAAACGGTTAGTTGAAATTTATCATCAACAGTGATGTGTGTATTTCCTCGACAATCGTGAGCAATGAGAGATGTTTTTAAATAAAGTCCACGTAGGGGAGATTCGCCCATACCTCCTGGAGATCTCAATTCAAATGAATTCACGTCCAAAATACCACATATTTTTTGTACAAGCTCTCCCATATTCTCGTCATTCTCTGAAATTAATTTCATTTTGCGAAAAATCTGAAAAATTCAATTATCAACATTAATGAGAATTCTTTTTTTAAGAAGATAATTTTAATTTACTTTAATTTTTTTAATAAAATTTTGGAATTTTAATTCTAATAAAATTAAATTTTAATTCTAATAAAATCAAATTTTAATTTTAATAAATTTTGATTTCAATAAAATTAAATTTTAATAAATTTCAATTACAATAAATTTTCACTCTAATAAAGTTTAATTTTAATACATTTTCATTAGAATTAAATTAAATTTTAATAAATTTCAATTACTATAAATTTTTACTTTAATAAAGTTTAATTTTAATAAATTTTAATTTTAATAAAATTTAATTTCAATAAAATCTAATTTCAGTAAAATTTAATTACAATAAATTTTAATTTCAATAAGGTTTAATTTTAATAAATTTTAATTTTAATAAAATTTAATTTCAATAAAATCTAATTTCAGTAAAATTTAATTACAATTTAAATTTTTACTTCAATAAAGTTTAATATTTTTGTCAGTAAAGTCAGGGAAGTGACAGAAAACAAAATTTTTTGTCAGGAAAATTAAGAAAATTGAGACTTTTTTCGACTTATTTTAATAAATTGCGACTTTCTCGACTTTTTTTTCAAATATTGCAACAAAATATAACATTTTTTTAGCTTAAATTCAACTTATTTCAACGTTTATAGTGCGAAAAATAACTATAAACAAATCTTTCAAAAATTATTTTTGAATAATTTTTGAAGATAATTAAATTTTTCAAATATATCGACAATAAAAATCTTCTTCAATAATTTAAATTTTGTAAAAATTTTATTGAAAATAATTTTTTTTTTTAAAGTATTTTCTAACAATTTTTGAAATATTATAACTTTTGAAGAATTTTAATTACAAATTTTGAAAATCATTGAATTATTAAAAGTATTAATGAAAAACCTTTAAATGTAAACTTAAAATTGAAAATTAATGAAAATTAGCTTTTAAAATTTTAAATTCAATATTTTCAGTATTTTCTATTAAAAAGTTCCGAAAATTCAAATACATACAAAAAATAATAACATTTTAAAATTATTTTTAATATTTTTGAGAAAAAAATCATGTTCAAATTTTTTAATTAAAATTCATCAAAAAATTAATTAATTTTTTAAATTGTATAAAAATTTTTTTTTAAGAAATTCAATTATTTTCGAAAAATTACATTAAAATATTTTTAAAAACTAATTTTTAAAATTGTTTTTTCATAATTTAATTATCTTTGAACAAAGTAAATAAAAATTTATAAAAATTTACCTAGTTTTTTAGACTTATTAAAATTTTATTTATATTTTTCAAATATTAAATTATGTTTAAAAGATTTTACCAAATTTAAATTGTTTGGAAATTTTTCAATTTTAAGAAATTAACGTTAGTTACATGGACAGTTATAATTATTATAAAAAATTGAATTTTTGTATTGAAATAATTGAATTCTCGAAGAACTTTCGTAAAATTATTTAAAATAATTTAATTTTAATTTCAATAAATTTTAATTTCTACAAATTTTAATTTCAACAAATTTTAATTAAAGATATGAAACTGTTTCCATTAAAAAAAGAAAAAAGTACTAACATTGACAACAGTCTCTTCTCTTTCTTTCCAAATTTTCGTATTTCTTCTTTTAGCTGAATGATCCTCCATCTCGTTCACTTGTTCCCACTGATTTGAATTTTCCATTTTCACCAGCCACACTCGAAAATGCATCAAAATTTCAGTAATTTGCTGAATATTCTCGGAATGAAATTCTTTATTGCTTTTTAGCAAATTGCATTCTTCTTTTTTGTGATGACCTTGGGAATCCTAAAATTAAAATATAATTGAAAAATAATTTTTCTCAAAATAGAAAAATGTACAATAATTCAATTTTTGTATAGGAATTTTTATTATCTAATTAGAAAATTGGAATTTAAATGAAAAATAATAAAAATTATAAGTGAATTGAATTAGAAAATAATAAACATTGTAATTATATTGAATTAAAAACAATTAAAATTGTAGTTATAAATAAAAATAAAAAAATAATAAAAAATTGTAATTGAATTGAAATGAAAATAATGATAAAAATTGTAATTAAATTGAAATAAAAATAATAATAAATATTGTAATTGAATTAAAATAAAAAATTTATTTTGTAATTGAATTAAAACAAAAAATAAAACTTGTAATTAAATTGAATTTAAAAATTAAAATTATGATTAAATTAACATAAAAAAATGTAGTTGAATTGAATTTAAAATCTAAAATTGTATTTAAATTAAAATAAAAAGAAATTTTAATTAAATTAAAATATAAAAAATTGTAATTGAATTGAATTTAAAAACTAAAATTGCAATTAAATTGAAATAGAAAATTGTAATTGAATTGAAAGAAATAATAATAATAATAATAATAATAATAATAATAATAATAATAATAATAATAATAATAATAATAATAATAATAATTGTAATTAAAGGAAAATAAAATTATAAAATTGACAATTGAACAGAAATGAAAAAATAAAAATTGTATTAAAATTTACCTCGCAGAAGCGATTGCAGAGGGGAGCGACGTTACATTTTGAGCAAATGTAGTGAGATTTTTTGCTTGAAGACGAAAGAGGACGAAGACAAGAAAAACACAAAGATGATTTATTAAAATTTGCAGGTCCAACAGCAACGGGATCTTCTCTTATTATCACTTCACCCGCTGAGATATTTTTTTCAGCCACCAAATATCTAAAGAAAAAAAACATTCAAACTCATAAATTTAAATATCTTTCAATTTTTTTTAAATTCAATTCTATTTTTTTTTCTTCACCAAATATTTACCTTCCCAAATTTTCCGAATGATTAATTTTATATTTCAAATTATTATTATTTTTACTCGTCATGGTAATTTTTAAAATTATTTCCCCCAAAAAAGAAACTGAAGAAAAATAATTAAACTTTAAATTGTGTTTTGAATAATTTTGTTAATTTCTCCTTCTGGAAATTCTCTTTTTTTTTCCTGTTTTTGAAATAAGGTTCAGGAAACGTTAATATAATACTAAGCTACGTTGGTACACATTTCTCTCAGTACGATATTAATAGATTTAAAGAGCTAGAAGCTTTTCAGGCCAAAAAGATCATACCGCTCATATAAATAGATTATTTTTCATAATGTCCGCTCTTTCGATTATTATTCACGGAAAAATAATAAATTTCTAAAAACAATAACATTAGAATTAATTCCTTGTTTAATTATTAAGAATAAGGATTGGTAATAATAAATAATAATTAAATAATTAAACAATAATCATCAAAATAATGTAACAATAATAAATAATAAAATAAAAAAATAATAAATAAAATAAGAAAATAATGAAGTAATAAAATAATAAAAACATTAAAAATAATAATAATTAATAATTATTAATAAAATTAATAATAATCAAAAAATTAACGTTTGTATATTTTATTTAAATTAATTAGTCTTTTAAATTAAATGTACTCTGATTACTAGATAATACATTAATGCGAGAAAAAATTCTCTCGAAATATTAAAATAATTTGTCATCATTACGAAAATAATGAAAATCCATTATTTTCGTAATTATTGTAATAATTGATAATTTAATTTCCTTCTTCATTTTCTACTACTAAGAAGTGAATAAATTAATATTTTGTCGATCAAAAGTAAAAAAAAAATTAAATCTAAAATTCCTGGTGAAATTTTTTTTCTGTTCTTTTGAAAAAATTAAAAATTTTACGAGGTAAATAGCGCGCGTTGAAAAATTATTAAATTAATAATAATGAAAATTTTCTTTTTCCTATAATTCACTAATGGACTTTTCTAATTCGGCCAATGATGGTTTAGATTCCTCTCCCAATTGTCCCTCAGGCGTGTCCGATGGTTCCATACATAAAATTCTTATCGATTCCTTCAAAATATTTGCCGCTTCTGTTGTTTTTGATTTTAAAATATTCGTATCAATTACACCAGCTTGCCATTGTCCCCTCGCCAAAATTAAGAGCGGTGCGTGTAATTCATATAAAACCATTCCTGAGAGGGGGAAAAAAATTTTTTCTTTTATTACTACTGCCGAGAGAGTAAAAAAAAAAAATTAATTAAATAAATATTTATTTACCTCTTGCTCTTGAACAACCAGGTTCAACTACATCCAACACTTGGAGTAATAATCGACACATTTCAGCTTTATGCTCAAGTACAACGTCCGGTAAATCTGTGAGAAGATATTCATCGACCCGGCCGTACATCTGAACCAATGAATATCTGAAGCAATAATGTAAATTTAATTAATTAATTTATTAATTAATTCAAGAAATATTTGTCACCAGGGTTGCCATGCTTTTGCTCTTTACAAATTCCCTGACTTTTCCAGGTTATCGGGAATTTTTTCAGGTTTTTAAAACGAAAATTATTCGAAAACATGAATAACTTTATTTTTTAATAAATAATCATTATTTTTTTATAGAAATTAAGATATTCAAAAATTTGAAATTCAATAATAATTAAAACTTGCTACTTTGTTACTGTTACTTTTTCGAAAAAATTATTTCCATCACTACGATTATTCATTTCTAGAATTTTCAACTAAAATTTTACAATTTTTTAAAAATAATTTTTGAAAAAGTTCTTTGTGAATTTTCAAATTCTTTTTTTTACAATTTAATTTTACGAAATTTCGATTATTCTGACGTTCTTCAATTAAACGTATTAGAAATTAAAAACTTCAATTAATTAAAAAAAAATTCCATTAAACTTATTGAGAAAAATTAATTCTATAGAATTCTTAATTAAAAGTATGAAAAGTTCAAATTTTCAAATATTTTAATTTGAAATTTATTTTTAAATTAATATTTATTAGAAAATTCTACGAGAATTCAATTATTTAACTATAAAAATTTATAAAATTCCCTGACATTTCCGGGTTTTCCAGGTTTTTAGGTTGCGTGGCAACCCTGGTCTCTTTAATTTTGAAATTAAAAATTTGTTCACTTTAACTACTGAACCAGTAATTAAATAAAAAAAATTAATAGAAAGGAAAATGAAATTAAAAAAAAAGTAGCACCTTAGCATGGTTAGAAAAGCGTGATGAGGATGGAGGACGGAATGATATTTTTTTATCACCGTCTCTCGCTGTTGAATTGATTCTGGTCCATCCGGTCCACCAAGCATCTCCGCAGCCTCCACCTCCGATTGCATTATTCGGAAGACTTTCAAAACTGCCGCTCCGGTCGTTATAAATTCGCAGTGTGTACATTTCCACGAACTCTCCGAATCTGATGAAATTCCAAATTAATAAATTTAATTTGTAAATAAATAATCGAGAAATTAATTAATGAATAAATAAGGATTCTATAAAGAATAAAACAAATGAAACAATGGAAAAAAACAAATAGAAAAAAATATTTCTTATTTAATAATATTTTTGGTACCGAGAGAATAAAGAAAGAAACAAATAGAAAAAAAGTAAATAAATCGAGAAGAATATTTCTTATTGTAAAAATATTTTTGGTTCCGAGAGGAATAAAGAAAGAAACAAATAGAAAAAAGTAAATAAATGGAAAACAATGTTTCTTTTTTAATATTTTACCGAGAGAATCCAAAGGAACGACGATTCCATTATCGCATTTGCTGCATTTTAAAGATGACATGTGCGTTCCTAATTCTGTTGGATCGGAACATCTGTTGCAGGCGCAAGAAAAATGTTTTCCCTCATGAAGTTGTTCTCTTCTTAACATTGTTGGCAATAGAGAATGAGTATAACTTCCATATAATTCACTTCCTTTTGTCACTTTTACTGTTGTCCTCAAATAGACCCTTCGAAAAAAAATTACAACAAATTAGTAATTTTATTAATTAATAATTAATAATCGTAAAAAAGTTATCGTAAATTTATTATTATTATGCAAATTACAAAATTTTTTATTTTCAAATATGACTTTTTAAATAATTTTAGATTCAAACTTTAAAAAAATGTAATTATTAACTAATGTACTAATTAATTATTCTTATTTATTAATTTCAAAAATTTTAATAAAATACTTTGCAAAAAATTCAATTATTTTCATAAATAATAACATTATTCGTGAGAATTCAATTATTGTTATAAATAATGAAATTTTTTGCAAAAATTCAATTATTTTTAAACAAAATTTTAATAACATTTCACAAACGAATACTATTTTCTAAACTTTCAATAAATCCATCGAAACAATTCAAATATTTTTTTAAATATTAAAATCTTTGCAAAATTTCAATAATTTTCGAAAAATTCAATTTTTTCTTAATTTGTTAATAAAATCTTTGCAAAAATTTAATTATTTTCAAAAAAATTTCACGAAAGAGTTCAAGTTTTTTCTTAATTCGTTTTAAAAAATTTCAATAGAATTAAAATATTTTCCAAAATTTTCATAAATCCTTTGAAACAATTTAATTATATTTAAAAAATGTAAAATTCTTTGAAAAAATTCTAAACAATTTCACGAATGAATTCAATTTTTTTCTTAATTCGTTTTAAAAAATTTCAATAGAATTCAATTATTTTCTAAATTTTTAATAAATCCTTCGAAACAATTTAATCATATTTATAAACAGTAAAATTCTTTGCAAAAATTTAATTACTTTTAATTCAATTTTATTAAAATTAAAGATAAAATTCAATTTAAAAAAAAAAAATTTAATATTTTTCGAAAAAATTTAATTATTTTCTAAACTTTTAATAAATCCTTTGAAACAATTCAATTATATTTATAAATATAGTAAAATTTTTTTGCAAAACTTCAATTATTTTAAAAAATTTTTAATTAAAATTATTAAAGAAACTCCATTATTTAAAAAGAAATTCAAAGAAATTCTTCAAAAAGAATTTAATTAGAACTTTCAAAACTTTTATCAAAATTCTTCTCGAAAATTCAATTACTTTGACCAGTCTAAATTTAGTAATTTTAATTAAATTAATTTCTCTATTTGCATTGTATTATTTATAAATCGTATAAATGCAAATTCTAAAGAAATGGAAAATAATAATATTTTTGTTTTTACTTATAATCGGTGGGCGAAACACCGTGACTTGTATTTGAAACACAAGAATGATTCATGAGTGAAAATTGAGGATAAAGAGCCCTCGCTGGATATCCCTTCGATGTTCGTACTTCGTGAGTGTTAATTTGCAAAATTCCACAGACCGTTTGTATTGCCTCTTCTGAAAATCTAAAAGAAAATTCTCAAAAATTATCTATGACCAACTATTTTTATTATTATTTTCAAAAACTATTTTTTTTATCTATTTATTCATATAATTATAATTATTCTTATTTATTAAAGTGACGTCGGCACCGCTTAACTAAATAAATAAATAATTTTTATTATTTTTATTATTATATTTATTATTATAATTTTGTTTATTACTAAAATTCTATAATTAGATAACTGGAAAAAATAAACCGAAATAAATTAATAATTTTTCTGGAAAAATAGTGGCAATTTTTCCTTATTAAAGTATTTTAATTATCATTCTTTAAAAACTGGAGTTGACATAATGGGAAATCAAATAGGCATAAAAGTAAAAATAGGCATTGAAATTAAACGAATAGAACAAAATACTAAAATAAACGAGACAAATAATAAATGAAAAGATAAATAAAATAAATAGTAGAAAATAGAAAAATAATAAATTAATAAAGAAAATAATTAGAAGTCTAATAAATGAATACTAAAGGGAGAAAATAATAAAAAGTACAGTACAAGAAATAAAAAATAAATGAAAAAAATACAAAAAGTGAAATATGAATTTAAGAAAATAAAAAAAAAAAGAATAATAAATAATAAATAAAGAAAATAATTCTCACTTGGTTAATTTCAATCGATTTCTTATATAGTCGACAATATTGACTTGATCCGCTTTCCATTGACAATTTCCATGACGTTTTTTATTGTGTGCCTCCATTTTTTTCACTTGCTTCTCCCATCGTTCGGGATTCTTTTCCGAAGCAAGAAGCAATCGCAATGGTGTTATGCATTCCAATTGTGGAACACCAGTTTGTAATTCTTCATTGAGAGCAATTGCTGTATTAAATTTTTCACGTGCTTCAACAAATACTTGACATTCATAATCCTTATGGTGAGGATGATTTTCGCATTCATCACCGCAAACGGGCCATTTACATCGACTGCAAAGTGTATGGGTCTGAGGAAGACGGGGCCACGCCGAATAACATGACAAACACAGAGGATACGTGAAGGCTTTTGGTCCAACGACAAATGGCTCTTCCACGAGAATTGAATCGCCCTCCTCCAGGTCTTTTGCCGCCACCAAATATCTGCGGAAATTTTATTCATTTAATTCAATTTAATTAACTTTATTTATTTAATTCATTTAATTAATTTAATTCATTTAAAAAAATTTAATTTCGACTTAATTGTCTCCTTGAGGGAAATTTTTGTCGTCAATATTATTAATTTCGTTCGATATTAATTTTAATTCGATTCTAATTTCGTTGTAAGTTAATAGTAATTTTTAAATAAATTCTAATTCAGTTGTGATTCTATTATAATTTCTAATTCAATTCGTAAAATTCGTAATTCTTTAATTCAATTCTAATTCGGTTGTAATTCAATTCTCATTTAATTTTAAATCGGTTTTAATTAAATTCTCATATAATTCTAATTCGGTTTTAATTCAATTCTCATTTAATTTAAATTCGGTTGTAATTCAATTCTCATTTAATTTAAATTCGGTTGTAATTCCAAGCCTCGGATATTATTACTTTTTTGACATTTTTCGACATATTTTCAAAAATTACGACTTTTTCTACTTTCTTTCCAAATATTGCAATAATTTTTAGTATAAAATGCAACTTATTTCGATTTTTATCTATAGTGTGAAAAATAATTATAGACAAATCTTAAAAAATTATTTTTTAATAATTTTTCTAATTAAATTTTCGAAATTTACAATTAAAAAGAGTTTCAATAATTGAAATTTTGTAAAATTTAATTGAAAATAATTGATTTTTTTTCAAAGTGTTTCATAAAAATTTTTGAAAATAAACTTTTGAAGAATTTTAATTGCAAATTTTGAAAATAATTGAAATTGAATTCCTCGGAAGAAGTCAATTTTAAAAAAAAATTAAATATATTTCGAATAAATTCAATTATTTTCTAAAATCTTAATAAATCCTTCGAAACAATTCAATTATTTTTATAAATATAGTAAAATTCATCGCAAGAATTCAATTATTTTTATAAATAGTAAAATTCTTCGCAAGAATTCGATTATTTTTATAAATAGTAACATTCTCTGCAGGAATTCAATTATTTTCAAAACATCTTTAATTTGAATGTCTCGGAAGAATTCAAATATTTTCATAAAATTCAATTATTTCCTACATTTTTAATAATTTCTTCGAAACAATTTAACTATTTTTATAAATAATAAATAAATTTTCAAAATTTACAATTAAAAAGAGTTTCAATAATTGAAATTTTGCAAAAAATTTAATTGAAAATAATTGATTTTTTTCAAAGTGTTTTATAAAAATTTTTTAAAATCAACTTTTGAAGAATTTTAATTGAAAATTTGGAAAATAATTGAAATTGAATTCAATTTTAATTAAATTTCTCGAAAGAATTCAATTTTAAAAAAAAATTTTTAATATATTTCGAATAAATTCAATTATTTTCTAAAATCTTAAGAAATCCTTCGAAACAATTCAATTATTTTTATAAATAGTAAAATTCTTCGCAAGAATTCAATTATATTTATAAATAGTAAAATTCTTTGCAGGAATTCAATTATTTTCAAAAATAATTTTTTCAAAGTGTTTTATAAAAATTTTTTAAAAATCAACTTTTAAAGAATTTTAATTGCAAATTTTTAAAATAATTGATTGCTCCAAAATTTTAATGAAAAATCTTCAAGTGTAAATTAAAAAATGGTAATTAATAAAAATTAGCTTCTATAAAAATTATATTAAAATATTTTTGAAAAAAATAATTCTTAAAATTTTTATATTCTAATTTTTTAAAATTCAATTATTTTCAATATTTTTAAATACAAATTTCCAAAAATTCAAATACATACAAAAAATAATAACATTAACATTTTTTACAATTACTTTTAACATTTTAACAACATATAACAATCATGTTAAAAATTTTTAATCATGATTCTTGAAAAAATTATTTTTTTGTAAATTATACAAAAATTATTTTAAGAAATTCAATTATTTTCGAAAAATTACATTACAATATTAAAAAAAAAACTTTTTCTTGTAATCTTTTTATCTTAATTTTTTTAAAGATTCAATTAACTTTGAAGAAAGTAAATTAAAATTTTTCAAAATTTACTTTTTTAGGTTAATACAATTTTTTTTGGAGAAATCACGTTTATATTAATAATTAAAATTCTTTAAAAATTCAATTATTTTGTTTAATAGAATTTACCAATTTCAATTGTTTGGAAATTTTTCAATTTTCAAAATTTCAAAATTTTCAAAAAACTATTATCTTTCATAAATTATTTTAAAAATATTTTTGAAAAATTAATTTTAAAAATTTCTTTATTATCATTTTTTGAAAATTAATTACTAACTTAAAAAACATGGACAGTTAGAATCATTATAAAAAACTGAATTTTTGTATTTAAATAATTGAATTTTATAAGAAAGAACTTTCGAAAAATTATTAAAAATTAATATAGATAATTGATTTCGAGAAAAGCTTGATTAAAAATTTTAGAAAATAATTGAATTTTAATAGAATTAAAGTTGTAACTTTTAGAAGTTATTAAATTTCATAAGATATTAAATAGAATTTTTGAAAATTTTATTCCCGTATAAAAACAAACAAGAAGTATTTAAATATTTATTTAACGAAATTATTCAAGTTTTGATTAATTAAATTTAGAAATCAGTGAAAGATCAGAAAAATACAAAATAAAATTTTTGTGACGATACTGAATTAAATAAACAACTTTTTGGACTTTTTTTCTATTTTAAATCGAGAGAAGCGATTTTTTTTTGCACCTTAAAGTCGATCCGAGGCCTGTAATTTAATTGTGATTTTTAATTCAATTCTCATTTAATTTAAATTCGGTTGCAATTCGATTACAACTTTTAATTCAATTCTCATTTAATTTTAATTCAATTGTCATTTAATTTTAATTCAATTGTCATTTAATTTTTATTCAATTCTCATTTAATTTTAATTCCGTTGTAATTTAATTACAATTTTTAATTCTGTTCTCATTTAATTTTAATTCAATCGAAATAGAAATTTAATTCAATTGCAATATAAATTTAACTCAATTGAAATAGAAATTTAATTAATTTGTGATAATTAAATTTAATTCAATTGTAATAAAATTGAATTTAACAAAATAAAAAAAAATTACCTTCCCACTTGTTCGTTTTCGCGAATTTCGTAATTTTCCGGAATTTCAGCGCCATTATTCTGAAAAATAGATAAATATGTCAATAAAACTAATAAAAATTCAAGAAAAAAAATTTTTGTTTTGACGTAACAGCCTATTAGGTAATATAAAAATATAAAGTGGAACTTACGGACAATTCGGACATGATTAGAAATGTTTTCTAGTTGCACGTTTCTCGAAAACTATTTTTCTTTTTAAATCCCGTTGATTGTTCCAAATCTTGTGATGTACTATTTGAAATTAACTGACCCAAGAATCTTTTATTACATTTGGTGTTATCAAAAATAAAAATCCTCTATGCGTGCCAAACTTTGAATCTAGAATGTACTAGTCTCGATTCTTCACGTTAGTTGAGACCAACTGATCATTGAGTATATTTTCGGCGCTTGAAATACCCTATACACTTTCAAAATAATTCTCTCATCCAGTTTTCATTAATTTTTGACTCTCTCTCTATCTCTTTCTCTCTTTATTTTTACTCAATGCTATTTTTTCCTAATTTTTCGTACCAATAACATTTTTTCCTTATTTGAATTCTTGTTGAAATTTTTCCATTCTCCTGTATTTATTATAATTCTGAAAATTCTTTCTGATAATTCCTTCATACTGTGTGAATCATAACAATAAATAATAGTAAACAAAATAAGTAAACAAAATATTTTTGCTCGTTTCTTATTTACCTGTTAATAAACAATTTGTTTATAATCATAATTTTTATAATCATAATTCAGTCTAGATAAAAATATTTAAATAAAAGAAAATGTTATATAAAAAAATTTATTGTAAATATTAAAATAAATAAATAAAAATATATTTAAAAATGACTTACGTAGTTTGGTCATTTCCCGCCATTTTTGTTCAAAAATTTCCTAACCTCAAAATTCCGTTTGATTTTTCCTTTTCTTGTGTACTACACAATTGCACTTTGGAAAATATAATTATTTCGCTACAAACACTCTTTATTTAATACCTTTCTATCTTTTCAAGAGATTTTCAAGATTTATTTCCATATTTTTCTTATTTTTGATCTACTTTTTGAGGTTATGAACCTTTCGAACAACGAACGTTACGGATTGCAATCTTAAATATAAAAATAATGGAAGAACTCCGTTAGAAAAAATCGAAAAATTCTTCTGCTTCTCTGAGATTAAATTACCCTTTCGTTACACGTTAAAAATAAAATAAGATGAGAATTTTTTCTCTTTTATATTTACAAAGCACAACAACTTCCTCACGCGAAGGGTCGCGTTTCCTGCGCACGCGCAATAGTTCCTCCCTCTTGGGTTTCTTCGATTGTTAGAAGACCAAAGTAGTTCCTTGACGAAGAAGTCGTGTAATTTTCTCGCGAATCAAGTTTCTTAAATTAAAATGTAAGTACTATTTTCATTAATTACAAATTTCCCCTTTCAATTCATACACTTATCTTTTAGCTAAATGAAATTGTGAAAGATTAAAAAGATGTTTAAAAATCTCGGACGCCGGCATGGTTTGCAATATTTGCAACGACGACGACGACGATGTCGTCTGCCTGTCGGCACTCGGCTCTGCGACCTTCACCGAATTTAATTGCCAAAGGGCAAAGTTTAATTTGTAAAATCATGACTATTTTTTTTTTTTGGTTACAAAATCTAATTTTCGGGAAAAATATTTTATTTTCTTAGGTTAGAAACAACTCCAATTTGTTTCATGATCTGCAGAATTCTTTGCAATTTATGACTTATGTAATACCAGGTCAATATACTACTTTCCCTCGAACTAGAGAAATTAAAATTCATAAAAAGCTAATTATTATTCCCCCTCTGATAGTGTTTTATAATTCTCCGAAAAAAAAAATAAATCGAAATTTTAATCTTGATTTTTGACCTTTACATCCGCAATTGATTTTAAGTTGAAGGTTACCTGAGAATTGGGTCATCTTTAGGATTTAGTTCAGAGGGGAATTTATTCTTCTCAAGAATAAATTTTATTGACTGTCGTGTTTATTGAAATATTTTAGTATTTACGAATTTAAATATTTATTCAAATATTTAAATATTTATTCGAAATTTGAATATTTATTTCTGTGAAATTTGGAGAAATTGGTTAAAATTTTGAGAAATTGGATAAAATTAAGAAAGAATTTTGTATTTGCTCTAAAATTTTGCTTCTAGTGTGAAAAAATAATTGTTATCTTTCTTTTCCGAATAGAAAATGGCACCTCCACCAACATACAGTGATTTGGGAAAAGATGCTCGAAATGTTTTTGGAAATGGTTATCATTTTGGTCTCCTAAAATTAAACGTTAAAACTAAAACTGATTCTGGTGTTGAATTCACCACTGGCGGTGTTTCAAATCAGGACACTGGCAAAGTTGTCGGCAATTTGGAGAGTAAATATAAAATCAAAGAATATGGAATTACATTCGCTGAGAAATGGAATACGGATAATACTCTTGGCACTGAGGTTTCAATTGCTGATAAACTATTGAAAGGATTACAACTTACTTACAATTGTACATTCTCTCCTCAAACTGGGTAATTTTCCCCTTCTTACTATTTAATTAATTTACCATTAAGTTTCTTAATTTACTATTTAACTAATTTCTAATTTTTAACTAATTTGAAACCAGTTGTAAATTAATTTATTAACCTGGAAATGTCAGGGAATTTTATAAACCTTGAAAAAATCTGGAAAAGTCAGAGAAGTTTTATCGAAATCCTGGAAAATTGTTGTTTTCTAAAGTTATTGTGTTTATTCTTGAAATCTAATTTCACTCAAATTTTTCAAAATTAATTCAATTTTAAAAGAATTGCGTTTACAATTTTCATAAGTAGATGAACTTTAAAATATTTTGATTTAAAATTTTGTAAAATTTCAATTTTAAATTAATTTAATTAGAAATATAAAAAAACTTAGATTTAAAAAAATTTTTTAAACTAAAATTCTTCTGAAATTAGTTAAATTTTTTAATATATATTTAACTTGTTTTATTAAAAATAATGGATTTATAGAAGAATTTTAGTTAAAAACACCAAAACAAATTTAATTTTGAAGCAATTACAAATGATTGCAAAAATTCAATTATTTTCAAAAATTTTAATAAAATTCTTGACAAAATTTTAATTATTTTCAAAAACTTTCCTCAATTCAATGATTTTTAATATCTACTACTTTAATAAAAATTCCTAAAAGAATTCAATTAGTTAAAAAAATTGTTAATAAAATTCTACGCTAGCATTTAATTATTTTCATAAATAATAAAAATTTCCCCAAAAATTCAATTATCTACAAATTATTTTCATATATTATTCAATTATTTTCATAAATAATAAAATTTTTTACAGGGATTCAATTATTTTCATAAATAATAAAATTCATCGAAGGATTTCAATTATTTTTAATACAATTTTAATGGAAGTCCTCGAAAAAAGTTATTATTCTTAAAATTTTTATTAAAATTTGTCAAGAGAATTCAATTATTTAAAAATTCGTTGATAACATTCTTTATGAAAATTCAATTTTAAGAAACATTCAATTGTTTAATAAAATATTTATTTTTATAGTTCAATAATTGAATTCTCGTAGAATTTTCTAATAAATATTGATTTAAAAATGAATTTCAAATTAAAATCTTTGAAAATTTGAACTTTTCATACTTTTAATTAAGAATTCTATAGAATTAATTTTTCTCAATAAGTTCAATGGAATTTTTTTTAATTATTTGAAGTTTTTAATTTCTAATATATTTAATTGAAGAATGTTAGAATAATTGAATTTTCGTAAAATTAAATTGTAAAATTAAACTATTTTCCAAAAATGTGACTTTTTCGACTTTTCTTGCAAATATTGCAAGTAAATACCACATTTTTAATATAAATATGCAACTCTGATTTTTAGTGTGAAAAATGTGGACAAATCTTTCAAAAAATTATTTTTGAATAATTTTTCGAATTAAATTTTTGAAATATACAATTAAAAAGATTTTGAATAATTGAAATTTGGTAAAATTTAATTGAAAATAATTTATTTTTTCAAGAAATTACAATTTTACAATACAATATTACAATTTTTAAAAATCAACATTTGAAGAAATTTAATTGAAAATTTTGTGAAAATAACTGAATTCTCAAAAAAAAATTTAATGAAAAATTTTTAAGTGTAAATTTTTATGAATATGAAAATTAATGAAAACTAGCTTCTAAAAAATTATATTGAAATTTTCTTTTAAAAAGTAATTCTCAGAATTTTTTTTTATTATAAATTTTTAAAATTCAATTATATATAATAATCGTCGTGATTCCAGATTTCCGGATCTCTGTCCACACTTGAAGTTAGTTATAGTTATTCTTTTGTTTTTTATACGTTTTGATAGAAAATAGAAATATACATATACATATATACATACATTATAATAATCGTAAGTTTCCTTTCTGTTAGCAAATTATCTGCATTCATTTGTTTGTTTTGAAAATTTAATTTTGTGGGTTAAGTAAGTATTGGCATTTTTTATATATTTTTTAATGTCAAACTTTTTAATGTGGAAAATACTTATTAAATTGTCTCGACTCTTTGGTAAAAAATCTAAAATTATCGAAAATTATCAAAAATTCAAAAATCCGAATTTCTTAAAATTCAACATTTTTTCCTCTCCTTAATAGAATTTAGCTTCATTATTTTTGTGCTTTTGGAAAATACTTTACTTTTCTAATAGTCTCGACTCTTTGGTAAAAAATCTAAAATTATAAAAAATTCGAAAAAATTCAAAAATCCGATTTTCTTAATATTCAACATTTTTTCCTCTCTTTTATAGGATTTAGCTTCATTATTTTTGTGCTTTTGGGAAATACTTTACTTATTTAATAGTCTCGACTCTTTGGTAAAAAATCTAAAATTATCAAATATTCGAAAAATTTCAAAATCCGCTTTTTTTATAATTCAACATTTTTTCCTCTCCTTAATGGGATTTAGCTTCATTATTTTTGTGCTTTTGGAAAATACTTTACTTATTTAATACTCTTGACTCTTTGGTAAAAAATGTGAAATTATCGAAAATTATCAAAAATTCAAAAATCCGAATTTCTTAAAATTCAACATTTTTTCCTCTCCTTAATGGGATTTAGCTTCATTATTTTTGTGCTTTTGGAAAATACTTTACTTATTTAATAGTCTCGACTCTTTGGTAAAAAATCTAAAATTATAAAAAATTCGAAAAAATTCAAAAATCCGATTTTCTTAATATTCAACATTTTTTCCTCCCTTTTATAGGATTTAGCTTCATTATTTTTGTGCTTTTGGGAAATACTTTACTTATTTAATAGTCTCGACTCTTTGGTAAAAAATCTAAAATTATCAAAAATTCGAATAAATTCAAAAATCCGATTTACTTAAAATTCAACATTTTTTCCTCTCTTTTATAGGAATTAGCTTCATTATTTTTGTGCTTTTGGAAAATACTTTACTTATTAAATTGTCTCGCCCCTTTGGTAAAAAATGTGAAATTATCGAAAATTATCAAAAATTCAAAAATTCGAATTTCTTAAAATTCAACATTTTTTCCTCTCTTTTATAGAATTTAGCTTCGTTATTTTTGTGCTTTTGGAAAATACTTTACTTATTTAATAGTCTCGACTCTTTGGTAAAAAATCTAAAATTATCGAAAATTAACAAAAATTAAAAAATCCGAATTTCTTAAAATTCAACACTTTTTTCTCTCTTTTATAGGATTTAGCTTCATTATTTTTGTGCTTTTGGAAAATACTTTACTTATTAAATTGTCCCGACTCTTTGGTAAAAAATCTAAAATTATCGAAAATTATCAAAAATTCAAAAATCCGTTTTTCTTAAAATTCAACATTTTTTCTTCTCTTTTATGGGATTTAGCTTCATTATTTTTGTGCTTTTCAAAAATACTTTATATATTTAATAGTCTCGACTCTTTGGTAAAAAATCTAAAATTATCGAAAATTATCAAAAATTCAAAAATCCGTTTTTCTTAAAATTCAACATTTTTTCTTCTCTTTTATGGGATTTAGCTTCATTATTTTTGTGCTTTTGGAAAATACTTTACTTATTAAATTGTCTCGACTCTTTAGTAACAAATGTAAAATTATCGAAATTTATAAAAAATTCAAAAATCCGAATTTCTTAAAATTCAACATTTTTTCCTCTCTTTTATAGAATTTAGCTTCGTTATTTTTGTGCTTTTGAAAAATACTTTACTTATTTAATAGTCTCGACTCTTTGGTAAAAAATCTAAAATTATCGAAAATTAACAAAAATTCAAAAATCCGAATTTCTTAAAATTCAACATTTTTTGCTCTCTTTTATAGGATTTAGCTTCATTATTTTTGTGCTTTTGGAAAATACTTTACTTATTAAATTGTCTCGACTCTTTGGTAAAAAATGTGAAATTATCGAAAATTATCAAAAATTCAAAAATCCGAATTTCTTAAAATTCAACATTTTTTCCTCTCCTTAATGGGATTTAGCTTCATTATTTTTGTGCTTTTGGAAAATACTTTACTTATTTAATAGTCTCGACTCTTTGGTAAAAAATCTAAAATTATAAAAAATTCGAAAAAATTCAAAAATCCGATTTTCTTAATATTCAACATTTTTTCCTCCCTTTTATAGGATTTAGCTTCATTATTTTTGTGCTTTTGGGAAATACTTTACTTATTTAATAGTCTCGACTCTTTGGTAAAAAATCTAAAATTATCAAAAATTCGAATAAATTCAAAAATCCGTTTTTCTTAAAATTCAACATTTTTTCCTCTCTTTTATAGGATTTAGCTTCATTATTTTTGTGCTTTTGGAAAATACTTTACTTATTAAATTGTCTCGACTCTTTAGTAACAAATGTAAAATTATCGAAATTTATCAAAAATTCAAAAATCCGAATTTCTTAAAATTCAACATTTTTTCTTCTCTTTTACGGGATTTAGCTTCATTATTTTTGTGCTTTTGGAAAATACTTTACTTATTTAATAGTCTCGACTCTTTGGTAAAAAATCTAAAATTATCAAAAATTCGAAAAATTTCAAAAATCCGTTTTTCTTAAAATTCAACATTTTTTCTTCTCTTTTACGGGATTTAGCTTCATTATTTTTGTGCTTTTGGAAAATACTTTACTTATTAAATTGTCTCGACTCTTTGGAAAAAAATAAAAAATTATTAAAAATTATCAAAAATTTGAAAAATTGAATTTCTTAAAATTCAACATTTTTTTTCTTTTTTATACCATTTAGCTTTATTATTATTTGAATTTTTATTCAAGAGAAAAAATGGAAAACTGAAAAAATTTAGAATTTTTAAAAAATTACAGGCCTTTTCCATGATTTCCCTGATTTCCAGAAGCCTTTTAAAAATTCCATACTATTTCCATGATTTCCATGATTTCCAGATTCTGTAGGAACCCTGCTTTTGTCTGACTTTCTTCTAAATTATCGAATTCAGTGATTTCTGAGGTGAATTTGGTTAAGTTGTAAAATGATTAATTTCTATTTGAATTCGTTTTTTTGAATGTAGAAAATCTGATGTTAATTTAATTCTTTTTTCGTTATGCACGGCAAAAAATATTTAGCTGGATGAACTACAGATTTCACTTTAGTAGCGAAATTTTTCAGTGCTTCAATTAATGCTTTCGTTATTCTAGAGAAACTTATCGCTATTTCAAGTAAAACTTTTTTCATTGTGTAATAATTATTATTTCTTTGAAAAGTATTTAATTTAAAATGGCTTTATAAAATAAGCAATGCAAAAGATGACCCAGATACTAATTGTAATTGTTCTAGCCATAGTTTAAGTCTAGTAATGTAAATTCTATTTAAATTGAGACCATTGAGTGAAATTATTTGAATTTTAGTTAGTTAAATCTCTTTGTTAGGTTATAATAATTATTTCTTTAAAATTTTTTTAATTGTTTAAAATAAGCAGCCCCATACAACATTCCCGCGCGCTTGCGCGCGGATAGTTTGGCTAGTTATTTTCAGTATTTTCAAAAAAAAATATTAATTTCAATAATTCAAATACATAGTGTACAAAAAATAATACAAAGATTAAAATTTTTCAGAATTATTTTTAACATTTTGGAGAAAACAATCATTGTGAAAATCTTTAATTAAAATTCTTCAAAGAAAATTACTTGGTTTTTTTAAATTATACAGAAATTCTTTTAAGAAATTCAATTATTTTCGAAAAATTACATTAGAATAAAAAACTAATTCTTAGAATTGTTTTATCTTAATTTTTTAAGATCTACTTATCTTCGAACAAAGTAAATTAAATTTTTTTTTTAATTTACTTCTTTAGATTCTTATTGAAATTTCAGAGAAATCATGTTTATATATATATAATTAAAATTCTTCAATAATCTGATTACTTTATATTTTTCAAAAATTCAATTATTTCTAAAATATTTTTTGTGTCTTAAAGTCGATCCGAGCTAATTACTTCTAAATTTTTAGATAAAATGAAATAAAATTTTTAATTTTCAGTTTTTAATTTCTAATCTCATAATTTTTGAATTTTTAGAAGCAAAACTGGACAATTGAAGACTGTCTATAAAAATGATAGTGCAGCAATTACCTCTGATCTTGATCTCAGTCTTTCAAGTGGTCCCATCGTTAATGGATCTTTTGTACTAGGATTCCAAGGTAATTTCTATTTTTTATCTTTAAGTTACGTTCCTGAATTATTTATTTAAATTATTATTTATTTTTCTAAATTATTTCTTCTCTGTAATTATGTTTTTTTTTTGCTTCACCTCCTCAGGTTGGCTTTGCGGTTACCAAACTTGTTTTGATTCCCAAAGGAGCAAAATTACTAAGAATAATCTTGCACTTGGATTCAATGGTCCTGATTTTACAATTCACACTTCCGTGTAAGTTTCTATTTATCTCCTTCAAAATCATCTCTTTTATATCGTTATTGACTTTTTTCTTTTTTTTATTGAAAATCAAAATGAAAGAATTGAAATTCATTTGAATTTGAATTTTTATATTTTGATAAAGAGACTTTTTTCTTTTCTTATTAAAAATCAAAATAAAGAATTAAAATTCCCATGAATTTTAATTCTTTTATTTTGATTTTTAATAAAAAAAGAAAAAAGAAACAAAATAAAAAAAAAGAAAACTAAAAATCAAAATCAAAATAAAAAAAAGAAAATTGAAAAGTAAATAAAACAAATTAAATTTTAGGAGCAACGGTCGCGAATTCGGAGGATCAATTTATCATAAAGTGAAGCCAGGCTTAGAGGGAGCAATTAATTTGGCCTGGAATTCCAGCAATAATGTCACTGAATTCGCACTCGGTACAAAGTACGACCTCGATCAAGACGCCTCTGTCAGAGCCAAGGTCAATTCTCAGCTTCAAATTGGATTGGGATACCAACAGAAGCTTCGTGAAGGTATTGACATATTTTTCAAACAAAAAAAATTTAATAAAATTTTCAAAACAAATTTTAGAAAAAGATTTCTAAAAAAAGAAATATCTACACTTTATTTTTTTACTGCTAGACGAAAAAGAGATAAAAGAATTATTTACCCAAAAAAAGATAATCATTTTTAAGATAATAAAATTCTTGTCCTTGTCTAGAAAGCGCGCGCGCGTATGTGAGTGAGTGAAACTATAATCAAATTGAACTTATTTTCTATTTATATAATTCACCACGTGCTATTCTTAAAATAGATTTAACCTCCTGGCTCAATGGTCACCAGACAATGTCTTGCTCTTTTCTTTTCTATATATTGATTAAGATTATGTTCAAGTCTATGAATGGTTTAAAAAATTTAAACATTATTCTCAGGTGATTTTAATATCAAGCCTCGGATATTGACTTTCTTTTTAACCTTTTTTTGAAAAAATGAGACTTTTTTCGAATTATTTTCAAAACAAGGGACTTTTTCTACTTTTCTTCAAAATATTGCAAACTAAATACTACATTTTTAGTTTTAATAATTATGCAACTCCAATTTTTTATAGTGTAAAAAATATTGACAAATCTTTCAAAACTTATTTTTAATAATTTTTACTAATTAAATTTTCGAAATAAAGAATTAAAAATAGTTTGATTAATTGAAATTTTGTAAAATTTAATTGAAAATAATTGTTTTCTTTTTATCGCAAGTATTTTATCAAAATTTTTGAAAATCAACTTTCGGTAAATTTTAATTGCAAATTTGAAAAATAACTGAATTTTCCAAAATAAAAAATCTTCAAGTGCTAAATTCATAAAAATAAAAATTAATGAATATTATATTAAAATATTGTTGATTAAAAGTAATTAATTCAAATTATTTTTCATTCATAAAATTTCTCAAAAGAATTCAAATATTTTTCAAAATTTGATTAAATTCTTTATATGAGAATTCAAATATTTTAATTAAATTCCTCAAAAAAATTCAATTATTTTCGAAAATTATAATAAAAATTCTTAGCAAAATTTCAGTTTTTTTCATAATTTATAAAATTTGTTGCATGAATTTAACTATTTATGATAATTAATTTATTTTCTTGTATTAATAAAATTCTTCACAAGAATTTGATTAATTTAAAAAAAAAATTTGATTAAATTCTTTATGAGAATTAAAATATTTTCAATACAATATTTTAATTAAATTTCTCAAAAAAATTTAATTATTTTCGAAAATTTTAATAAAAATTCTTAGCAAAATTTCAATTTTTTTCATAATTTATAAAATTTTTTGCAGGAATTTAACTATTTATGAGAATTAATTTATTTTCATGAATTAATAAAATTCTTCACAAGAATTTGATTATTTTAAAGAATTTTAATAAAATTCTCCTCAAAAATTTTATTATTTTGAAAAAAAATTGATTAAATTCTTTATGAGAATTAAAATATTTTCAAATAATATTTTAATTAATTTCCTAGAAAAAATTCGACTATTTTTGAAAATTTTGATTTTAATCTTGCTAAGAATTTAATTTCCAATAATTTAATTTAATTCTCCAAGAATTATTTAAAAAATTCAATTAATAATTAATTTAGAAATTAATATTATTATTTATTGCTTTCAAAAGTTTTAATAAGATTCTTCGCAGAAATTCAATTATTTTCGATACAATTTCAATAAAATTTCTCAAGAGAATTCAATTATTTTCCAAAATTTGATTAAATTCTTCGCAAAAATTCAATTATTTTGAAAATTTTTTTTGATTATATTCTTTATGAGAATTGAAATATTTTCAATACAATTGTAATTAAATTCCTCGAAAAAATTCAATTATTTTCGAAAATTTTAATAAAAGTTCTTAGCAAAATTTCAATTATATTCATAATTTATAAAATTTGTCGCAGAAATTTAATTCTTTATGAGAATTAAATTATTTTGATAATCAATCAAATTCTTCCTCAAGAATTTGATTATTTTAAAGAATTTTAATAAAATTCTTTGCAAAAAGTTTATTATTTTGAAAAATTTTAATAAAATTCGTTATAAAAAAATTTAATTCTTTTCGTAAATAATAAAAATTTTTCGCAAAAATTCAATTATTTTGAAAAATTTTGATTACATTCCTTATGAGAATTGAAAACGTTTTCAATACAATTTTAATTAAATTCTTGCCGAAAAATGCAATTATTTTTGTAAATTTTAATTAAATTCTTAGCAAAATTTCAATTATTTTCATAATTTATAAAAAAATTATAAAAAATTTATAATTTATAAAATTTGTTTTATAAATTGAATTATTTATAAGAATTGAAATATTTTCAATAAAATATTAATCATATTCTTGGAAAAAATTCAATTATTTTTGAAAATTTTAATTAAATTTTTAGCAAGATTTAAATAAAAAATTTATATAGAAATATTTATTATTTAAGGAATTAATTTTCAGAATATCTTTATTATAATTTTTTGAAAATATTATACCTTAATAATTTTTTTATAAAACAGTACATTTGCAGTTGCAATTATTATAAGAAATTGAATTTTTGTATTTAAATAATTGAGATCTTGAAGAACTTTCAGAAAATAATTGAATTAAAGATGAACTTTAGTTAAAAATTGTAGAAATATTTCCTAATTTTCTAATTTTTATTTCTATTTTAATTTGATTTTTTCACCTTCCGCAGGAGTTATTCTGGCTCTGTCAACGAACATCGATGGCAAGAACTTTGGATCCGGTGGACACAAGCTCGGCTTATCATTGGAGCTTAATGCCTAAATTTTATCAGTGCGGAAAATGAAGAATCAATTTTCCCCTGGCGTTAATATAATTTTCGTAACACTTGTGTCGTAAGGACAACAGATTTCACCAGAAGCTTATTCAGAAGAAAAAAAAACAAGAGGAAATATTGCCTGTAACGTAATCTAGGTAGAATTTCACTTAAACAATTTCAGCTCAATTATATCAGAAAATAATTTGATTTATCGAATTATTATTATTATTATCATTATTATTCGAATTTATCGAATGTCGAATTATTATAAATGACGAATTTCTTCTTCATTGTCAATAATTTTAACGCCATTACGATAATATTATCAAGTGACAGAAGAAATGATTTCTTTCAGAATAAAAAGGAAAAATAGAGAAAAAAAAGACAAATGAGATAATTATTAATGATAATGAAAAATAATTCCTAGGGGAAAATAAAAAGAAAAGAAGAAATCTTACAGATTTGTAAGTTTTACGAATTTTCCTAAATAGATAAAAAAAAAAGTATTCAATCATTGTTATAGGACCGAGTCTATGTGTAATTTTCAAAAAACATTTAAATAAAATGGAAATTCCTCGTCGAGTTCATTGAACATAAAAATTTTCCGAATGTAGTTCTGTAAATAGATATTATACGTAAATATTTACGAGACTTAAATAATGAATTTTAATCTTTTTTTTTTTTGTTTGATTTTCTCGTAATTTTTGAATAGCGAAAATATTTTACGACTCTGTTAATTCTAAGCACATTGTAATTATCTCTTCTTCAAAACATACCAATTTACATTGTGCAAAAAAAAAAGTATTTGAGCATGATTCGAGTATTAGAAAGAAAACTCCAATTTTATTTCTATTCATAATCAAAAAAAAAAAAAAAAAAATGATCGTTTGTAGTTTATATTTGAGCGAATGCCTTTGGATAGTTGCTGAAAAAAATAAAAATAAGACACAATTGTTAAATTTTGGCGTGATAGTTGATTTATTTACAAAGAAAAAAAGAACATTTGGATGTGGGAACAATTTTTCTTTTTCTTTTAATTAATCCAAATAAGCTATGTTTTATTTAAATTAGTATGTTGTTTTCTTTTTTCTTAACAAATAGGACTTTCCAAAGTGGAACTTTATTTGCCTTTTTCGAACTTAATACTTTAAAAAGAAGGGAGAAAAAAAAATAATATTGAAAAAGGTTTTTTCTTCGGATTCGTTTTTTTTAGATTATTTCTAATTTTCAGAAATAGTTAGTGCACCATCTGATCATCCATGGCTTTTGCGATCCATTCCGGTTCAGTCTGAGCAATCTTCTCAATAATCTGATTCACTTGATAGCAAAGCGATTGAATATGTTTGTCCCAAGTTGGCAGTGTTTCACGAGCTGAAAATTTATTTTAATTACAATTTTCGTTACTTTCTGTTTAATTAATTTAATTTCTAAAATTAATATTAATTAATTTAATTTCTAAAATTAATATTAATTAATTTAATTTCTAAAATAAATATTAATTTATTAATTCATTTAATTCTTAAAATCAGGGCTCGAACCAGTGAAAGTAATTAAAAATACAGATTTTACGGACTAAAAATGAAAAATTACGGACTAATTACTAACAAAAATATAACCAGTCCGAGTCAAATAAGAAAACATTTTACTTAAAATTATAAATTCAATTTTTAATTATTTTAAAACATGAAGATATCGATAACTCCGAGTCTTCGACTCGGAGTCATCGATTTCTTCATGTTTTATAATAATTAAAGATGACCGATTGATAAAATCATTATCAATTCAATTATTTTCAAAAATTTTTAACTAAAATTCTTCTTTAAATCGATTATTTTTAATAATTTTCGAAAAAGTTCTTTGACAATTTTCAAATCCATTTGTTTACAATATTCAATTTTACGAAATTTCAATTATTCGTAAATTCAATTAAAAAAATTTTAGAAAATAAAAACTTCAAATAATATTAAAAAAATTCAATTAAACTTTTTCAAAAAAATTAATTTTAAAAATTCACGCTATATTGCTTTTAATATTCAATTATTAACTAAAATTTTAACTGAAATTCATTTTTAAATCAATGTTTATGAGAAAATTCTACTAGAATTCAATTATTTAAATACAAAAATAAATAATTTATTAAAAATTTGAATGTTTCTTAAAATTGAATTTTCATAAAGAATTTTGTCAATAAATTTTTAAATAATTGAATTCTTTCGTCGATTTTTAATAAAATTTTCAAGAATACTTCCTTTTTTCGAGAAATTCCATTAAAATTGTATTAAAAATAATTGAAATTCTGCAATGAGTTTTATTATTTATGAAAATAATTGAATCCCTAAGAAGAATTTTATTACTTTTGAAAAATATTTAATTTTTGCGAAGAATATTATTACTCTTGAAAATAATTTAATTTGTAACTTATACAAAATTGAATTTTCTTTTCGTGTTTTTAACTAAACATCTTCTATAAATCCATTATTTTTAATAATTTTTAAAAAAGTTTTTTAAGAATTTTCAAATTCATTTGTTTACAATTCAATTTTACAAAATTTCAATTATTCGTAAATACTTCAATTACATATTTATCAGAAATTAAAAACTTTAAATAATTTCAAAAAAATAAGCCGCAATTAAAGTTTCCAAAAAAAAAATTAATTCTACAGAATTGTTAGTTAGAAATATGAAAAATTCAAATTTTCAAAGATTTTAATCTGAAACCTTTTCAAAATTCAATTATTTCTAAAAATTTACGCTCTGATGCTTTATATTCAATTATAATCTAAAATTTTAACTGAAATCCATTTTTAAATCAATTTTTTTTAGAAAATTCTACTAGAATTCAATTATTTAAATACAAACAGAACAATTTTTGGAATAATTACATGTTTCATTTGTTTACAATTCAATTTTACAAAATTTCAATTATTTGTAAATTCTTCAATTAAATATAATATATTAGAAAAAAACTTGAAATAATTTTTTTTTAAAATCCGCAATAAAACTTTCTCAAAAAAAAAATTAATTCCACAGAATTGTTAGTAAAAAATATGAAAAATTCAAATTTTCAAAAATTTTAATCTGAAACATTTTCAAAATTCAATTATTTCTAAAAATTTACGTTCTAATGCTTTTAGAATTAAATTATAATCTAAATTTTTAACTGAAATTAATTTTTAAATCAATTTTTATTAGAAAATTCAACGAGAATTCAATTATTTAAATACAAAAATTAATAACTTATTGAATAATTGAATTTTTCTTAAAATTGAATTCTCAATTTTATCTATAAATTTTTAAATAACTGAATTCTTTTGATGAAGTTTAATAAAATTTTTAAGAATTTTTTTGAGGAATTCGATTAAAATTGCATTAAAAATAATTGAAATTCTGCAATGAGTTTCATTATTTATGAAAAGAATTGAATTCTTTAAAAGAATTTCATTATTTACGAAAATAATTGAATCCCTGTAAAAATTTTATTATTTATGAAAATAATTGAATGATTGGGAAGAAATTTATAAAAAAAAATTTGTAAATAATAAAATTCCTGTGAAATTTTTATTATTTTTTTGAAAATAATTAAAAGTTTGTGTTGAATTTTATTAATTTTTTTTTTAAATAATTGAATTCTTTTGGAAAATTTTATGAAAATAGTAGATATTTAAAATCATTGAATTAAGGAAAATTTTTGAAAATAATCGAATCTCGGAGAAGAATTTAATTATTTCTTAAGATAATTGAAATTTTGACGAGAATTTTTAAAAAATGTTTTGAACATAATTGAATTTTTGCGAAGAATTTGATTACTTTTGAAAATAATTGAATTTCTGCAATGATTTGTAATTTCTCTAAAATTATTCAAATTGATAATTTACAAATTTTACAGTTTACGAACTTTTCATCCTTTTTGAATCAAATTACGGACTTTGCGGACCTTTTTTTTAAAAAAACGGACTTCAAGCAAAGTTACGGACTTTTACGGGATTTACGGACCTAGTTCGAACCCTGTTAAAATCAAAATTAATTAATTCATTTAATTTCAACTACTTTTAATTTTATGATAATTTTTGTTACTTTTAATTTAATGAGTTTCTCTCAATTTTAATTTAATAATTTCTGTAAATTATTATTAAATTAATAGAGACAGAAATTATTAAATTGAAGTTGAATCGAAATTAACGAAAATTGTCGTTAATTTCTATTAACGTTTCTATTTATATTTTCGTTAATAGAAATTAACGAAAACTATCATAAAATTTAGTGACAAAAATTATTAAATTAAAAATTGAATAGAAATTAACGAAAATTATCATTAAATTTAAAATTGAATTATTTTTCCTCCTTCACACAAAAACTCACTTTCGAAATTAACAATTGAGTCAATTTGATCAATGTAGCCATTCATTCGCCCCTCGGTTATCATTTGACTGGCAATTTTTTCAGCCTTAGTCGGTGGGATTTCGAGTAGAGCGCCCAATTCCTCGAATGTAATGTTATTATAAAGTTTACTGGCCGACAATAAATTGTGTTCAATTACTGCCCGATCGAGAATCGTTGATCCAAGTCCATCTGTCGTGCAGGCCTTTTGATGTGGTTGCAAAAATTCCTCAAACTCTTGGAGTTCAGAGCGACGAATTATTCGATCCAAATACATTTTCTCGAGAATTGAATAAGCCGGTAAATTTTGACATCGTTCGTCTTTGAAAAGTGTTGCGAGCATACGACTTCTTTGCTGACCTGCAAAATTATTTTCGTGTTTTTTTTTATTTTATAATCTAAATTTAATTCAATTATAATAATTTCTGAATTTAACAATTTTTTGTGCTTTTTTATGTAGATTTTTATTTTTGTTAGAAAAAAATTTTGAAAAGTGAATTAAAATACCAGCGGAAGCAAGGACGGTGCAAATTAGAGCATTTTTCAATGCTGTCATCCTCTCATCTTCGTGGATAATTGATCGATAGGAAAGTTCATTGTATCGCTGTGCAGCTTCAATAAATTTTCTTCTATAATCTAAGACGCGAGCGTAACAAACTTTGTAATAAATTTGCAACTGTTCGTTCTTTGATTCGGCCTGAAAAATATTTATTTCAATTAATTACAATAAAATAGAATTGGAAATAAAATTAAATTTCTAAATTTTCATTTAGAAATTAAAATCTATATTCCGGTAAATTTATTCGCAGTTTGCTTTTTTGTTTCCTAACACTATTAATTATTATTCTTTTTAAATGTTTAGAAAAAAAAATATGTTTCAATTTAAATAAAAATCTTTAATCATTTTAATTAAAAATTTTGAAAGTAATTGAATTTTATGAAGAATTTCTTTCAAAATTTTTAAAATAATCGCGTTTGTTAATAATTGAAATTAAACATTTTGATTATTTAATCAATTTTAATCAATTAAAATTTTTAGAAAATAATTAAATTCTTCTGAGAAATTGATTAGAATTTTTTTAAAAAATTTTATTTATTCAAGGAATTTAATAAAAAAGATTGAAAATAATTGAATTCTTTCGAAGAATAAATACTAAAGGTTTTGAAAATAATTGAATTCTTTCAAAAAAATTTCTTTAATTTTTTTAATATATTTGATTTTGTTAATAATTGTAATTAATAATTTTACTATTAAATTTTCTTAAAAGAATTGACAGAAAACTCTTTTAAAATTTTTTTATTTCTTTTAAAATTCTTTTAAACAATGTTATTAGAGTTCTTGTAAATAATTAAATTATTTTGAAGAATTTCTTTGAATTTTTTGAAACTAATGTAGTTTTTTTAAAAATATTTTTAATAGAAAATTTTAAAAATAATTGAATTAAAGAAAGAATTGTTTTCAATATTTTAAAATAATCGTGTCTGACAATAATTATAATTAAAAATTTGCTTATTGAAATATATTAAAATTGTGTTAAAAATAATTGAAATTCTGAGAAGAAATTTATTTTACTATTTATAAAAAAAAACACAGAGAAACATAAAAATAATTTAATTGTTTCGAAGAATTTATTAAAATTTTAGAAAATAATTGAATTGTTTTTAAAAATTGTATTAAAAATTAGAAAAAAATAGATATTTTCGTGAAATTCTATTAAAATTGTGTTAAAACAAAATTTCTCGTGAGAAATATTATTATTTGTGAAAATAATTGAATTTTTGCGCAGAATTTTATTAAAATTTTTGCAAAGAATTTTATTAAAATTATTCATTTATTATTTTTTTAAAAAATTATTTCTTGATCAGTCTGAAAGCTTTTTAATGTAGAAAAGGCAAAGAAAAATCCAATTTAATTGAAATTGCAATGAAAAAATTGTTTCAAATTAAATTATCTCGAGAAACTTTAAATTCGGTCTTAATAATTGAAATCTTTCGTTACATTTTATTAAAATTGTATTAAAATAATTGAATTCATTCAAAGAAATTTATTATTAATGAAAATAATTGAAATAATTCTTACGAAAAATTTTACTATTTATAAAAAAAATTGAATTGTTTCGAAGAATGTTATTATTTATTAAAATAATTGAATTCCTTCGAAGAAATTTATTATTTATGAAAGTAATTGAATTCTTAGAAAGAATTTTACTATTTATAAAAGTAATTGAATCCTTTTAAAGAATGTTATTATTTATGAAAATAATTAAATGTTTGCGTAGAATTTTATTAAAATTTTTGAAAATAATTGAATTGGACCCTTTATGAAATTCAATTATTTATCAATTATTAAATTAAAATACTTTGAAAATTCGATTTGTCAAAAAGTTTTTAATGAAATTCTTTAACAAATTTAATTGTTTTCAGTTGAATTTCACAAAATTTCCCGGTTAGTAGACACCCTGAATTATTATTAATTAATTATTAATAGTAAAATTTAGAAAAAGAACCTGAAGAAGAGATGCTCTGTTAATAAAGGCCTCGGCTTGAACGGGATCATCGTCTTCTAAATAAAGTCGAGCAATTTTGAGGTACGTTTCGAGTTTATAATCTACAGTATATTGTCTGAAAATAAAAGGAAAATTTCCATTTTAAATTCGTCTAAAAAAAGAAAATAAGATTTTAAGAAATAAAAAATAAATTTACTTTTGACCAGTTTCTAAAGGAATGCCAACGAGAACATTAGCAGCTTCTCGCCAATTTTGGTTGCGTTCATAAATATCGGCCAAATGTTGTCTTATACTAGCTACTTGTTCTTCAAAAGAAATCACTCGCGGTTGAACCTAAAAAAACCAAAAACATTTTATTCTATATATATTCATTTTCATAATAATAATAATAATAATATTTTTCTAACCTACCTTATCTAAAGTATAATGTGAAACTGCTTTTGAAATCTCATCAGGTAGATTTAAAAGTCGACTACTAACGTCCGTAAGAACTTGTCTTGAAATAACCAAACTGACATTTTCGTTTACAACTGAAAATTTATCAAAAAATTAGTTATTTATAATTTCAACAATAAATTAAGAGTGAAAAGATATTGGAATTTAAAATGACAAATAACTTACTTGCTTCGATAAAAACTTTTAAAGTCTCAGCGAGTTCTTCACCGGATGATAATATTATTGCATCTAATATTGCTCGATATCTAAAATAATAATTAAGAAAAATAAAGAAAACAATATATTAAAATGTAAACATGAAAAACTTACTTGTCAGCCTGATCTTTGTGTGAACCTCCAGAATGAGCTAAATTTGCTAATTGTTGACGTACAGAGGCTACGGTGACAACCATTTTTTTCCGAATTTTATTAATGATAAACAATCATAAACTCGCATAAAACAGCTTTTCTTTTTCGGGTGCAAATAACCCCAGAGAAAAAATTCTTATTCAATGGCAAACGCACGTTTTTACAATCAATGTATTTTACCGCAATTTCTTCTTTACAATCACGCATGCATTTCGATTAAATAGATATCTTTTTTCACTATTCAAATACAAAATTAGTTATCACACTAATAACCACATAAAATAATATAGTAAATCGAGTAATAATTCAGTAAATTAATAAAGATCATGAAGAAGCTTGAATGTCCTCCATACTTGTATTATAGATATAGAAACTAATGGGGAAAAAAGTTGGCCTAATGTTGACTGGTGAGGTTAGGGTTCTAAAATAAGCCACGAGACGGCGCTGATTGTATTTTAACCATTTTAACTGATTGGATAAATAAATAAATAATAAAGTGAGAATGATTAAACGAAACTACAACCATGGCTGACGTAGCTGCAAAAAGGGAAGCAAGAAGGCGAAAAATATTAGAAAATTCACAAAATCGTTTGGAAAAAATAACAGGACGTGTTTGCGACAGCCCTTTAGGTAAAAAGAAATATTCATTTTGTATTATAATTCGTCAAAGTTTGTTCTCGAAACATTTCTAACCTTAAAATTTATATTTTTTATTCAAAATGCAATTCTCCAATAAATTTCATAAATTTCGAGAAAAGTACAAAACAAGTATAAACCACAAAATTTTAATTCATTAAGCGTTGATTTTCTTAGCACCTAATCAATATTTTGATAATGACTAAATTTTTTTCAGAGGTTAGAAAGTTTATTTATTTTTAAATTATAATTGAGAGATAATGATCTTTCGTTCTTTTTCCAGAAAGAAATGGCTTGTCTGAAAACAGAAAAGGATTATTTGATTTCCTTGCTGACGGTAAAGTGACAATTAATTATCATGAAATTTAATTCAAAAGATTTGAAAGAAAATTTCGAGAGTGAAAACTTTTGATTTTCTGCAGGAACAACACAAGATGATGGTGGTTTAGATAATCGATTATATCCTCGTGTTCAGGGAGATTTTGAAAACAGTGACAATCCACGTGATTCTCCGCCACTATCTGAAAATTCACTAATTTATAAATTGCTCTTCGGCAAATTGTCATATCCACTACTTGCATTAATTGTAAATATTCTCTTCGTTCTAAAGTTGGAAGACTATTTTGGCCAGGTAATCTAATTTTTGAATTTTTAATTAAGTTTTTCAGGGTTGCCTCAAAAATTTAATTTTTTCCTGATTTCCAAACAAAATTTTCACTTTTTCCCTGACCCTAAAGAATATTCTGATTTAATCTAATTCAATAACTTTATAATAATCAGGTGTCTACTAACTGGGAAATAGTCGGGAATTTAATTTGATCGGGAATAAGCCAGGAATTTTATACCAAACCGAGAATTTTTTCACCAAATTAAAAAGAGTTTTATTAATTTAATTTGTTTTTAAAAAATCGTTTTCTATTTCAATTTTTATAGATATTTATTTTCAAAAGTAATAAAATTCTTCGCAGAAATTCAATTATGTTTAAAAATTTTTTTAAATTCTCAAAATTTCAAATATTTTTATAAATAATTAAATTGTTATTCACAATTCAATTATTTTCAAAAATTTTAATAAAATTCTAGGCAAACATTTAATTATTTTCATAAATAATAAAATTCTTTGGAACGATTCAATTACTTTTATAAATAGTAAAATTCTTTGCAGAAATTCAATTAGTATACATTTTAATAAAATTAAATAAATCAAATTTTCAATTATAATTATGAACAGACAAGATTTTTTTTAAAAATTGAAAAAATTCTTTGTTTAATTCAATTATTTTCCAAATTTTTAATTGAAATCGGGAAAAATCAGGAAAAAGCCGGGAATTTTGTTGAACGAAAATATTAGACACCCTGAATAATTAAAAGTGACCGAATGATAAAATCATTTTTACAAAATTCATATATTTCTAAAAATTGCAATTATTTTGCAACTTCTCTAAAATTCAATTATTATCTAAAACTTAACTAAAATTAATTCTTAAATCAATTTTTATTAAAAAATTCTACGAGAATTGAAATATTTATATACAAACATTGATAATTTATTGAATAATTGAATGTTTCTTAAAATTGAATTCTCATAAATTTTTATCAACAAATTTTTAAAAAATTAAATTTTTTTTTTAACAAGTTTTAATCAACAACTATAATAAAATTCATTGCAAAATTTCAATTATTTTCTAAAATTTTTCTTAATTTAATAATTTGTATATCTATTATTTATGAATAAAATTTATTAAAAGAATTCAATTACTTATTTAAAAACAATTTTGACAAAGTTCTACACGAATATTCAATTATTTTCTAAAATAATGAAAATTTCACAGGAATTCAATTATTCAAGCAATATGAAAATTTTTTTAAATAATTGAATTCTAGCAGGAAATTTTATTAAAATTGCAATTAAAAATAATTGAATTCTGCTAAGAATTTTACAACTTAAGAAAATAATTCAATTCTGGCGACGAATTTCAGTAAAAATTTTATAATTAAATTCTTTCAAATGAATTTCATTTTCACCAATAATAATAGTTTTTTTTTAATTTTTAAATATAATTCAATTCCAACAAGAGATTTATTAAAAATAATTCAATTTTTTCAAAAAATTTTATTATTTATAAAAATAATTTTATTCTACTAAATAATATTTTATAAAAATTGTTTAGATTTATTGAATACTTTCAATAAATTTTATTGAACTTTTTACAAATAATTGAAATAATTAATTAAAAGCTTGAATTAAAATTGAAAAACTTTATGCAAATTCTATTTTTAATAATTGAATTACTGTGAAATTTTCATTATTTTAGAAAATAATTGAATATTCGTAGAAAATTTTGTCAAATTTGTTTTTGAACAATTGAACTCTTTTTGGGAAATTTTATTAAAATAGAATATATTGAAAATCATTAAATTAAGAAAAATTTATGAAAATAATTGAAATTTTGCCATGAATTATATTAAAATTTTTGCAAATAATTGAATTTTGCAGTGAATTTTATTAAAACTCCTGAAAATAATTGAAAATTTTCTCGAAGAATTTTATTAATTTTGAAAATGATTGAACTCTTGTAATGAATATTGTTATTTATGAAAACAATTGAATTTTATAAAAATTCCTGAATATAATTGAATTGTTGACGAGAATTTTTAAAAAAATTTTTGAAAATAATTGAACTTCTGGAAAGAGTTTTAATATATTTATCAAGATAGTTGAATTCTTTCAAAAAAATGAGTTAAAATTTAAAAAATTTGAAACTAATTTCAACAGAATTAAAATTAAAGTTTTTCAAAAAAATACTTGATTAAATGATTTATAAGTAATAACTTTATGGCAGTTCTTCAATAGAATTAAGTTATTTAAAAAAAATCATTGTCAGAAATAGAAAAAATTGAAGGTTTTTTTTTTAGAATTCGAGGTAATTTCCTAGTTAATGAGGCAAACAAAAAGACAAAAATTCAGAATTTTCTTATAAATTCTAAACATTTAATTTTTTCCAGTACATTTAATAAAAATCCCTGACTTTTCCCTGAATTCCCTGATTTTCCTGACATGTGGCAACCCTGTTTTTGTTTTTCAGTTTTTTTAAGTTTTCCATTTTTCTAATTAATTATTTTTTGTATTTTCCGAAAAGAAAAACTATTTTCAGTGCAAAATTTAAGAGAACCAATTTTTTTCAGACTATTTATGTGCCGTATTTTGCGTTGATTGTGGTTCACATTATTTATCATCAAAGATGGTCGAAATTGCAGGGATCAAACATGTTGGTTGCCGTTTTATTACTATGCAACATGAATCCAAAAGTAATCAATAGACTAATTAAAATTATAACAATATTGAAGTTGATTTTCCAAGGACTCAGTTTGTATGTACTTAGTTATTCCATTATGCGATGGATTATTTCATTTGTTTGGAATGAATTCGACGATCCTTCATTTGAGAATTTAAATCTTCCGGATATGAATTAAAATGTTTGGTTAAATGAAATTTTTGTGGTTTTTTTTACAAATTCAAAAAAATATTCTTTCATTGGTACTTTCAAATAAAAAGAAAAATACATTTTTATGGTATGACTTTTTCTATTGCGATCAACAATATTATAATATGAATGTACAAAAAAAAAAACCCTGAGTATAAAAATCTTTTTTTTTTTTAAATTTTAATTTCTTTCAATTCGTTCATTATTATTTCACTCGTTCACATTGTTTGTGTAAATAAAGTAACTAGCACGCAAATTTAAAAGTAATTTGTCGAGAACAGAGTTAACAGAGTTTTATGATTTTGCCTTCTCCTGGAATTGTTTATGCAATTTTCGAAGTTTCTTTGTACCGAGTAAATCAAAATGTCCTGCATCGGCCATTTTTTGTTCCCAATCTTTTAAATTAATATTATATTCAATCATATTCTTCTGATACTGTTCTTTATATTTGTTCTTCACGCTCAGATTTTCAGTTTTCCAACTCGAGGCTATCGAAGTAATTCTTTCCTAAAAAAAAGGAAAAACAAAAAAATAAACAAAAGAACAAATAATATAAAATTATGTATATAATGAATTATGATTTAAAATTACCTTAAAACTTATAGAATTATCGAAAGTTTCATATTTGTCACGACAATACATATTATAAGGGTTTGCTGGTCGCTTTGGTTTATCCATTTCTTTTCGTTTCTGCAAAAAGGAAAATCAAGTTTTTCAAATAAGTGTTTAAAAAATCAAATTTTTATAAGGTGAACGAGTTTACCAACTTTATTCAATGTTGAAGCAATTTTTTTCAATTCAATCTTCTTCTTTGTCTTCTCCATTGTTTCAAGTTGTTCAGGAGTTAAAGATGTTTTATAAATTGAATAAGTCTCTTTATATTTATCAAAATCATTTCGTGATTCCAGTTTTAAATTTTCTTTTTTCTCTTCAGGATATTCAGCCCATTTATCACCTAATATACGCAAAACTTTTGCCATTACAAGTCCTGGATTATCTTTTCGTATTTGTGGTAATTCGATTTCTTTGAATTTAAAAAAAGCTGTTTTTGGTTTCTTGGGTGGTTCGGGAATTCCATACTTGGTATATTGAGTTCTCTTTAAAGTGGCAATTTGCTGATGAGAAGGAATACTAGTTCTGAAAATAATATAGAAATTTATTATCAACAAAAATATTATTCTTTGAAATACAAATATAACCCCAAACACAGACTTCACACTCGATAATTAATTTTAAAAAAGTAGAAAAAAGTAGCTTTCAAACAAAAAAAAAGTAGCTATCTAAAAATTAAACTTGACGACCAAAAAAAAACTCGTTTTAGAAACTTCACAAAACTGAAAAAAATTCCATTCTACATTTTATTTTCCACACTTTTTCCTAATTTTCATAAAAAATATTTACTTCTTTCTTATCAGTTCTGCTAATAAATAGAATTCCTGCAACGAATTCTATTATTCATGAAAGAATTGAAATATTTATAAAAATAATTTAATTCTTGACAAGAATTTTATAAAAATTGTTAAATTATTGATTTCTTTCGACTAATTTTATGCAAATTCTAATTTAAATAATTGAATTCCTGAGAAATTTTTATTATTCATAAAAAGAATTGAATTCTTAAAAAGATTTTTCCAAAATTTTTTTTTAAATAATTGAATTTCCAAGAATTGAATTATTGTGATGAATATTGATATTTATGAAAATAATTGAATTATTGTGATGAATATTTATATTTATGAAAATAATTGAATTTTGCAAAGAATTTCATTAAAATGCATTAAAATAATTGAATTTTCGGGAATAATTTTGTTATTTATCGAAATAATTAAATTCTTTCGCAGAAATATTTATGTAAGTATGTAATTGAATTTTTGGGAAGAATTTTATTAAAATTTAAAAGAATAATTTAATTATTTTAAAAAAATTTAAATAAAATTGTATTTAAAATAATTGATTTCTTTCGAACAATTTTGTTAAAATATTTAAAAATAATTGAATTCCTGTGAAAAATTCTAATATTTTTGTAAATAATTGAATTTTTCCAAAGAATTTAAAAAAAACATTTTTTTAAATAATTGATTTTTCCGAGGAATTGAAATTTATTAAAATAATTGAATTATTACAAAAAAATTTGATTTAAATGTTTTAAAAGAATTGAATTTCTTGAAAAATTTTGTTATTTTTGAAAATAATTAAATTCTTGCAAACGATTTTATTAGAATTTTTAAAAATAATTGAATTTAAAAAAATGTATTACTTTTAAAAATAAATGAATTCTTATGATGAAAATTGTTATTTAAGAAAATAATTGAATTTTCGGGAATAATTTTGTTACTTATCGAAATAATTGAATTCTTTCGCAGAATTATTTATGTAAATAATTGAATTCTTGGGAAGAATTTTATTAAAATCTAAAAGAATAATTGAATTTTTTAAAAAAAAAATTTTAATTAAATAGTATTTAAAATAATTGATTTCTTTCGAATAATTTTGTTAAAATATTTGAAAATAATTCAATTCCTCTGAAAAAATTCTAATATTTTTGTAAATAATTGAATTCTTTCAAAGAATTTAAAAAAAAACATTTTTTTAAATAATGCAATTCTTCCAAAGAATTTTAAAAAAAAACATTTTTTTAAATAATTGATTTTTCCGAGGAATTGAAATTAAATTTTTTGATCAATTCCTGTAAATTGTATTCAAAATAATTGAATTCCTGCAATGAATTTTATTTTTTATCAAAATAATTCAACAGTTGCTAATAATTTTATTAAAATTTTTTAAAAATAATTGAATCCCTGAGAAGAAGTTTATTATTTATGAATATAATTGAATTATTGCGAAAAATTTTATTATTTTCGAAAATAATTAAATTCTTTATAAGAATTTTATAAACATTGTTTTAAATAATTGAATTTTGGATGAATTTTACGAATTTTCTCAATTTTTAAATAATTTTATTTTGTTGTGAAATTTTATGAAAATACTAAATATTGTAAATAATTGAATTTCGAATATTTTTTGAAAATAATAGAATCGTTTTAAAGAATTTGATTTTAATTTATGAAAGTAGTTTTTTGATTTCTAGTATTAGTGAATTTAAAGTAAATTCTAAAAAAACAGAAATAGTAGCTTTTAGTGGCTGAAATCTAAAAAAAGTATCCAAATAGTAGCATAACATAAAAAAGTAGTAAATAGTAGGTTTTAGTAGATGAGTGTGAAGCCTGCAAACATAACCTCTCTTCGTTTAGAACAAAACAATGGATAGTTTAATAAATTCAAGAAAGTAATTTCCATAGTTTAATAGTTGATTTGTTCGTAAATAGATTTTCCAGTTTGTTTAAAATTGAGGTATAATAGATAAATTGTTTTTATAAAGATAAATGCACGTGCAAATACTTACCTTGTTTGTAGAAAAACTGGATTACTAATATAATTCGTAAGACGGTTGAAGAAAGTTTTACAAGCCGTCATCATGTAATCAAGCGTTATGGCCTTTTTCATAAGATACACTTAATATTTTTCTTATTTTTTAATATCAAATTTTCGAAAATGCAGAAAATTTAAGTCATTCTCATGCAGAAACCGTTTTGCGTCTTCTGCTATACCCGCTATACTAATTCCCTATTTTGATTGGATGTCAATTTTAGGACAAATATCCATTACCAACATAAATTATTTTGTTACACAAATATTTAATTTCTTACAAGAATTATTAAAATTACAAAAAAGTAAAAAAAATAATTTTCTAAATAATTATAAATTCTAAATTATTACCCAATTTAATTTTTTTTTGGCATAAATTTTAAATTACCCGGTAACAATGACCAATCAGCTGTCTACGATCACTTTGCGATTTATCGACACGTATGTGCGTAAAGTGATTAACTTCAGGTTACTGCCCATAACCTCAAAAAAATAGTTGCAAGCATTTCTAAAGGCAGTGAAAGTGAAACCAGTTCTTCTAAATTATTAGAACAAATTTAATTATTTTATTTATTGTGAATTAATTTTTAGAAATTTGTTTTTATCTTTTAAAGAAAGTAGAATATTTAAGTGCATAATTATTTTTCTATTATCTATAATTTTAAAATGACTCCAACGGAAACGTCTTCTAGTAGCACGGCAACAAAATTATTTTCCCGAGAGGAGGTTGCTAAATACAATGATAGCAAGGAAACTTGGTTAATTATTCACAATAACGTGTACAACGTGACCGCATTTCTTAATGAGGTAAATTGACATTCAATTCTATTTATTTAATTTTTATTATAAATTTCCCACTTAATTTTGTCCCATTAACAAAGTAGTTTTTCCAATAGAATTTTCTTAATTTTCTTTCTATTTTATTTTGTGTGTACCTATTAATTTTTTAAATTGAAATTCTATTTTCTATTTCTTATATTTTAATGTGTATCTTATTTACTGTTAAATTTATTTTAGAACATTTAATTTAGGGAAATTTTTAATAATTTTTTTTTTGGAATTTTCATTATAAATGGAATACAAGTTTATTGTTAACATTTGATAAGATGCTTAGGTTTGTAATTCTTCAAATGACCTTTGTACGGTTAAAATTTGCAGTAATCAAAAGCGAGTAAACTTAAATATTATGTTGACTTTATACGTGAAATTCACTGAGATTTTATCTAAATAAGTTCAATGTGCACATTTTGTGCCACTTTTCTTGTAAATTGCACACTCATTAAGAGGTCATTAATTAATAACATAATGAGGAAAATAAAAAAAAATTATCACTTTATTAGCATAGTAATAAAGATAACAATATCTTTATTTTCACTGAAGGAAAATAGTTGTCTATATTTTTTTCTACGTAATTCACAATACAAAAGGAAAAACTAAATGCTTTTTTTTACAAAATTTACTTATTTTTTTAAATTAAAAACCAGTTTTATATTCTATAAGTAATAACTGAAACAATAATTAATTAATTTTTTTATTGTTTAAAGTATGTAATTTAGTAAATTTTGCAAAAATAATAATTAATTTTCTAGCATCCTGGCGGAGAAGAAGTTCTTTTAGAATTAGCAGGACGCGATGCAACTGAAAGTTTCGAAGATGTTGGACATTCGAGTGATGCTAGACAAATGATGGAACCGTATAAAATTGGAGAAATTATAGACGTAATTATAATAAATTATAGTTTATTTAATTTATTTTATTTTTAATTTAATTATTTTATTTATTAACTCTGAAATTCTCAGCGCAAGAATTCAATTATTTTGGAATTTTTTTTTTCAAAGTTCTTCACAGAAATTCAAATATTTTCATAAATAATAAAATTCTCCACGCAGAAATTCAATGATTTTTAAAAATTTTAATAAAACATTTTTCACAAGAATTCAATTATTTCCACAAATAATGAAATTCTTTCCTGAAATTTAATTATTTTCAAAAAATGGTTTAATTCTTAGACAAAGTTTTCTATAATTTTTAAGTAATTTAACAAACTTCATGCCAAAAATTCAATTATTTTCAAAAATATACAAAAATTCTCAGCAAGAATTCAATTATTTTCATGAAAAATAAAATTTTCGACATAAATTCAATTATTTTTATAAATCATTCAATTCTTAGAAAAAAAATCAATTATTTTTAAGTAATTTAACAAAATTCTTCAAAAAAATTCAATTATTTTCGTAAATAATAACATTCTTTGAAAGAATTTAATTATTTCCATACATAAAAAAATTCTCCACAAAAATTCAATTATTTTAAAAAAAAATACTGAAGTTCTTAGCAAGAATTCAATTATTTTCATGAAAAATAAAATTTTCCACATAAATTCAATTATTTTTATAAATCATTTAATTCTTAGAAAAAGTTAAATTATTTTTAAGTAATTTAACAAAATTTTTCACAAAAATTCAATTATTTTCGAAAATAATAACATTCTTTGGAAGAATTTAATTATTGGCATACATAATAAAATTCTCCATAGAAATTCAATTATTTTCACAAATATACTGAAATTGTCATCAAGAATTCAATTATTTTCATGAAAAATAAAATTTTCCACATAAATTCAATTATTTTCATGAAAAATATAATTTTCCACATAAATTCAATTATTTTCATAAATCATTTAATTTTTACAAAAAATTAAATTATTTTTAAGCTATTTAACAAAATTCTTCACAAAAATTCAATTATTATTGTCATAAATAATAAAATTCAAAAAAAATTTTAAAAAAATTTAATAAAATTATTCGAAATAATTCAATTATTTTCCTAAAAAATTAATAAAGTTTGAACAATTTGATTTAAAAGTTAAAAAATGAAGAACAATTTAATTTTGGAAGAATTAGATTTTTTTTTAAATAGTTAAATTTCAAAATGTTTTTTAATTGGAATTATTAAAAAATTTAACTCTTATGGAAAAATAAATAAGTATTCAAATTTTTATTTAACAAAAATTATTCAATTTTTAAATAATTTAATTTAGAGTTTATGAAAAAAATTCATCTTATGGAAAATTGTAATTAAAATTTTTCTCGAGATATATTTGAATTCCCGTAAATAATTTAAAAAGTCTGAATTAAATATTCAATTAATTGGTAATTTTGTTAAATGTAATTGAAATAAATTTTTTATTTTAAACAATTTTATTTTATTACTTTTAAAAATTATTTTTAAATACAATCGTATTTCTGAAGAATTCTACCTAAAAATTTGGAAAATAATTGAATTTAATTATTTTATAGAAAAACTTAAAATTGAAATTATTAGCAGTATACGAAAAAAGGTAAAAAAAATTTTTTTTATGAAAGTCAGGAGAAAGTCAGGAAACTTTTAAATCAAATTTTTGTGAATCAATTTTAAATTTTCGATAGCTACCTACTTTTTACTACTTTTTTAAAAGTAATTATTGAGTGCGAAACCTGTAATTTAATTTAATTTAATTAGTTATTTTATTACGTACATTTTTATTCTCTTTTTCCCATTTTTTTAATATTCTAAAATTTTGAAAAATTTTAGGAAGAGAAAATTGACGAGGCTAACAAGGGTGGCAAAGATTGGTCGAGTGAAAATACAGGTGAAGAGGATTCCAGGTACGTTGATGGCAATAATACGAAAATATTAATATTATCGTATTTAATAAAATTGCACATTTTTTTATCATTTAACTGTATTTTTGCACCACTTTTCTTGAATTAACTGAAAACGTCTACATAATCCTAATTTCTACTTAAAAAAAATTCAAAAACTAATTCTAATTATTCTATAATTGATTTAATAAAATTAAATTTTTATTACGTGTTTAATATATGTATTTCTCTTATTATCTTAATAAACCATTTTTTAATAATAATAAGAATCATAATTAATTAATTGAAATTGGTTTCAAAATTTGCATGATTCTTGCATTATATTTAGTTTCATTATCATTTTCTTTAAGGACTTATGGTCTTTTTTCAATTTTCTTTTCACATTTCTCAAGTCTTTTACTTATTATTACATTTATTATTCCATAATAAAAATTTTTTAATTGAGGATTTCATTAATTTGTATAATCCAGGCATAATTTTTTTTTTTAATGAATATACTGGTTAAAAATATAAATTATTTTTTATTTTCGATTTTATTGAAATTCATTATTTTTATTATTTCTCAATTATTAGTTTTTTCAAATAACTTTTGTAGGTAACTTTTATTTTCTTTACTTATTTATTTATTTAATTAATTATTTATTTAATTAATTTTATTTATTTGTTTATTTATTTATTCAATTAATTATTTATTTACTTATTTGTTTATTTAATTAATTATTTATTTACTTATTTATTTAAAGTTTTAATATTAATTATTTTTTTATTTTTGCCTTTTGAGAAAATAGTGAAAATATCTCTTCCAATAATAATAATAATAATAATAATAATAATAATAATAATAATAATAATAATAATAATAATAATGAAATCCTTTGGAAAAAATTGAAGGATTTTTGTAGAGTGCGTTTTTCAGTTATATTCAAATTATTTTGGTGTGATGTATAAATAATAGCTGCTGCAAGATGATGTGATGATTGGCAATTATAGTGGTTCTTGGAGATCCTGGCTGATTCCAATATTTCTCGGAGTCTTAGCAACAGTTGTCTACCGCTACTTCATCAGTTCACAATAAAAGAGGAGACATTCCGCGAGATGGATTTTAATTCTTCTTATTTTCCTCTCTCTCCCTCTCTCATTTTTTTTAGAAAACATTTACCTTACGATGATTGTTATTACTTTATATATAATGTTTTTTTTAAATAAGCGACTAATACAAAAAGAAACAAAAAAAAGAAAATGGTGTGCAAGATAATAAACATTTGAGGACGAGGGGATCGTTTTTATCCAGAGGCCTAGCATTTACACAAAAAAAAAAAAATAAAAAACAAAATATATTTAAAAGAAAAAGGAAGAAAAACAGACTATCAGTATATGTTACACAAATAAATATTATTATTATATAATATGTAATTATAATATTGCAGTTGCAATGCATCCAGAAATAAATCAATTTACTTCAATTTCGAATAGTTTTATTCTAATTTAGAACTTTTAATATTTAATTTATTACTATTTTGATTATTAATAATTTTAATTATTTTCTAATTATTATTATTATTTATTTTAAAATAAATACTTTTTTCTTTATTTTTTGGGGAAATTTTCATCACTTTAAATTCGCTAATAGTTGAAATAAAAAAAGGAAATTCTAAAAATTGGAAAAAATTCTTCTCAAAAATTCAATTATTTTCATAAATAATAAAATTTATTATTCTCAGAAATTCAATTATTTTTAAAAAAATTGATAAATTCTTAAATTCCGTCTTTAATTCTTCATTATTATTCAATTATTTTCCCAAATAATAAAATTTTTTACGAGAATTCAATTATTTAAAAAAAATTAAATAAAATTCTTCTCAGAAATTGAATTATTATTTTAAAAAAAGTGAGAAATTCTTCATAAGAATTAAATTTTGAGAAACATTCAATTATTCGATATATTATTTATTTTTGTATTATAAAATTTTAACTGTTGTAAAACTGTAATAACATTTAAATTTTTACTTTAAAAAATTATTAATTTATTTTATTAATTCCTGTAAACAATTTAAATTAATTTTTAATAAATAATTTTATTTGTATACTTTTAAAAATTACTTTTAAATACAATTGTATTTATTAGGATAAAAATTTAGAAAATAATTGAATTTTTCAAAAATGTAATTAATTATTTTCTAATTATTAAATTATTATTATTCAATTTATTATTATATTTTTATTATTAATTTTAATTATTTTCTTATTATTATTATTCAATTTATTATTATTATTAATTATAATTATTTTTTTAATTATTATTATTATTTATTTAGTTATGAATTTAAATTTTATTCTATGTATTTAAATTCTACTTATTCTTGTGAAAATTCAATTTTTTCAAAAAGAAAGTTTGAATTTATTTTAAATTTACGCGGGAGTAATGGCGACTTCCGGCACAGAGAGGAATTCTTCCGCGTGGGGGCGCAACGTGCAAGGACGCCATATTTGTTTTTCAAGGAAACATTCAAACAAGTTGAAACGTGAAAAAGTATTGCTGGTCTTGTTCAAAGTTCTCTCCGATTTTGCACTCTTCTTTTGTTCGATTTTTGTTTAAATATATTTTTTACAATCGGAAAACTGAAATACAATTGAACAATCATGTCAACATCAGAAGAATTGGGACCAAAAGAATGGCTTCGCTGTAATAATTGTTACATTTTGATGTTAGAATCGAAAGTTCCATTCTTCCTCTCATTTTGCAGTCACATTTTTTGTACTAAATGTGTTAAAATAGGTGAGAAATTAATCATTTATTTCATGTTTTTTGTTAAAATAAAAATAGTGAATTTGTTTATTACGTTGTTTTTATCTTAAGTTTCGAAAATTGAGTGTCAACGAGAATTGATGTTAATTATTGTAATTATTGTTTACTCGTTATTTATTGTTATCATTAACATAATTGTTTTTTTACTTATTGTTTATTTTTAAGCTAAGAAAAAATGTCCACAATGTCAGACGAAAAATCTTCGCATAATGCCATTAGTGGAACCCCTGAGTCCTGAAGTGAAACACTGCTTTGAACCGATTGAAAATATCAGTGAAAAATTTTTACAAGCGATTAATTTCCAAAATCAGCAAATGGACATAAACAAAAAACGCTTTTCAACTGTTGTAAGTTTATTACTATTTATTTTTATCGAAAATTTTACTTTCTTCGTCTCCTATTGTCTCTTATTTTTTTAATATTTGTGACGCGCTAAAAAGCGCAGGCGATTTATAGGTTATGTTTGTGTTAGATTTATTTTCGATTGAAAGTTTTGGTTTCATTATTTAAATTTAAAGACAATTTTAATTAAATACTTCTGATGAATAACGAAGACTTGAAAATTATTTTCAAGAATTTTAATATAAATTCAATTATTTTAGACAATTTTGATGACATTCTTTTAAAGAAAGCATCATTTTCAAAATACTTAATAAAATCTCTTCAAAAAATTCAATTATTTTAAAAAATTCAAATAAAATTCTTCGAAGCAAATCAATTATTTTTATGAATTGTATAATCCTCCGCAAGAATTCAATTATTTTCATAAATAAGAAAATTTTTCGCAAAGAATTAAAATATTAACAAAAACAATAAAATTCTTCAGAGGAATTCAATTATTTTCAAGGGTTTTTAGTAAAAGTTCAATCATTTTTAACAATTCTGGTAAAATATTCTTCGAAACAATTCAATTATTTTTAAAAATTTGTAAAAATTTTTACAAGAATTCAATTATTTATGTAAATAATAAAATTCCTCTGAGAAATTCAATTATTTTCAATACAATTTTAATAAAATTTCTAGGAAAGAATTAAATTATATTCAATATAATTTTAATAAAATTTCTCTAACAGGTTCAATTACTTTTAAAAATTGTAATAAAATTTTTCTAAACAATTCAATTGTTCTCAAAAGTTTTTAATCAAATTCTTCGTAAATTTCAATTTTTTTCAAAATTTTCCATTGCAATTATTTAAAAAAAAATTATATTATTTTTACGAAATTAAAAAAAAAATGTAATTATTTACAAAAACTAATAAAATTGTTTAAAAGAATTTAATTTTCCCTGGAATTCAATTAAAATTGTATTTAAAATAATTCTTGAATTGAACTTCATTCAAATTTTTTTAAATAATTGAACTCTTGTGAAAAATTTAATTATTTTTTATAATAATTGAATTTACTCGGAGCATTTTAACAAGATTTTTAAAAATAATTGAAATTTTCGAAGAAATCAATTAAAATTGTATTGAAAATAAGAAAGAATTTTATTATTTAAATATAAAAATAATTTAATTTTTTACGAAGATTTTTGTTATTTATAAATTGACTTTTTTGCAAAGAATTTTATTACAATTATTAAAAATAATTTAATTCTTGATAAAGATCAATTACTTTCAAAATTTTCAGTCAAAATTATTTTTAAAAAACTCCACTATTTTCAAGAATATTGAGATAAATTCTTAAAAACAAATTCAATTATTTTTAAGAATTTGAATAAAAATCTTGCCAAGATTAGATTATTTTCAATACAATTTTAATTACATTTTCTCGAAACAATTCAAATATTTGAAAAAAATGTTGATAAACTTCTTAAATTGAATTTAATTGTTTTCAAACTTTTTGATAAATTCTTTATTTATTTTACTAATTTATTTATTATTTTTAATATTTGATTTATTATTTTCCGCCTTTGGAATTTTTTTTTCATCTGCAAATTTTTTGAATATAATTTTTTAAAACGAATTTGTTTTCTAAAAAAATATTCTCTTATAGGAAAAAAAGTACAGTTACATAAAAGGGGAGTATCAACGTATAAACAATGCCTTCAAAACTTCGAAAAATCGAATGCAAGAAATGGAAAGTGAATTAAAATTGCTGCGAAAGAAAATTTCTGATCTTGAAGAGTCTCCGAGAAATATGAGATATACTCAAAATCCACAATCTTTCATGGAAAGCGCACATTCACATTCAAATCGGTGAGAAATTATCTAAATATAAGTAAATTACAAATGCAATGAAATTGATAAAAAAAAGAATTTTATGCTAATTGTAATATTAATTTCAGTGATAAAATGAAAAAAAATATCTTTTATTTTTTCAGTTCTTCGAGTCATAGTGGCAGTGACAATCAGCCGCTTCCAAAGAGGAGGTCATTTCATAGTTCCTTGTTGACACCGATAAAACTCGAACAATTGAATTTAAATTCCGAATTTCGCTCTCCATTAACGACAAGAGTTCCTCGATCTGTTGGTGGTTCGTCAAAAAATTCCTGTAACTCTTTGAGAACTCCGTTCACAATTGCTTCATCATGTCTCGACAGATAAGTCGCTTTTAGATTTTTTTCTTCACTTTAGAATTTTATTCGAAAATTCTTGCTTTTTGTTTTTGTTGAAAATTATTTTGTTTTAGTTCTTTTTAAGTTGACGTTAGATTCTAGAATTTTTTTTTCTTTTGTTTAGTAATTTTGTTTGAAAATTCTTGTATTTGTTAAAGATTATTTTTGTTTTAGTTCCTTTTTAAGTTGCCGTTAAATTCTAGAATTTTTCTTTTCTTTTTTAGAATTCGAAAATTCTTACTTTTGTTTTTGTTAAAGATTATTTTGTTTTAGTTTCTTTTAAGTCGATGATTTTTTTTTCTTTTCTAGAATTTTATTTGAAATCATAAATCCGAATTTTGTTTTTGTTGCGAAAATTATTTTGTTTTAGTTCGGAAGTCGCGGATCGAATTTTATTTCAAATTAAAATAGATTCCTAATTTTGTTTTCATTAAATAATTTTTTGTTCAGTTCCTTTTTATTTGTTTAAAATTAATTGTTGAATTGTAACTCGTTAATTCATTTTCTTGCTGGCAATCTTTACGTTTATTCAATGTATTAATTAATATTATTAATAAGTAAATTGATCGAGAATTTGATTTTCTTTTTTTGTTAATTGAGATGTAAAAATGTTGTTTCAATTAAAAATAATAATTCTATAACAAATATCGTTTGACTGATCTAAATTATTATACAAATTATTCTCCTTTTTATTTATGATAAATACTAGAAAATTGTTAATTGTTAAAAACATAAAGAAATTGATTACTCCGAGTCTTCGATTTCTTTATGTTTTATAATAATTAACGAGAATCAAGTGTTAAAATCATTATTTTATATTATAAGAATATTATTACTGTAACTTCTTCAAAATTATTTTCATATTCTATTATTATCTTAAATTTAAACTAAAATTCATTTTCAAATCAATTTTTATTAGAAAATTCTACGAGAATTCAATTATTTAAATACAAAAGTAAATTATTTATAGAATAATTGAATGTTTCTTAAAATTTAATTCTTATAAAGAATTTTATTAACAAACTAGCAAAAGTTACGCGCGGAACGGGATATTCAATTTATTATTGTTATGCAAATTACAAAATTTTTTATTTTCAAATATAAATTTTTTAACTAATTTCATAATCAAATTTTAAAAAATTCACCTATTAAGTACAAAATTAATTATTACTGTTCATATTTTCTAAAATTTTAATAAATCCTTAGCAAGAATTCAATTATTTTTTTAAATAGTAAAATCTTTACAAAAATTCAATTATTTTCAAAACAATTTTAATTGAATTCCTCGGAAGAATTCTATTTAAAAAAAAAATTTAACACTACATTTCGAAAAAATTAAATTATTTCAATTATTTCCTTAAATTTTAATAAATTCTTCAAAACAATAAATTCAACTATTTTTATAAATACTAAAATTCCTTGAAGGAATTATATAATTTTTAATCCAATTTAAATAAAATTACACGAAAGAATTTAATTATTTTCAAAAATTTCCATAAAATTCAATTTCAACAAGAATTTAAAATTCTCTAAAAATTATTCAATTATTCTCAAAATATTTTTAAAAAATTCTACATGAAAATTAAATTACTTTCAATGCAATTTTTAAATATATACGTCAAAAAAATTGAAAAAATTAAATTATTAAAAAAAAAAAAATTAAAATTAAAATTCTTGTGAGGAATTCAATTATTTTGAATATACTGCATTTTAATAAAATTCTTTAAAGAAATGCAGTTATTTTCGAAACAACTTTAACTGAATTTCTCGAAAAAATTTCATTATTTTTAAATATTTCTACAAAATTCTTCATAAAAATTTAATTATTTCTTAAAATTTTAATAAATTCTTCGAAACATTTCAATTATTTTTATAAATAGTAAAATCCTTTGCAGAAATTCAATTCTTTTCAAAATAATTTTAACAGAATTCCTCGAAAGAAATTAAATTTTCAATTATTAACATAAAATTTATTTATTTTCTAAAATTGAAATAAATTCTTCGGAACAATTCAATAATTTTTATAAATAGTAAAATTCTTCCCAAGAATTCAATTATTTTCAATACAATTTTAATAAAATTCTTCGCGAGAATTCAGTTATTTTTCTAAATAATAAAATTCTTTGAAGGAATTCCATTATTATCAAATTTTTTGATAAAATTCTCTGCAATAATTCAATGATTTTCAATACATTTATTTTAAAATTGAAAATATTTGAAAAGAAAAATTATAAAAAAAAAAATTAAGAAACAAAAAATCAAACAACAACTAACTTCAAACTGCGAACAGATTAAAATTGTATTAAAAATAATTGAAACTAGCAAAAACTGACGCGCGCGAGCGCGCGTGCATTTTTTTTTCAACGTTTTATTTTAAATAATTAAAACTTTATTTTTTCAGCGAATTTGAACCATTATGATGTCACAATTTTTTAGCAAATGCTGTGAACAAATTGTGACGTCATTATGGTTCAAATGCCATTAAAGAAATTATTTCATCTTCTATTAATTAATATATTTTTGCATTTTCTTTTTTTATATAAATAAATTAAAATTTTTATTTATTAATTGAAAATATCTGTTCGCAGTTTATATTTTTTTTTGTTTAATATTTTAATAATTTTATGTTTTAATATATATATAAATATATTTTTTCTATTAAAATAGCAATTCTTTAAAATGATTATTATTATTTTTAAGGGTATTTTAATTATTATTATGACGTTATAATGTTTTAAATAAATTTAAAAAATGGAAATGCTGGAAAGAATGAAAAATACATTTTTTTTAGAAATATAAAATTATTCAATTAACATCTTCTATCTTTATATCTTCTCTCTATATTAATATCTTCTTCTTCTATCTTCTTTGATTTAGTTGTAATTTACTTTTTTGTTTCCTATCTTCTTTAATAATTTTATGTTTCAATATTTTTAATTTTAGAGGCATTTCACGTCAGAAATATCACGATTTGCAAAGGGTATGCCGATTTTCGCAAAACTTCGTGGGATTATAGTTCTATATAAGAGACTTCTTTCCCCTAAATTTTTTCAAAAAAAATTCAAAATTGTTGAAGATACGCCATTTTGAATTTTAATATTAATTTTATAAAATTTTGAATATCTCGGAATATTGTTTATGGATTTTTATGAAATTTACACATTTTTCAGGTAAAAGTATGTACTTTAAAATGCAAATAAAGTTAATAAAAAAAAATTAATTTTTAAATAAAAAAATTAAAAAAAATTTTTTTAAACAATTTTTTGTTTATTTACTCCTCTCTGAGAAAAATGTTATTAACATATTTGGATTCCTTATGAATTCACCTTTAATTTCATAAAAAAAAATTGATGGAGACTCAACTGGTTCCGGAGATATTGAATTTTTTGTAAAAAAAAGCGTCGCCGCGCCATAGCACCATACTGCACAAGTCGCGTAGTACGTTACCGCAGTCGTGCATTGCTGCTGTAACTATGACTATTTTTTTACAAAAAATTCAATATCTCTGGAACCAGTTGAGTCTCCATCAATTTTTTTTTATGAAATTAAAGGTGAATTCATAAGGAATCCAAATATGTTAATAACATTTTTCTCAGAGAGGAGTAAATAAACAAAAAATTGTTTTAAAAAATTTTTTTTAATTTTTTATTTAAAAATTAATTTTTTTTTTATTAACTTTATTTGCATTTTAAAGTACATACTTTTACCTGAAAAATGTGTAAATTTCATAAAAATCCATAAACAATATTCCGAGATATTCAAAATTTTATAAAATTAATATTAAAATTCAAAATGGCGTATCTTCAACAATTTTGAATTTTTTTTGAAAAAATTTGGGGGAAAGAAGTCTCTTATATAGAACTATAATCCCACAAACTTTTGCGAAAATCGGCATACCCTTTGCAAATCGTGATATTTCTGACGTGAAATGCCTCTTTAATTAAAATTAATATATTGAATTTCATTTAAATTCTTGCAAAAAATTTGAGAATCATTGAATTTCTTCAAAAAATGTCATTATTTATGAAAATAATTCAATTTTCGCTAAAAATCATTAAATCAATTTTGGAAACCCTAATTAAATTTTTCTGAAGAATTATTTTTTATTTTTTGTTTAATAATTGTGTTTCTTTAATAATTTTAATTGGATATTTTTAAAGTAATTTAAATTTATGAACAATTTTTTTCAAGTTTTTAAAACTAATTTTTAAATTTGTAAATTTAGTTGAAACATCTATTGTTTACATTTATCCCTTGTTTACAATTACCCCAAATGGCCCTAATTGTAAATTGATTGTTTTGTTGATTTTTGAATTTTATTTCGGAATAATTCAATTTTTTATTATGTATTTTTCATGATTTGAAGACTTTATATAGTCTTTAAAAGACTTGATAGTATTTACATAGTTGAAATGAAAGGCGGTGCCTAAAGTATTTTTTTTAAGTTCATTATTTTTTTTTCTTTTTAGAAAATCTATTTTCTATAATATTGTGTTAAAAAAAACGTTAACATTTTATATTTTATTTGAACAGAAGATAACGATAAGTTTAATTCTTGCAAAAGAAAGCACTTATAAGTTAATTCTACACACAAACACACACAGAAATACGTTTATTTTTTACGTAAGTGCCAATAAATTAATTTCAATTTTTTATTTAAAATGAAATAATTTAATTTTGAATTAATTGTATTTTTGATATTTGAATAATTAATTATTATTTTGAACAATTACATTTTTCAATGATTTCAAAATAATTAAATTTTTATTAAAAACAGAATAATTTATTTTTGAATTAATTAAAATTGTTTGATTTATTTTTGAATAATTAATAATTGACTTTTGAATTATTTAAAATTCAAATATTGTAAAAAATTAATAAAATATTTAAAAAAACAATTTATTTTTAACATAATAAAAAAAGTAATTTATTAAAATACTAAATTCAAATAGATTTTGAATTGCAATTATTTTTAAAAATAAATAAATTTTTTGTGTAAAATCATTTTTTTAAAATTAATTAAAATTTGAAACAATTGAATTTTTTTTTTTCATTTTTGAAAAATTAATTATTTCGAACAATTTTTTAAACATAAAAGAACCAGGAGCTATTATCACTCATAATAGCAATCAAAAAAAGCACACACTAAAGGGATCGCTCTTCCCAAAAAATTTATTTAGACTCTAGATCCTGCACTGTATAAGTTAATAATTGAAGATTAATTAAATTTTTGAAAAATTAAATATTAAAAAATTAATTATTTTGAATAATTAATATTATTGAATAGTAATTTACGAAAACGACCAATGTAATAAAATTTAGAACGATATTTTTTATTGATTCAGGAAAATTGAATTTTTTAATTAAAATTAATAATCGTTGAAAATTGAAAATAATACAACTTTTATTGACAATTCGATATTTCAGTTTTTTTAGATTTTAAAAATGCATAAAATTTTCAATAATAATAATAAATCAAAATACAATAAATATTATCAATTATAATTATAAATAAAAAAAAATAATAATAATAATAATAAGATATACGAATAAAATTTGTTTTTAAGTTATTTTGAGATTTTTATTTAACAAAATAAAATGAAATAATATAAATGATTTAATTAAGAAGAAAATTTTAATTAATAATTAGAATTTACCAATCTACAGTTTTTTTTCCACTGAAAACGGTAACCTCTCGCCTGATACCAGATATTTTTCCACGATTTTTCAAACACAATAATTCTTGTCACAATTTAACGTTTTTTAAAAACACCCGCACTACCGCATAACATAACATCGGAAATGTCAAAACATCACGAAAAATATAAACAAACAAAAAAATCATGATAATAATTCGCAAATGATAACTAACAACTAACTTCATACTGCGAACGGACAGAATGAAAAACCACAGACTTTAATAAAGTTAATTCTACGATGAGTTTTATTATTTCTGAAAAAAATTGAATTATTGAGAAGAAAGTTATAAAAAATTTGTAAACATTTTAATTCCGGTGAAATTTGTATTATTTATAAAAATAATTAAATGTTTGCGTACAATTTTTATAAATTATTTTTAAATCATTGAATTCTTTTGGGTAATTTTATTAAAATAGTAGATTGGATTAAAAATCATTGAAATGAGGAAATTTTTTGAAAATAATTGTAATTTTGACAAGAATTTTATTAAAATTTTTGAAAATAATTTAATTTTAAAGAATTTTTTTATTTATAAAGATAATAATTGGGATTTTATCGAGATTTTTTTTGTAAATTTTGAATATAATTGAATTTTGTGATAAGAATTTTATTAGGTTTTGAAAATAATTAAATTTCTGCAATTATTTGAAACTTTTTCAAAATTCAATTTTTTTTTTAGTGTTTTTAACTAAAATTCTTCTATAAATCCATTATTTTTAATAATTAATTAAATATAATATATTGACAAGTTAAATTAATTTTAGAAGATTTTGAATTATTAAATTTTTAAAAAAATCTAAGTTTATTAAAATTTATTATTAATTTTTATTTTTAATTTATTATTATTTATTATTAATTTAAATTCATTCAACATTGAAGTTTTATAAAATTTCAAATTGCAACCGTTTGAAGTTGATTTAGTTATGAAAATTGTAAACGCAACTCTTTTTAAAATTGAATTAGGTTTGAAATATTTAAGTAAAATTATTCATTAAATAATTTATTTATTTTATGATAGTTGTTCAAGATTTAAGTTATTGAAAAAGAAATTTTTGTCAAAAATTGAAAAAATTGAAGGTAAGCGTGCTAATTGTTGCTATAGTAATATAAAAAAGATAAATAAATAATAAAATTATAAATTAATAAAGAAACAAAATATTTATCATGTAGTCAAAGTACTTTTAAACTTTCTTCAATCTCCTTCTAGTTGGAGATCTCATCAATTGTTTGGATCAACAGCAGTAGGACGAACAATTACAAAACTAAAAATAAAGATGACGCCCCCACTATTTATTTGAGAGAATCGGACAATTTCTTTGAAATCGATAAAATGAATTTTTTCTTTTTCGCCATCACAGTTGATTAGCATTGCAGAAAAGAAAGAAAAAAATAGAACTGAATTTATCACCAAAGGGAGTTTTAAGTTTCACAAATGAGTTATATGTTAAGTCGCAGAATGGGTCGAATGACAGAAAAGTATAATATCGAGCGACGCGTGGCGCCGACGCCGGGGTTCTTGGTGGTTGGAAATACTCTCTCATTTAACTACTCCCGAGTTTGACTTCAACTTCGCCCAGTTTGCCGCCGGTGCTCATTGTGAATACTCTTGTTTTTTCAAAAAAAAAAGAAAAATAACAAATTTTCACCTGCTCACCAATATCAAAAACAACAGACGATCATTTTTTCACAATTATTGTCGATAAATAAATTTTTCGTGAAAGAAGATTTTCATTATCCAGGAAAAAGAAATTGAAAATAAAGGAGAAGAAAAAAAAAATTACAAGTGATACATTTTTTTCGTAAGAAAAAAAAGGACAGGAAGCCGAAAGGGAAGTGTGAATATTTAAAAGAAAAAAAGAAGAGACCGAGTGGAAAAAAACTAATTGCTTTTGAAAAGCCGTCGAAGTGTCATGAGAGGCGGTTTCACAGTCCGCCCTTCTAATTGGTCCCTTTTAGAGTCATGCATGTCGCGCCCTTCAAACGAGGTAAATTCACCCGCTAAATCTCCATTTTTATTTATATTATTAGTCTCACTTGACCACGTGAATAAGACACGTTTACTTTTTTGCTCACTTAAAAAATTGAAAAAATCAAATTCAAAAAATATTTTTAAAAAATTCGGAAAAATTATTGAATTATGATAATTAATAATAATTAGTCTAATGACTTTTAATAACGTAAACAAAATTTATAATTCAGTTGATTTTACTCTCTGAAACAATATTAAACTCTTGAAATATTTACACCAAGTCAAATATTTGCATTAAATAATCGTACAATATAAATATTTAAATATTGATCTATAAATCGGAATATTTTTTCGAAACGTATATTTTGAAAATATATATTTACATTCAAGACGATTTTCTAAAAATAAAAAGAACAATAATAATAAAAATAATAATAAATAGAAAATAATAAAATAACACTTGTTAATAGTTAAACAAACAAAAAATGATTATAAAATATAAAAAAAATATTTAAAAAATTAAATTTACAGATTTAAAAACAAAATTACTATTAATTTTATTTTCAAATATATAAAATTACTTTTACTTATAAAATTATTTTTTTCTTGTTTAATTATTAAAATTCTATTGAAAATAATTTTCTTGGCAAGATTTTTATTAAAATTCTCTAAAATAATTGAATTGTTTCTAAGAATTTATTTCAACATTCTTGAAAATGATGGAGTTTTTTTAAAATAATTTTTACTGAAAATTTTCAATGTAATTGAATTTATCAAGAATTTAATTATTTTTAATAATTGTAATAAAATTCTTTGCAAAAAAGTCAATTTATAAATAATAAAAATCTTAGTAAAAAATTAAATTATTTTTATATAAATAATGAAATTCTTATCAGGATTTCACTTACTTTTAAATACAATTTTAATAAAATAATTGAATTCTTTCGAGAAAATGTAATTAAAATTGTATTGAAAATAATTTAAATCTTGGAAAGATTTTTATTAAAATTCTTTAAAATAATTGAATTTTAAGAAGAATTTCTTTTAAGTTTTTAAAATAATCGTGTTCATTATTAATTGTAATTAACGATTTTCCTACTAAATAATATTAAAATTATTCATAGAAAATTAAATTCTTTTAAACAATTGAATTGAAAATAATTGAATTTCTCAGAAGAATTTTATTATTTACAAAAATAATTAAATTCTTTCCAAAAATTTTACAATTTATAAAAATAATTGAATTGTTTCGAAGGATTTTTTTATCAGAATTGTTGAAAATAATTGAATTTTTACTAAAAACCTTTGAAAATAATTAATATTTTATTATTTATGAAAGTAATTGAATTTCTCTGAAGAATTTTATTGTTTACGTTAATATTTTTATTCTTGCGAAAAATTTTCTTATTTTTATGAAAATAATTGAATTCTTGTCGAGGATTTAACAATTCATAAAAATTATTTAATTGCCTCGAAGAATTTCATCTGAATTTTTGAAAATAATTGAATTGTTTGAAAGAATTTTATTAAAAATTTTGAAAATAATGTTATTTTTAAAAGAATGTCATCAAAATTGTTAAAAACAATTGAATTTAATTAAAATTCTTAAAAATAATCGAATTTAATTAATATTTAAAAAAATAATTGTATTCTTTCGAAAAATTTGATTAAAATTGTATTGATAATAATAATTTTTTTTTGTTTAATTATTAAAATTATTCAAATTCTATTGAAAATACTTTAATTCTTGTCAAGATTTTTATTAAAAATTTTTCAAATAATTGAATTTGTTGTTAAGAATTTATTTGAATATTCTTGAAAATTGTGGAGTTCTTTTGAAATAATTTTTACTAAAAATTTTGAAAGTAATTGAATTTTATCAAGAATTGAATTATTTTTAATAATTGTAATAAAATTCTTTGTTAAAAGTCAATTTTTTATAAATAGTAAAAATCTTCGTAAAAACATCAATTATTTTTATATAAATAATAAAATTCTTATCAGGATTTCACTTATTTTCAATACAATTTTAATTGATTTCTTCGAAAATTTCAATTATTTTTAAAAATCTTCTAAAAATTCTTCGAAAAAATTCAATTATTTTTAAAAATCTTCTAAAAATTCTTCGAAAAAATTCAATTATTTAAAAAAATAATTGAATTTTTTCACAAGAGTTCAATTATTTAAAAGACTTTCAATGAAATTAAATTATTTTTAATACAATTTTAATTGAATTTCAGGGAAAATTAAATTATTTTTAAACATTTTTTTTTAAATTCTTCGAAAGAAATTCAATAATATCAATAACAATTGAAAATAATAATAAATAATGAAAAATAAATGGTCAATAAAATAATAATGCGAAAATTATAATTATAGAAAAAAAATTCAGTATTAAGTTAAATTACAAAGTACGAATGATAGTTAAAAAATTTAAAAATGTTAATTAACATAAAAGAAAAATATATTAGCGATCTTACACGTCAGATATGCCTGTCAATAAAATTTAAAAGCTTTTGTGAATTAAAAATAAAAAAAAAGGAAAAAAGAGGGTGTTATTGCAAATGTAAACTTTTTATGACCATATAGACGGTCGTATTTTTATCTTCGCGGAAATAGTCTTTCGTCTATATATCACGATATTAAAATTGTATGTGAATTCACAATAGAGTTGTGATAATTTGAAACAAATAACATGGTAGTAATTGAATGCAAAAATTACAATCGTTTGCATTGTTTGTTCCTTTAAAAATTTAACTAGAAGTAAAATTTTAATTCCTTTTCAATTAGAGCATTTTAATTTATTACAATTAATTTTTTTAAACAAAATTTTTTTTTATGCTCAAATAAAAATAAAATAGTTTATTTTTAATTTTGTAAATTGAAATTAATAATAACAGACTCGTAATTTTCTTTTGCTAAAATAATAATAATTATATTAGGTAATTAATAATAATTAATTTTTTACTATTAATTATTAATTACTGAAAGTAAAATTGGAGTAAAATTATTCTTTTTGTAAATTCATTTTCAATTTATAAATTGAAACTAAAATTAGTATTTTTCTTTTGTTAATATATTAATAATTAGTTAGAAAATAATTATTAATTACTGAGAATAAAATTATTATCTTCGTAAATTTAATTAGAGAATAATTAAAAAATTGTCTTTCTTCGAAATTGAATTCATGAAAATGGAATTGGTTAGTAAATTAAACAATGACGTGAAAATTCAAAGCATATTTTTCTTTTTAATGAAGTTTCGAATTTGTTACAATAATTTTGCAAAGAGCACTAAATCATAATTTAATTACAAAATTTTAATTAGACTGAAATTTTTTTTCTAAAAATTTTTTTAATAAATTATTTTTAATTATTAAACAAAAAATAATTTTTTATTCTATCTATTTTTTATTTTTTAATTAATCATTAGGCAAAAAATCTGTTTATTTAAATAAAAAGAGAAAAAATCTTATTTAAATAAAAAGATTTTTTAATTATTAAGTAATTATTTTTTTAATTATTAGCCAAAAATCTATTTTTATTATTAACCAAAAATTTAATTTTTTTGCAAATTAAATAAAAATTCTACACAGTTATTTACTTATTGAGTCAAAATATATAATAATTGCATCATAATAAGATTTAATTTCACTTTTCTTTTGGGGAAAAATTAAAAAAAATAATTATTTTTACCAATTCGATTTTTATTTTTAATTTGACTTCTTTTTCCAAAGAATAATTTTTAGTAAATTTAAAGGTCAAAATACAAAAAAAGAAAAAAAATTCCTCGATAATGAAATGGAACGTAAAGGGTGGCACTTTACAAGACGAAAATTGCGTCATTCGCCTACTGTCTCTCATAAGAGAGAAAAATACATTGCTCTGAAAATACCCTATAGTCAATTCTATATTTGTTCCCGATCGAAAAAAAACTGAATGAAATCACTCGTTGAACGTAAAACTAAAAATAAAAACAATAAAAAAGAAATTCTACGTTCCTTATCATCATCGCATTTTTTTTCCTCTCTCCCCATCAGAATGGACTCGGAATTTTTTTTCTCTTAATTAAATTATATCCAGTGATAAAATCTTTTTAACATTTTTACACCAGAAGTCAATAATGAAAATTAAATCAAAACTTCGCAAAATTACTTCATTTCATTTTGAGAATGTTGATTCAAGAGAAAAGTAAAAAAAAAAAAAGAAAAAAACCTATAGGAAAAAATATTGATGTTTATTTTTAAAAAAATTTCAAAATAACTTGACCTGAAATTTTAGTTTCACTTTCCAGAAATAATTTAATATTTAATATTTCTCGAAATTTAGAAATTTAGATAATTTGACAAATTTTCTATTTTATCATTTAATTTGAAATTTTTCTAAAAATAAATAAATTTTATTTTTTACTAAAAAAAATATTAAATATTTTTGCATTCTTTTTTTGCAGTGTCGGATTTTTGATTTTCTTTTTCTTTTTCTTTTTACGAAATTAAATTTCAAATTAATATTATTTACGAGGAAATTAACATCAATTTTTTAACGACGAGTTAGATGAATATTCCTGCATTATTATTATTATTATTATTATTATTATTTTAAAATGTATGACAAGCGTCATTTTCTTGAAAAAGCTTTTAAAACCGACAACAATGAGAATGTAAAGCAAAATGAAGATTAATGTTGAATTGTGCTTTAAAAATACTAACCAGATGCATTTTTTTTTTCTTTCCTATCTCTCGACAAAAAAAAACAAAGTTTACCATTAGTTTTAATGAAAATTTCCAATAATCCAAATAAATTTATATATTCGAACAGAATAAAAGTGGATTTATTTCCATATACATATAGTCGGCAACAAATATTATTGACGTAAAGAAAAAAAAAGTTCGTCATAAATTTTTCTGAAAAATTTGTTTTTTTAACTAAACTTTCAACTTCGTTCATTTTCGTCTTTACAAAATAAAAATGAAGAGAGTCTTAAATTTTCCAGTTCAGTGAAAAGCAACTTTTTTTA